GCCGGGTCTGTGTGTGGTTCGAGGCTACACGAAGGGGAAGTAGCTGCATGAACAGATCTGCTCTCACTGCTGTCAGCGTGAGGGGTCTGATCGTAAGGCCAGTTTAGTCTGTGATGCAGGGCAGGCCATGACCCCCCAGGCTTTTGGAATTGCTGAGGACACCCCTGCACCCCGGGCAGAGTCCCCTGTCGAGGGCACCACACACGCATGCAGGGATGTGGCACTTGGGCACATGGCCCGGCCTCTGGCTGTGTGGGGCGCAGGCTGCAGGTGGGTCTGCACTCAGCAGGGGCAGGTGCTGCCTGTCATGAGCCCCCCGCTCTGGCTCGGGCTTGTGGGGAGCCCTCTGGGCATTCATTTTGCTTTGTGAGCAGTGACGAATGCCCATCCATGCCCGTGCTACTCTTTCTGGTCCATGGGACCCAGGAAACCAGAGGGAGATTTCTTCTGTGACAGAGTCAGACCGAGTCTGAGTGGGTATTGGCAGGAATGCCCAACCCAGCTTTCTTTCAGGGCCTTCCCGAGTGGGAGCCTCTCCGGCATAGGGAGAGGGAGGAAGACCCCAAACAGGGACCCCATTTGCTCTCCACTGAGTTTGGGGTGGAGCATCGCCGGGTTGGGCTTGGGAGCTCCGTTCCTGGGAGCCGTGGTTCCCCTGTCCGTGCCTGGTGCTTGGGGGGCTCTGCGGAGGTGGGAGCACCTGGCAGTTCCACCTGGAGCAGCCAGTTGTAAACAACGAAAGACAGAAAGACCTCTGGGTGTGGGTCGCAGCTTTGGGGCATTGGTCAGCTCGAGTGAGCACAGGGCGAGCTCAGGCACACAGAAGTGTGGTCCACGGGCCACTTTTATTTAAAGATGGGACTGCACGCATGGTTATAGACATATGAGACAGCCAGGCTGTGTTCTGAACGGCAGTGTTGGCTGTCAGTGGACCTTGGGTGGCTGGTGAGCTCTGCTGTGTTCCTTTCACGTTTGAGGGTTTCCTAACCTTGCTACAATAAACCATATTATTTCTGTAATAAAACGGAAAATCAAGAGATGGGAGTAGCAACCTTGGGTATGATAAGAAAGGGCCGCTGGGAGAGGCCGAGAAAAGTCCCGAGAGGCCTCAGCTGCCCTGCCTGCCCTGCGTGTGAATGCGGGACGGGCCCCAGACCGCGCTTCTGGGGAGAGCCTGGAGGACGGAAGGAAGCAGCAGCCAAGCCTGCGCATCGGCCACACTGTATGTCTTGGGGAAGCACGTCCCATTACACGTCCGCCTTCTCTCCAGAGCACCCAGCCCAGCCGCTTGTGTGCAGGCTGTCGCTCTTGCTTTGCCAGCTCTGGGGGCTCTTGCCGCTTCGGGGCCCGGAGGCCAGCCTCACTGCACTGCTTCAGCCTGTCGTGCTTCTGTCCCGTCTGGTGGTGGCGGTGAAGGGGGGGTGTGCACGGTGAGCACCCACCTGCTTTTGCAGCCAATGGGCCAATGGTACCGCTAATGGAGTTTCCTATTTCCTGTCACTCTCCTTAACCGTCGGTTAAGGCCAGAGAGGCCTTGCAGGTTCCACAGGGCCCAGGACACAGAAGCTCCTGGAGCCTCTGTCTTTGTCACCTGCCCGTCATGGCCCTGTCTCGTGGCTCTTGCCAGGAATACCTTTATGTCCTGGACCACCGGACTATGGGCTGTGTTTTGCTGGTGCTGGGTTCTGAGGTGGCCCTGGGAAGCCAGCGCCTCCTGCTGGAGTCCCCTGGGGCCTCCTGGGCTCGGTGCAAGAAGAGAGCTGGGGGCAGGGGACGTTCTGTTTAGCTGAGGGTTTGGGGTCACCTGGATTAGCACTGGGGAGAGCACGGCTAGGCGCTGGCCTGGATAGAGAGGGTTCAGTTCATTCCCATGAAAAGGGGTTTCCTGTGAAAAATGTTCTGGGGCTCACATTTGCCGTTACACGATGGCTGATGAGGGTACCGCCATGCCACCTGTCACCGCCCAGGTGTGGGGCATATGGGCCAGGGACCATTTGACAGACACCTGCTCCCCATCTTCAGTGCTTGTCTTGCTCCGGGGCAGAAGCCTGCGTGCTCGTGGGGTCGTAGGCAGAGCTCCTCGGGAGCTTTACCGTCCAGCGTGGATCACACGTGCCGAAACTAACTTCATAAAAGACGCACGTCTGCACCTCGGTTGGGGGTGGTGGTTGCACAGGTATGTGCATGTGTCCCAGCTCTTCAGATTGCTTACACAGTCGCTCTGCGTCTTCTGAAGTGTAAGCTGTAGCTCAGAAATGGACGGAATGAGGACGCCAGCCCTGGGCCCCGCACTCCCGCTTCCGGGAATCCTGGCGTCCGGGTCACGTTGCACGTGCCCGGCCTTCATCGCAGGTGTGGTAATCACAGGACGTGCAGTTACCCGCGCGCCCGGCCCGGCGTGAGGCGTGAGATGCTGGCTGCTGTGGGCGGGGGGTCCTGGCTGGGGGCTGGGCAGCCTGCACTGTGTGCCCGTCTGTGTCAGGAATGAGACAGGAAGAGGTTATTCCTGGAGCGCTGGGGACAGACAGCGTCTGCTTGTACCCTGGAGCAGCCACCCATTTAAAAAGAACACGTAATACTTTTCTTGATAAAAAAAACAGTATCATGAGAATTTATTTGCTCCTCCTTCTCCCTCTTTGAAACGCACGGCCGACACGGGACCCCTGGGGGTCTTCTGGTAACCAACAGCCTCGCTGTGGCTTCCCAGCTGTGCCACCTGCGCTTGGTGCCCTGTGTCCTTCCCGTGATCACCTGGGTCCCTGCTGCCCACGATGTGACCAGCTGTGCGTCCGTCCTCCCTGTGGTGGACGCCACCTGTCAGACTGGGGGCAGCCCCAGAAAGGTGGTTGTGGCCAGAGGTCGGTGCCAGCTGGGAGGGACGGCGAGGCGCTCCCTACCCGCTTCAGGTGCAGCTGAAGCCTGAGCTCTGCCCACTTGTTACAGCTTTTCAACCTCACCCAGGGCACGGGAGCGGGAAGGGAAGTCCCCGTGCAGCCTCCCAACATGTGCTTGTGCGTGGAGAATTTTCTCTGTGGGTTGTTGTAGGTTTCTAGTTCTGTTTCAAAAAATTGTGCAGGGGCGCCTGAGGGCTCGGTCGGCTAAGCTCCCCACTCTTGTTTCAGCTCAGGTCATGATCTCACTCACGGTTTTGTGGGATCGAGCCTCACGTTGGGCTCAGTGCTGATCGTGGAGCCTGCTTAGGATTCCGTTTCCCTTTCTGCCGCTCCCCCACCCCCACTTGTGCTCAGTGTTTCGAGGAAAAACAAAAACTTTAAACAGTCCTGCACATACCGTGTACTTCTCACAGTGTGCTGTGCAGCTGCGTGGACTCGCGCACATTTATGTCCACGTGGTGGCACGTCCATACCTTGACTTCCTGCAGTCCCGGCGCTGCATGCTTTGCTGCTGGAACAGGGCTGAGGTGAGCATCCCAGGGGCCGGTCACTATGCGCATCCTCGCTTGGGGGGGGGGGGGGCGCCAGGGCCGCGCTAGTCAGAGGCTTTGTTCCTTGTGCCCCAGGGCTAGCCCCCCACTGCTCACGGTCCTGTCCGGTCTCACTCACTAGCACCGCCCCTGCCAGACCAGTGTGTGCCCTTGACTTCAAGGCATCTGTGCGCATCTGTCTCCAGAGACTCTCCCTCCAGGCCTGGCTCTCCCTCCCCTGTGTGTGTCCCTCCCGGCCAGAGAGTGGGATTTCGAGCTCTGTGTAACAGACCTGGGGGCTACACTTCAGTCTTCCAGGATTTGAAGGACATTTTTCAGGGAAAAAAGTGCATTTTGAGATTGAGGGTGCCCTGTCCTGATCTCAGCTGCAGTGTCCCGTGTAGGACAGAGACACAGGCTGAATGCAGCCTTGACGGGGCAGGACAGGATGGGTCCTGTCTGCAGAGAGGTTCCGGCTCCTGACCTGCCTCAAAGAGGCTTGGAGGGGCAGAGGGAGGCGAGAGCCCGCAGCCACAGTCGCCTGCTGGAATCACCTTCCTGAGGCTCATGAGGGAGCTATCTCAGGCAGGGACGACGGGCCAGCCAGGCAGGGGGAGACCGCCCGGAGCTGAGCTCTGACTGCCGGTCCCTAAGGGCTGCATGGGGAATCCCCATAGCAAATCCTCCGCCCAGCTGGTGGGGACCTGCCAGGGTGACTGGCGTCCCGCTCTGCAAGTCTGGGTTGGAAAACTAAGAATGCGACTGCTCAGTCACCGCAGAGCATTGCTGGACAGTGTCAGGGACATCACCCCCGTCTGCCCGCCACACCGGTCCTCGGGGCCTGCCCCGCACTGTAGACCTGCGTACGCTGTTTCAGCTTGAGTGTTTCTTTAACCACGTATTTATTTATTTATTTTGAGAGACAGAGAACTCGAGAGCAGGGGAGGGCCAGGGGGGGAGAGAGAGAGAGTCAGTCCCAAGCAGGCTCCATGTTGTCAGCTCACAGCTTGACATGGGGCTCAGTCCCACAACCCTGGGATCATGACCTGCGCCGAAATCAAGAGTCGGATGCTTAACTGACTGAGCCAGCCAGGAGCCCCGTTAGCATGAGTGATTTTTAAATGATCACCGGCTAATGCTTACGATGTGTTTGGAGAAAAGACGGGAGAAAAAAAACAAAACAAAACTGTTGTCCCAGCCAAGTCTTCAACATAGGGACGAGGCAGCCTTGAGGCCACGAGGTCCCCCATCGCCATCACCCCCACAGAGGGCATCCAGGGCCGCACGGGCCTGCCCTCAGTGAGGAGATGGAGAGGAGCTGGCTGAGTGCTGTGTGCAGAGCCAACACCAGCAGTACCTCTGAAATGTGACAGGGTCTCAAAGCCACGCATTTTCCACGTGGAAAACATGTGACCCACACAATCCACCTGAAAGCTGTCTGGCCGGAGCCGAGTGCCCCTGGCCTTGCCTATGCTGGAAAGGAGTGGCGCTCAGCTGGACCGGGCACCGTGCCTGGAATAAGAGCCCTTCCATCCGGGCGGCCCCCGGCCTCTCCACACCCGTGTCTGCCTTGCAGGGCATCCTCCTGGTGTATGACATCACCAACCGCTGGTCCTTTGATGGCATCGACCGGTGGATCAAGGAGATTGATGAGGTAAGTGTGTGTCCGCAGATACCCCTTCCACGGCGCCCTTTGCAGGGTGCACTCCCATCCCCGGTAGGAAGCTGGGGGACCCCGCTTGCCGTCCCCGCCTCCCACCCCTCTGCCCGTTGCCCTGGCTCTGTGTCCCCTCGCACACTGACTGCCACGACGCTCGCGGCCACAAAACGGACAGTGAGGGCCCCGCCTGCTTTGCGGGCAGGGGGACAGCGGCAAGACGGGGGTGTCCGGTGCTCGTGCCTCCGCTGAGTCCTGTGCTGCCCTCCCCCAAGCACGCACCCGGGGTTCCCCGGATCCTGGTTGGGAACCGGCTGCACCTGGCCTTCAAGCGGCAAGTTCCAACGGAGCAGGCACGCGCCTATGCAGAGAAGAACGGCATGACCTTCTTCGAGGTCAGCCCTCTGTGCAACTTCAATGTCATTGAGTCCTTCACGGAGCTGTCCCGCATCGTGCTCATGAGGCACGGCATGGAGAAGATCTGGAGGCCCAACCGAGGTGAGGTGCTGTCGCAGCTGCGGTCGGGAGAACGGAGGCGGATGGGCCTCCGGCAGCCCGCTCAGGGGCCTGCCTCCCCGGGTTGGAGGGGAGGCAAGGTCCCCTCTGCTTCCCTGACTCCTTGCAGCTAAGTTAATGCCCTGTGTCTGCTCTGCGTGGGGTCCCGGCACTACGCGGGGGACCGTGCCTTACACCCCACCTGCACCTCAGTGCTGGGAGGCAGTGCTGTGTCCCAGAGTGAACAGGGACAGGGGACTGGCTTCCAAGCCTCCCCTCCTGGAGCAGACCCATGAAGATCCTGGCTGTGTGCTCCCCCAGCCCTCTGCCCCATCCCTCCTCCCCACCCCCGGTTGCCAGAAGGGCCCTGGTGGCTGGAAGCCTCTGTTGCCTGTTAGGCCCCAGGGCAGGGTGGGCGACCCTTGGAAGCGGGGTCCCCCAGGGCACTTCTCAGCATGCGGCTCTAGGCAGAAGTCGGGACAGGGTGGGTGGAGTGGTGGGCGTCCAGGGTCCGCAGCAGAGCAAGCCTGAGGGCTTTGCAGACCGCTGCACTCCCGCAGCCTGACCTCTCCCTTCCGCATCCGTAGTGTTCAGCCTGCAGGACCTCTGCTGCCGGGCCATCGTCTCCTGCACCCCGGTGCACCTCATCGACAAGCTCCCGCTGCCCGTCACCATCAAGAGCCACCTTAAGTCCTTCTCGATGGCCAACGGCATGAACGCTGTCATGATGCATGGCCGCTCCTACTCGCTGGCCAGTGGGGCGGGCGGGGGCAGCAGCAAGGGCAACAGCCTCAAGAGGTCCAAGTCCATCCGCCCCCCGCAGAGCCCGCCCCAGAACTGCTCCAGGAGCAACTGCAAGATCTCCTAGCGGGCCGGGCCGGGCGCCACCCCGTCCAGGTCGCTCCGGGAGGGCTCGCGCTCGGGGAGCGTTGCTGGCCGGGCGCTGGGCCTGGCGCCGTGTGCAGGGAAGGCTTTGACCTCACCGCCTCCTGGGAAGCGTGGGGGCTCACCGTGCGGGCAGGGGTCTCGGCCAGACGAGCTCCGCGGGACCGGAGAGAGCCGCAGGGGTCTTGGCGGAACAAGCCTGGGAGCCGATCGATCGTGCGCCGCGGCTGGGAAGCGCCCAGGAGGCAGCTCTGCCCGGCCCCGGCCTCGGGGGGCTGTCCTTGGGACCCAGGAGGCCTGGCTCCCTTTCTTATTTATGTGGAAGATGTTCACTTTTTTGTACATTTTTAAAGGACAGACAGGGAGGCCTTGACGCAGCCGCACGTGAGCCTGACAGCTGTGGGCCGAGCTTCGGGACCTTAGGGAGGGGATTGGAGGCAAAGACAAGGACCCCTGGGACTTCACCCTTTGAATTCAGACCCTGCACGTGCGGTGCGGGCTGTGCGGGGACCAGGGGGACGCGTGGAAGCTCTGGGCAGGGCCCCCGGGGCCGTGGCTGCCCCCCCCCCAGCCTTTCTGAGTACGGCGCTGGCTCCTTGTGCCCCCCCTGCCCCCGGGACTGGGCGCCCGCGGGGCTCCGGCAGTCCGAACGGTGCGGCCGCAGCTTCCGGGGCGGCATCCTGGGCGTCCCAGCTGGGCTGAGCTGGGGGCAGTTCACAGGCCCCTGGGGGAATGTTGGGGTTTCTCAGGGGATAGTGGGGTGCACTCCCCCACGTCCCTCCACATGTGGGGGTGAACAGCCTTTCCTCTGTGACTTTGCACCTTCCCTTCCGGTTATGTTTCTGTCTGTCCCTACATGAAACCGGCTCAGGATCTCTGATGAGAAGACGTGGAAAGTACTCGGTGGGGCTGCCAGGCGCTAGGCAGGCCCGCGCCACCCGCCTGCTCGTCTTCTGGGGCACCTGGACCTGACTCACCAGCCTGTGTTCACTGACCTGGGGTGTGGCCCCGCAGCTGCTCCTTGCCTGGTGTCACCCCTCGCAGCCACACATCACCAACACCGTTCCGACCCACTTCGTAGCGACGCCGCGCACAGCGGACGCCGAGGCTCAGCTGGAGAACCCGCCGGCCGGCCGCCTCCTGCCGCCTGGCTAGTGACACGGCCGCCGGTCACACCGGTGCTCAGCGCTACCTCCTACTCACGGCCCCTCCCAGGCTCTGGGACTCTCCCGGGCTGGGTGTCTGGGAGGCAGGGTGGGGGCCGCGGCCTGGGTGTGCAGGGGCGCCCAGGGGCCCCGAATGAGGCCTGGCCTCGGCAGGGTCAGGCAGGGGAGGCCACACCCGTCCCGTCTTGCCTGTCGGGCCCCCTTTCTTCGGACTTTGAACCCAGTCGCACAGACTGTGTTCTGAGGACGTGGACAGTCCTGCGTTCACCGTATCAACACTACCTTTCGCTGCTGACACACCATTCCTGTGCTCATTTTGGGCGGTTTTTCTTTGTACAGTAAACCTAATTCAGCTCTGATTTCCAGGCTGCATTTTATAGAAATTAAAGCCTCTGGTTTTAACTGGCCAAGCGGTAGGTGGGACGCGGCAGGGTGGGTCCAGTGCTGTCTTGCTGGCCCCGGTCTGCGGGCCTGGCCCAGGGGGCTGGTGCGCGTGCGGCTGTGAGGGCTGAGCGTGGCTGTGCCCGTTTCCTGGTGCGCCGGGCAGGCGGCCCGCGGCCACAGCGCCTCGCAGACCCCTGCTCCATGCCGCCTCTGAGGGGAGGAGCCTGGAACACCCTCGATGGCCGTGCAGGCAAGGGCCTAACTGCCGGGTTCACTCTGCTGCCTGAGAAGGTGGTGGGCACAGGGCCAGGGATGCAGCGGGGTCACCACCTGCCGGGACTCAGCACAGCACTGCCTGGGCCTGGAGTTGGTACCCTCCCAGGGACAGCTACCAGCCGACAGAGTGCGTGAGGCTCCCCCCAGCACTGGGGGGGGGGGAGCGGGGGATGATCACCCGGAGCACGACACCCCCCCACGCGGGGACCCAGCCTCTGACTATAACTCTGAGGGACTGTCCTGGCCCTGGAGCCCCCCACGCCCCCTCACCTGCATCCTCTACATGGGGGCCGTCTCCTGGTCACATGCTGGCCGGACGAGGCTTTTATTACCCTGCCTCCCAGGTCATAAGGTCAGACGTGGGGTCATGGGACGTTTCCCATCCCATCTCAGAGCAGATGCTCCTGGGGCCCCCAGACCCCGGGCAGGGCTTTACAAGGCGGGTTCCGGCCGCTTTGTCCTGTCTTGCTGCATTAGCTCCCCCTGCCAGCCCTGCAGGAGCGGCTGACGCACCCCCTGCGGGAAGCCGCCTCCTCCCAGGGGCTTGGGCAGCTCCCAGGACACTGCCCGTTTCCAGGATGCTTTTTAGATGGCCTTGGCCTCTAGGGACTGCGTGGCCTCATGTGGGGTCACAACTACTGAGATTCAAGCCTGTCCAAGTAAATACACTCAGTGCCTCGGTCACACCAGCCACGTTTGCAGTGTTTGCTACCTGTGCAACTGGCCAGCACACAGCTCCCTCCCCGCTGGTTGTCCGGGGGCCTCACTTCTTTGGCACCTGCCTCCTCGAGTCGAGGAGCAGCCTGGATCAGGAGCCGTGCTGGGGGCGGGCGGGCTCTGGAAGCGCAAAGCCCAGCCACACATCGGCCTTCCCAGCCCCCATCTGCTGCGGGTCATCGTGGAAAGGCCCAGGCCGGGCTCACCGTGCACTCCTGCGCTGCAGAGGCCTCATCACTAGCTCTAGAAAGGGTTTCAGTTTGACCCCAAGACCTGTTGGCAGGTCGTGACCCTTCTCCCAGGAGACGGCTGTAGAGTTTTTCCTGGGAAGGGAACAGAATGCCTCCTTGCTTGGCCCCAACACGGTACCTCTGTGCTTCTGTCTTGTCTGGATGAAATAAATCTAAGGAAGGGGCTGGCCTGGACCTGCTTTGGGTGAGACCCAGTCCCCGGCGAGAGCCGGGACAGGTTGGAGAGCCAGAGGGGGTGGCCAGCCTGGCCCCCTCCGACCTGGGCTGGGAGGGTCTGAGGGGCAGCTCTGATCCCAGGGCCCTTCCATCCGCAGCCCAGTGCCTGCAGGGAGGAGGGGCTCCAATTACAGTGTCCCCTCCCCTCCCCTCTTCCGCCACAGCCAGCCCTTCTCTGGCCCTTCTCCGCCCCTCGGTGACCCTCTCGGCCAGTGTCTTCTGTGCTCCTGCGCCTGGGCCCCTCCCCGCCCTCCTCCCCTCCCCTCCCCACCCCCTGCCCTGCGCTGACCACAGAGGGGCCAGGCAGGGGAGGGGCTGGCGCCACATGCACAGACTGAGCTGGGAGAGGCCCGGAACCTACCCAGCCCCTCGAACTGGAGTATTGGGACGAAGCATCTGCTGTGGGCTCAGACCTCGGGGGCCAGGGGAGAGCCTCTGGATCAGCTGGGGGCCAGAGGGCAGGGGCGGTGACCACGGGCCTGGGAAGGTAGATGCCTTCAGGGAGGAGGCTGGGAAGGGCCTGAGGAGGGACTGGTGGTCACATCCCCCGCCTCCTGGCCTGGCGGTCCCCATGCTGGCCCCGAGGCCACTCCTGCTGCCGCTCCTCGTGGTTGGGCTGACCTTGGGGGCCAGCCTGCCGCCAGGACCCGGGAGCCACCCAGGCGTGTGCCCCAACCAGCTCAGCCCCAACCTGTGGGTGGATGCCCAGAGCACCTGTGAGCGTGAGTGCGTCAGGGACCAGGTAAGCAGAGGCACCATCCCCACCGGCCCTGATCGGGGGGGGGCGGGCACCTTGGAGGCTTGGTCAGCCCGGGAGAAGCCCAGACCCTACCCCTGCAGCCAGGCCTTGGCCGCAGAGGGGGACCCCAGCAGCCGCACTGCAGCCCCCATCCTGGGAGTCTACTTTCTCCTCAGGCCCCCCACGCTCTGCTGCTGGTTTCAGGCTGCTGCACATACCAGGGTCCCAGGGAACACCCCCAGTCTTCTCCTTCATGTGTCTGAAGATTAAGTGCCCCCTCCTCACTCCCCAAAGCCACCTGCCCCCACCCTGGGAGCAGCTGTTCTCAGGACCAGCAGGCCAGAAAAGCAGGGGCCCACGCGGGACGTCTGCCCCTGCTCCACCTGCAGCGGCCTTGAGCCCATTACACACCCCACCCCAGGCCTCGATTTCCTCATCTGTACGTAAAGCCTGCCTCGTAGGGGGGTGGTCTGCCGACGCCGTGAGGCGCAGTGAGCTAACACCTGTGACAGCCCGCTGGGCGGCTGGCAGCTGTAGCTCTTCCTAGAGAAAAGGAAGGAAACTTCCGCAGACCCTCTGAGCTTCCCGTAGAGGAGACAGGTGCGGGGAGGGGCAGCAGGGGCTCGGCCCGCTCCCCTCTGGACGGGCTGCTGGGCAGAGCTAGGGTGTCCGCTGAGCTGACCCCCGCCCCCCAGGACTGCCAGGCCTCCGAGAAGTGCTGCGCCAACGTGTGCGGGCTGCAGAGCTGCGTGGCGGCGCGCTTCCCTGACGGCAGCCCGGCCGTGCCCACGCCGCTGGCCTCCTGTGAGGGCTTCACGTGCGCACAGCAGGGCTCCGACTGTGACATCTGGGACGGCCAGCCCGTGTGCCGCTGCCGTGACCGCTGCGAGAAGGAGCCCAGCTTCACCTGTGCCTCCGACGGCCTCACCTACTACAACCGCTGCTACATGGACGCAGAGGCCTGCCTGCGTGGCCTCCGCCTGCACGTCGTGCCCTGCAAGCACGTCCTCAGCTGGCCGCCCAGCAGCCCCGGCCCTCCCGAGACCACGGCCGGCCCCACGCCCGGGGAGGCCCCGATGCCGCCCGCCCTCTACAGCAGCCCCGCCCCGCAGGCCGTGTACGTGGGGGGCACGGCCAGCCTCCACTGCGAGGTCAGCGGCCGCCCGCCGCCAGCCGTGACCTGGGAGAAGCAGAGCAACCAGCGGGAGACCCTCATCATGCGGCCGGACCAGATGTACGGCAACGTGGTGGTCACCAGCGTCGGGCAGCTGGTGCTGTACAACGCGCGGCCCGAGGACGCCGGCCTCTACACGTGCACCGCTCGCAACGCCGCCGGCCTGCTGCGCGCCGACTTCCCGCTGTCCGTGGTGCGGCGGGAGGCGGCCGGGGACGTGGCCCCCACGCCCCCCGACCCCGCCGAGTGCCTGTCCGCCGCGCAGGCCTGCGCCGGCGCCCCCTCCGGCCCGGTCCTCTGGCGGTACGACCCCCAGCGCGGGGGCTGCATGACCTTCCCCGCCTGTGGCTGCGAGGGCGGCGGCAGCCGGGGCTTCGAGACCTACGAGGCCTGCCAGCGGGCCTGCGCCCGCGGCCCCGGCGACGCCTGCGTGCTGCCCGCCGTGCAGGGCCGCTGCCAGGGCCGGGAGCCCCGCTGGGCCTACAGCCCGCTGCTGCGGCAGTGCCACCCCTTCGTCTACGGCGGCTGCGAGGGCAACGGCAACAACTTCGAGAGCCGCGCGAGCTGTGAGGATGCCTGCCCGGTGCCGCGCACGCCGCCCTGCCGGGCCTGCCGCCTCCGGAGCAAGCTGGCGCTGAGCCTGTGCCGCAGCGACTTCGCCATCGTGGGGCGGCTCACGGAGGTGCTGGAGGAGCCGGAGGTGGGGGGCGGCGGCATCGCCCGCGTGGCCCTGGACGAGGTGCTCAAGGACGACAAGATGGGCCTCAGGTTCTTGGGCACCAAGTACCTGGAGATGACGCTGAGCGGCATGGACTGGACCTGCCCCTGCCCCAACGTGACGGCTGGCGACGGCCCGCTGGTCATCATGGGTGAGGTGCGCGACGGCGTGGCGGTGCTGGACGCCGGCAGCTACGTCCGCGCCGCAAGTGAGAAACGCGTCAAAAAGATCTCGGAGCTGCTCGAGAAGAAGGCCTGTGAGCTGCTGAACCGCTTCCAGGACTAGCCTCACCCCTGCCCGTGTCTGCCCACCCTGTCCTCCTGTCCTGCTGAATAAAAAGCCTGACCTCACGGCCTGCGGGTGCCGGACCTCCCGGTGGGCCCCTCACCCCCCTCAGCCTGCCCTGCAAGCTGGTCGCCCGCTGCCACACTGGAGCACTGGCTCCGCTTCAAGTTCCCTCCTCGGGAACCTCCCACGTCCCTGCAGGAGAACAAGCCGTGACCAGCCCGCGACGGGCGCCTCCTCCTGCGGGAAGAGAGCCAGGCGGCCAGCGCAGTCCCGCCTCGGCGTCCCTGAGCTCCCCCTCCTTCCGCTGCTGCCGGGCAGCGCAACCCGGTCCCAGACGCCCCCGAGCCCTGACCCCACGGGCCAGACCCCCCACCCCCACCCCCCACCCCTGGGACTGAAACCTCGGAGACACAGCCTGCCCTCCCAGCACCACCGCGAGTGCTTCCAGGAGGAGGCCTCGTTGACACCAGCAACGAGCAGTAAGAAACTCTTTATTCCCAGGGTCTAAGCAGCCCTGTGGCCACCAGCCAAGAGCCCCCAGACCGGGCAAGGGCAGCCCTCACGGCCCAACCGCGGGAGGCACAGGCTGGCATCTGGGTTTGTTCCAGAACCGGCCTTGGTGGAGACACAAGCATGCGGGAGGAGGTTACTCTTTGCGGAATATCAGGCACTTGTTGTTGGCTGGCATGTCCACCTGGGGAAGATGCTGTGGCTGGAGCAGCTGCCCCTGGTCCCCAGGGAGGTCACCTGTGCCCCTAGCCCTCCCCACCTACCATCCTCTCCAGGAGCAGGCCACTGGCTTGGCCCAGGTCCTCCAGGAGGGCTGTGTCCCGCAGCCCCCACTCAGGGTTCCTGCAGCGGGAAGGAGGTGGGGGAGAAGGTGGACTTGTGGCTGGGGGGTGGCACCGAGCCCACCCGCCCTCCCGGCCATCCCCCGCCCCCCCGGCCATCCCCCCCCCATCCAGCTCTGACCTGCACCTAAGAGTGAGATCAAAATCCACGTTACTCTGCGGAGCGATCTTCCCATTGATGGCATAAGGCTGTGGAGACGGGAAGACAGCTCTGCCCGCCACCCACAGACACGCGGTCAGCCATTCCTCAGTGAGCACGCTGGCACTCAGAGAGAGAAAAGAACACAGCCCTCCCTGCCCCCAAGATGGGGGGCCAGCTGAGGACCAGCTGGTGAGCCAAGGGGTTGCAGGGAGCCTGGCAGGTGACCAGGGGGGTGTTCGAGAAAGAAGACCCTGGGTGGGCTTTAGTGGTGACAGGTTGTGGTGGGAGAAAGTAACTGAAAATACTGAAACCAAAAGGAGAGAGTCCAGAGAGGAGGCTCAGCTTAGACTGGGGTCAGGGTCAGGGCTGGCCTCCCAGGGGAGGCCGTCACCCCCGGCAGGGACACTAACCCCATAGGTAATCAGCAGCGCCTTGGGTTTGAGCAGGTGTCCCGCTGCTCTGAAGAGCCCCTGGGGAGTGAGGACACACGATGTCGGTGAGGGTCGTTCTCTCCCCCGGGCACCTGAAAGAGCCCGCAGTGCCCCACCTGAGATGCGGGGCAAGCCCGCCACCCTGCTTCCACAGACCTCGGTGCAGCTCAGGGGGCTGATGTGGATCATGTTGATGCAGAGCAGCAGGTCCAGCGACTGGGGCAGGATGCCGCCCCAATGCTCCCAATCCCAGGTCACGTCCAGGTACAGCGGGGCCTTGACGTTGGACAGCCCCTGAGCCTGAGTGGTGGCCGAGATGCTGTGGAAGGGCAGCACCCGGTTGGGGGAGCTTGGAGGGGTCTGGGTGGCGTGGGGAATCTGGAGAGCGGGACAGGCGCTGCTCCGCCTGTCCTTGCTTCCCCCCCACTTTCTCCAGCCGGGATCCCGCCTTCCGGGCGCCCCTGCGCACCTGTCCAGGCAGCGCTGGTCCACGTCGGACGGCTGCCACTCGGCGTGGGGGAAGGCCCGCGCGAAGTAGGCCGTGTGCTGGCCGGAGCCGGAGGCCACCTCGAGCACTCGAACGCCGCGCTGGGCAGGGTCCATGTACTGCCGCAGCACGCGCAGGATGGGCTCCTTGTTCCGCTCGGCGGCCGCAGCCACCAGCATCGCAGCAGCTCAGCAGACGGGCGGGTAGCCGTAATCCGATGCCGAGGGGCCGCGGGGAGCCGCAGTCCGACGCCGCGAGGCCCGTCGGGAGCCGTAGTCCGACGCCGCAGGCCCGTCGGGAGCCGTAGTCCGACGCCGCGAAGCCCGACGGGAGCCGTAGTCCGACGCCGCGAGGCCCCACGGGAGCCGTAGTCCGGCGCCGCGAGGCCCCACGGGAGCCGTAGTCCGGCGCCGCGAGGCCCGACGGGAGCCGTAGTCCGGCGCCGCGAGGCCCGACGGGAGCCGTAGTCCGACGCCGCGAACCCTGCCGGCAGCTGCGGCCCGGACTCCGCAAAGACTACAGTTTCCAGGAAGAGGCGCGCAGCGCGTTTAGGGACCCGCCGCGGGGGCGCACCGGGAGCGCCAGCCACGGCGAAGGGACTGGGAGGGGAGCTGGAGTCACTAGTTTACAGGTGACCATCAGCTCAGCTCCCAGTCGCCCATGGCCGCTCTAGCGTTTTCATAGCTCTTGTCACTCTCTGAAACTGTCTCGTTCGCGCTGCACTACGATGGGCGCTTCGTGGTTTCTGGTTCTTTTGAAATCGCAGTCGTCAGCGAGTTAATTTGTCAACATGGAGAAAACTAAAAAGAAAAAGTCCTGCTGCGCCGCCCGGGAATCGAACCCGGGTCGCAAGAATGGGAATCTTGCATGATACCACTACACCAGCGGCGCCGTTGGCGAGCCCTCCGCCCCCGAGATTTAAGGGATTGTGACGCAACCGCCCCGCGCGCAGGAGCACGGCGCGTGCGCGCTGCCGCTCCGCGGGGGGAGCGCCGGGCTAGGCGGGGCCTGCGTGCCGGGGGTTCCCGCGGCGTCGCTGGGGCGCCCGGCGCTCGGGAGCGAGACGGCCGAAGGGAGGAGGGCTTGACGCCCGGAGCCGCGCGGGCGCCGTGGAAACCATGGCAACCGCGGCGGCCGGAGCCGGGGGGGCGGGGCCGGGGCGGGGCCTCCGTCCGCGCGAAGCCGCGGGCGGCCCGGGCGCCTCTCCCCGCAGGCCCCGCGGTCCTGCGTTTCTCGAGGCTTCCCTGTGACGCTGGCCCAGGGTCCCCGACGCGGCGGGCGGGGGGGGCCGTGGCCCTGTGCGTGGTGTCCACAGGTGGTTTCCCGGCTGACGGCTTGGGGGCCGTGTCCCCGAGGGGCCTGTTCGGCAGCGGCCAGCTTCTCGTCTTGGGTGGGCAGCGTGTCAGCAGCGAACCCCGGAGCCGGCGTCACTCCGCCTGGGGCCCAGAGGGTGGCGCTGCCCCGGGCTTCAGCCTGGGATTGTGGAGGGGCCGAGGTGTGGGTTTGGTCAGGGGAGGAGGGCAGTCTTGCAGCTTAGGGTGGGGAAGGGGCGTGGAGCTGGCCCTCTGGACAGGCCCCCTGGGAAGGTGCCGCTCAGCCGGCAGCCTCCGCCTCCAGGCAGCCCCCTCGGGCACTCTGCACGTGAGCTCCATTTCACAGCCCCGCGCTTTCCTCTCCTGGTGCCCTTTCGCCTCCTGCCACGTTGGGTGTCCTCTGTGCATTTTCCATTTCCTTCCGTGTGTGGGCACCGAGACGAGCATCTGCTCTCAGGTATGACAGGCCTCTTTCAACCTGACAAGTTCCCAACAACAACGACCGTCGGAGCTTGGGGGCCGGTGCCCAGGGGACCCGACCTGTGATTAGCAGGTGGGAGACCGAGCCCACCACCCAGGCCTGATGATCTCATCAACACACCCGTGTCACAGGGCCTCCACAAAACACCCCGGAAGGAAGGGGCTCCGGAGCCTCTGGGCAGGTGAAGGGTGGCACCCGGGAGGGTGGCAGCACCCCCCACCCCTGGGCAGCGCCCTTTCCCCACCCCTTGCCCTGTGCATCTCTTCCACCTCTGTTCCCGAGAGTGGAATCCTTGATGGACCAGTAAACATGAGTGAGGGGTTCCCTGAGTCCTGTGAGCCTTTCCAGCAAATTATGGAGCCCGAGAAGGGGGGAAGCGAGGACCCCGACTTACAGCTGGTGGATCAGACGCACAGGTGACAGCCTGGATTTGTGACTGGCGTCAGAAGTGGGGTGGTTTTGTAGGACTGGGCCTTTACCTGGGGGTCTGCATAATACCAGGTGAGAGCGTCAGAACTGAGTTAAGGTGTAGGACACCCCGTCGGTGTCTGCAGAGAACTACTTGGCGAGGAAAACCCACACTTGGTGTCAGAAGTGTTGAAAGTACAGAAAACATTGCCTCCTTCACCCCAGGTGTTCTGAGAGGGGAGGAACCCGACAGACCGGTGTCTGTCCCGTGGCCTGGCGTCAGAAGCTGTCCCAACACCCAGCAGAGGCTCCAACAGCATTGACCTTAGGTTGATACCCGACTGGCGTACCTGTCACTCGGGGCTGGAGGCCACGTGAGCTACCCCCTGCGCTCCGCACCCACCCAGCTCGGAGCTGGAGAAGGCAGACGTCTAGCCTTTCCTGCATTGTGTGTGTGTGTGTGCACGCGCACATACGTGTGAAGGCTTGTGTGTACACTTGTGAACACACACGTTCTGGAAAGCGATAGATATGTGTCAGACTCTGGGAGGATCCAGGCCCCCCAGCAAATGCTAAACAGCGGACCCCTCGAAGTGCCCCCTAATGGAGAAAATATTGGGGTTCGGCACCGATGGTCAAGAAGGGATTCTTGAGATGTTTTTGGTGCAAAAGGGTGGTTTTACTAAAACACAGGACTAGAACTTGTGGGCAGAAAGAGCTGCACTGGGGTTGTGAGGAGCAATCGATTATATACTTTCACGCTGGGCGGGGTTTAGGGATAGTGTAAGTCTCCAGGGAATTCTGGAAGCAAGGTTTCCAGGTTGTTAGGGAAGGGTCATCACTACTGTCCAGTAAAACCTCAGCCGTGAGACCGTGCAGGTGTGGATCAGAGGGCCGTAAGCTTGGAGTATGGTTGCCAACGTATATCGTGGGCAGGAAAAGACAAGGGAAGTTTCCAGAAGAATTTTTATGTGTTAAAGTAGACTTACAGGATCGGGGGTGTCAGACTAAGATTGCCTTTTGCCTCCAGCAAAGTGTCATCGGGGTGGCAGCTGAGATCCCAAGGGAAGGTCACTCTGCTGGTTGCAAGGACCTGTCGATGGGCTGTAAGTTGTAAAAAATGTAATCTTTCATTTGTCCTTGTTCCCCACATCGTCCCCCACCATGGACTGTGCTGCGTGGGGCCTCCTGAGATTCCGTGTCCTGAGGTGGAATTCAGCTCCCAGGCAGCCCTCTTGAGCTTCTCCCCACTGTGTGGAAGGTTCCGCAGCACGGGCCACTTTCCCAAAGGAGTGTTTAGCCACGTGACAGAATTTCCAGTGCCCAGAGAGCCCTGAGCAAACAATGCATGCCCTGCCCCCTGCCCACCCCCACTGGGGGTGCCACTTCCTCCCCAGCCCTACCTCCCTTGGCTTCCTGGACCTACTGTAACAAATTAACCCAAACTTTTGGCTTAAAACAACAGAAATGTATTTTCTCATGCTTCTGGAAGCCAAGTCCAAGGGAAAGGTGTCTGCTCACTCCAAAGGCCCTAAAAGAAGATGGTTCCTCAGCACTTCCAGCCATTGGTGGCCGCTGTTCTGCACGCTGGGTGAGGCCCCACCCCTCCGCCCAAGTGCCCCTCTCCAGCTCGGGCTGGATTCCCAGCTTCTCCAACAACAGGCCATGTCACCGATCCCTTGCAGGGGCTTCACAGCCAACCCGCCTCAAGGACAGTGTGGTCTTGGGGGGGGGGTGGTGAGTGAGTCTGGGGAGCTCCCCAGGCTCCATCCCCACGCTAGATTGTGTCCATGGGCCAGTGAGGCTGAGAAGTCTCCGGGGGAGACCAGCCCCGCCCCCCGCGGACTTCGCTGCCCCCCGCCCCGCCTTCCTCCCCCCTCAGCTATCCTCAGGACCACTGGGCTCTCTCTCCGCCCCCAGCTTGTCCTGCACCTTCTCCCTTCCCACCCTAGGGTCCTCTCTGCTCACCTTCATCTCCCCCTGAGCTTCTGAGGGTTAGGGCGTCAAGGCCGTGGCTGGGCCCGTCCGCCCATCAGTAGGCCTTGCTCTGCCCCTGTTGTCCGCAAAGGCCCCAGGGCAGTGCCCGCTGCAGGCGGGGCCTCAGAGTTTGTGCCAGCTTGGGGGCCCGTGCTCCCCACACGGCAGCCTTGATCCCTCCGCCGGGAACACGTACCCTCGGGACACAGCCCCCCACCGCGCTGTCTCCCCAGCATGTGAGTGAGCAGAGGGAACTGTGCTCAGGGCCAGGGCAGCCAGGGCAGATGGTTCACGCAGGACCACGCTGGCCTGGACTCCGCTGTGGGGAGGGACAAGGGACAGAAGCCGCAGGGGTGCTTGGGGCAGGGAGCTGGGTTCACGAGCCCCTCTCCCCCCTTCTCGGGATCACAGCCCTAACCCAGCCCACCCTGTGGAGGAGGAAGCTGGGGAGGGGGCCCCCAGGACACAAACTTCCTGAAGGGCGCCCGAGCAGGCCTGGTTACCACCCACCAGGCACATGGGTGCGTAGGGTAGCTGGGGAGGGGCGCTGCCCAGAGCAGTTTCGGGGGGTGGGGGTTCCTCCTGCTGCTGTCACTCCCCTCCCCCTGGAGCTAACCCCGCAGCGCTCGCACTCCCCAGGTTGCGCATTCTGCCTGTTTCGGCCCTGCTCTGAGGGTGACGTGGGGGCAAGCGGGGCTGCATTTGCTCCAGGAACCCCTCAGGTGGCAGCTCCCAGGAGACCAGTCCCCTTGGGCTTCCCAGGCCCTGGTGCCCGCCAGGCTGAGCCTCCGCAAATGCTGTGGCAACAGTGTGGGAGCCACACAAGCTTGGAGGGCGGATTCCAGGACCCCTGGACGACTCTGGGCAGTGTTTTCCTGGGCGGGAGGGGGGTGGGTGTTAAGGATTGAATTCAACCTTCTGCTGAGCCCACTAGGTCCTCAGGCTCACAGGCCCCGCCCACAGCCTGGGCAGCCCTGCGCAGCTGCGAGTTGGGAGGCAGGAACCCTGGGTTGGGAGCCCGTCTGGCCCTTACAAACCAGGCAGCTCCAGGGGAGACCCCTACCCCTCCAGGAGGGCGGGAGTGGGAGGTAACGGCTTCCTTCCAATTGGGGTGAAACAGGCAAACCGGGTGGCCTCCCCCACCTTCTCTCTCCCCAGGATCCCACCCCCACACTGGTCCCAGTCTGCAAGCGGCCTCCCCTCCCTGGAGCTGGGGGCGGACCCTTGCATGGGAGCCTGGGTGCGGAAGCAGAGTGCACCCAGTATTCCTGTCCGACGGAGTGCAAGGGAGATTACCAGGGCGCCAGGTCTCTGCCCAAACCCCAGGGGCGAACGCACTTTTTTTGGGCTCTGGCCCTGTAGTCTCAAGACACAGGCCCAGAAGGCCCCCTGATACTGGCCCAGACCCACGGAGGCAGCTTGGCCGAAGCTACCCGACAGGGTCCCCACAGAGCGTCCCCAGCGCCTGCCAGCGCCCCTGCGTCCGCCGCGGCTCACCTGGCCTTCAGGCGGCGGAGGCATTCCCAGGCCCCTGTACGCTTCCTCTGCCCTTGGCCTTGGGCCATGCGGGGTGGGGCGCTGGTTACTGCGGCCCCAGCCAGTCTCCTAAAGGCCCGGCCTCCGCCGCGAGCACGGCCCAGACGCGCGGGCCCTTTAAGGGCCGGGGGCGTGTAGCGGCCCGCCCCCCTCCCCGCCGCGCCCGGCCGCTGGTTAAAGGGGCCGCGCCCTGGGCCCCCGCCGAGTGCGAGCCCGGGCGGAGGGCAGGGCAGGGCGTGCGTCCGGGCGAGCGCGCGGGCCGGCGGCCCTTCCGCACCATGTACACCATCACCAAGGGGCCCAGCAAGCTGGTCGCGCAGCGCCGCACAGGTGCGCGGGGCGAGGGGCGGGCAGGGTCGCCGGGGGGAGGGTCCGCGCAGTGACCCCCAGCCTCGGCGGCCGCTGACGCGCCCCGCGCCCGCAGGTCCCTCGCAGCAGCAGGTGGAGAGCAGGCTCGGCGAGCTTCTGAAATGCAGACAGCCCGCGCCGCCGACCCCACCGCCCCCGCGGGCGCAGCCGCCGGGACCCTGGCCCCTGTCGAGGTGAGACGCGCGGGCCGGCCGCCGCGGGACCGAGAGGGTGACCTTGGGGAAGGTTCGCGGAGACCGGGCCACATGCTCGGGGCGGGCGCGGGGGCGGGGCGTCCGTCCCCGCCCGCGCGAGCAGCTCTGCCTTCCGCGCCTGGGCGCCTGCACCTCACCTGGCACCTGGCTGGGTTGAAGGGGACTGGGCTGGGTGTGCGTGAACCCCTCTCCCACGCCGGCCCTGTGGGGTCCTGGCGGACCGCTAGTGGGGAGGAAGCCGACCAGCGCCTGGGTCGGAGGAGCTCCACGCGGCTGACTCACGTGCCCCGGGCGACCTTGAGCAGGGAGGCCAAGGTTTGAGGCGAGGTGCCCAGGAGGGCAGGAGCCAAATACCCCGGGGGTGCGGCCCTCAAGGCCCCCGGCGCTTTCAGCCCTGTCCTTGAGGAACTGGCTGGGGGAGAAGGTGCACGTGGTTCCCTGTGGTCCTGCCAGGCCACTGCCCCCTCCACCCGTCACCCGCAGCACCCTGGCTGGGCGCTGCCCCCTCCACCCGTCACCCGCAGCACCCTGGCTGGGCGCTGCAGGCCTCCCACAGACGGTCAGGCGTGCTGGAGCCTGCAGTCTTCTGCCTTTTTACAGCCCATAGTTTTGCCAGCCTGCAACCCCTGTGGCACCGGAATGGCAGTCCCTGCCAATTTGGCCTCCACATGACCTTGACCTGGAGGTCAGGTCCCCTCCATCCCCCAGAGCTGAGCCTTTATACTTGTTTGTCTCGAGCTCTGGACCTTTGGCTTCACTTATTCTATGCATTTCCTGGGCCCTGGCCTTTCTTCTAGGCCCACAGAGGCCCGAGGCCTCCCGCACTAGGGCCGTGCGTCCGGGCAGCAGATAACAAGGTGGCATGGCTGGGGAGGGTGCAGGTGATGGGCGCCTGCCAGGAGGGGGCATACCGTGAGGATCTTTCTGGGCCGAGACCCTGCCCTGGGGCCCTTTGCTGGGGGCCGGTTGGTACTTGGAGGTTGCGTGCTAGTGATGAAAACGTTCTCGGCCAGCCACAGGTGTGTCCTGGGGAGACAGATGAACAGGGCCGGGGGGTGCCTCCGGGGACCCAGGCTGCGCTATAATATTGCCTTGTGATTTCAACTTGGGTCCTCACAGCTGCCCTTCTGCCCACAGGAGTAAACAAGACCTAGGCGAAGGGCCACCACTGGTCACCCAGGCCAGTAGTCTGGGACCGGAGCGGCCCACGTGCCCCACCTGGAGAAGCTTACCACCTTCTCCCTGTTGCTGGTGCAGGGGCGTCTGTTGCACAGTCGGGGAGCGCTGGGGAGGAGCAGGAAAGGCAGCACAGAGCCCTCAAGCCCCCAGGAGGCCTCACCTCTGCCCTCAGCTGGCCCTTAGCCAGGTGGGCCCACTGCGGCTTGCAGGTCAGGAGGGTGTGCTGAGCAGCCCGGCCCGAGGGAGCGCACGCCTCCGTGTCGTCCGCTTCGTGTGAGGAGCGGTGAGGCACGCCTGCGCTGGCTGTGCCCGCCCCCCTTCCTCCCCACTTCCTCCCTCTGTCGGAGCTGCCCCTGCCCAGTCCCAGCGGCCTTGAAAGGATCCTGCTGGGAGGCCAGAGAGGCCGGTGGGCCCTCCCTGCCCGCTCTCCAGCACCTTCTCAGGGTGCCCCTCTCTGGCAGCTGCACCCCGGCTGCCTACCTAACCTTCCCTGCTGTTTTCTCTGTAGTGCCTTTTCACTGCCCAGCCTCCCTCACCCCGACTGGCCGGGGAGAGAGAGGGTGACCGTGCCACGCCGCATCCCCTACGCCTGGTGCCCTGCAGGCGCGCGAGGCAACTGACCAGCTAAATATATGGGCTGGGGTTCCAGCCGGGCATGGGTCTGGGTTCTGGCCGTGGTGGTGAACACGCCACACAGGTCTGCGCCTCCGAGGAGCAACTGCTCCCAGGGGAAGACAGACAGGAGAGAAGAGAACATCAGCAGAGGTGACACTTGTCATTGGGAAGAAGTTAATACGGCGCCTTGTGACCACCTGTGGTCCTGGGAGCAGGTCGGGGAGGTGGCCTGGGAGTGTGGGCTTGGAGGTCGGACAGGTGCACAGCTGAGTCCTGAAACTGGCACCCACTTACCGTGTGTGACTTCCCTCTGGAGCCCAGGGCCCCGGGCTGGAAACCGGTGGGTTGGTTGACCTTGGGGATCAGAGAGGAGACTAAGTGACAGGATGCCCACGTAGGCCTGAGCAGGGACACGGAGCAGGCCTGCGGGCAGCGCCCTTGGGAGGAGGCGCGGTGTGGCTTTCATCCACAGGTGCATGCTCGAGCCAGTGTCCTTCCCCCAGAGGGCCTGTGGAGGGGCCTCGTGTAAATAACTCTGGGCAGTGGGCTGGTGGCGCCTGCCTTCTCTGGCCCCTGTGCCGCCCTGGTCAGGTCACCACCTTAGTCCCTGTGATTCATAGCCTCTGGCTGCAATTCCCTTTTTTGTTTCCCTGTTTTGATGTCCAGCCTCCACTTTGCAGCCTTGTGGGGGCGGGGGTGGCAGGCACGGGGCTGTCCAAGTTGAGGACAAACCATCACACCCTCTGGCTGGTGCAGCTCAGGCCTGGGAGGAGCCCCAACGCCTCTATATTTTCTTGGGCCACCAGACCCTGCCGGCCCGGAGCTGGCAGGACCGGTGCCCCTCAAGACCCTCCTCTTTATTTTAGTGGCCCTCTCAGCCAAGGAGGACCCCCGAGCGGCGGTGGGGCACCTGAACCCAGGAAGGCGAGCAGGCCGGCGGGACCGCGAGTGCCTGGCGGAGTGGCACGGGCAGCCCAGGACTCCCGGCTCCCACCTCCTGCTGTAGGTGCGGCCCCGATCCCTCCACAGCCCCGTCCCGGGCTTTGTGTGTGCGGGGCCTGGCCAGCTGCCGCTGGCTGCGGCGGCCAGCACCGCCCTGGGCCCCGCTGACCGGGACAGGCCCAGCGGCTCCCTGGACATCCCACGCCCCCCAGGCTGAGCCCCGGGAACCCGGGGGTTCACCCGGAGGGTGCCGCCTCCCCACTCGGTATTCCCACCCCTGTGGGCAGCAGAGCTGCCTGGTCTGCGCCTGCAGCATCGGGCTGGGGCTGTGGTCACACCTTCCCCACCCCGTGGTTCGGCCGGACCATCACTCAGGGCTCATCCCTACGGAGGCTGGGGCGGCCAGGAAGAGAGAAGGGCAGAGACCGCCTGCTTCTTGTTTGGGTCCTTCCTCCCTCACTGGGGGCAATGGTGAGATGGAGAGGCTTCCGTGGGGGAAGAAGATGGCCGAGAGTTGTGCTTGGGACAGAGTGACCCGGCTGTAGCTTAGGTCAGAACAGGGGCTGCTGGAGGCCCGGCTGGTGCTGGGGAGGCGGGATGCAGGTGACAACAGGGGTGCCCGAGACCCCTGGACAGAGAGCACCTGTGTGCCTTGAGCAGGGAACCCTGCTGGGGGTCTGGGACCTCAGGTGTGAACTGGGCTGCTGGGGGCTTGGGCCTGCGGGAGAGCGGCCCCCACCACCACTGCATCAGGCAGCTGCCCTGAAGCTCGAGAGGTGCCTGCGCTGGGCCCGGGCCCGGGGTGGGGGGTGCGGCTTGAACCTGCTCCTGGAGCTTTGCCAGGCATCACCTGGGCTCAGGAAGTTGCTGACTGGCTCCTCCCCCCTCCACAGTCCGGGGCCAAGGCTTGTGTTCAATCGGGTGAATGGCCGGCGGCCCCCTGCCACATCTCCATCCCTTGAGGGGACCCAAGAGACCTATACACTGGCTCATGAGGAAAACGTCCGATTTGTGTCTGAAGGTAGTGTCGAGGCCCGAGGGCGTGGCTTGGGCCCCTCTTCCTCTTCCCCACTCCCACCTGACTCACAGTAGCTAGAGGGCCGGGCTCTTCCTAGGCTCCCTCCCTGTTTGTCCTATGACCGTCCCGGGGGCTGCTGCTCCCAGTTCCGGGCTGGGGTGCAGGGTGGCCACCGGGCCCTGGGTAGAAGACCGGATGCCAGGGTCCTGGCTCAGTCTGACTGCCCTCTCCCCACAGCCTGGCAGCAAGTGGAGCAGCAGCTGGGTGGTGGCCCGGCTGGCGAGAGTGGGCCCAGGCCCGTGCAGTACGTGGAGAAGACCCCCAACCCCCGGCTGCAGAGTGAGCCCTCCCCTGCCCTCAGGGAGTCCTGTCCACTCCCTCTGGCCCTGACCTGGGACCTGCTGGGTTCTAGTCCTTAGGGGATTGGGGAGGGCGCTTGGACTTGACCCACTTGCTACACTTGGGCCTGGGTGAAGGGCTTGTGGTCAGCTCAGAGGGAGAGCCATTGAGCGACCTGGAAGCAGCATCACTGCCCAGCCTCTACTGTGCCCGCAGACTTCGTGCCCATTGACCTGGACGAGTGGTGGGCGCAGCAGTTCCTGGCCAGAGTCACGAACTGCTCCTAGCCACCTTGGAAGGAACCGCCCCTCTGTGGGCCCAGCTCACCCGCATGCTGGACCTCCGCCAGAGAGGACCGCGGCGCCCTGTCGAACTGCTGAGGCACACGCCGTACTCCGCCCTGAGTCTGGCCAGGCGCCGGCCACACCTGAAGTGCCAGCGTTTGGACTTTTGCACCTGCTGACCCCTTGGCCCAGCTGTCCCATGCTGCCAGGGGCTGAAACTGTCGGACCTCAATCCTGCTCACTGTGCCCAGGGACCAGCCCCTGGGGCTGGCAGGGAGGAGCTCCAGGCTAATAAAGTCGAGAAACTGCCTTTTCTGAGTGGCCTTTACTTGGTGCGTGGGGGGTGGGGTCGGGGCCCCCCTGTCCCCGGGCAGCGTCCAGCCCAGCCTTTCCCTGGCTGCACAGTTGCAGCTCGGCCCGGTAGTGGCCCTCCCGTGTCCTGACAGAGGTGCCGGGGCCCTGGGCCAGCTCATCTTTCTTGGGAGGTCACTCACTGCACCTACCCTGCACCACCTGGCTTCCTCTCCCTGTTGGCAGGTGCCTGAGCCCCATCTCCAGAGCCACAAATGTTATGCAACCGGCCCTGGGATTTAGTCGCAGCGGCTCAGGGCTCAGGACTGGGGCCAAGTCTCAGGACGCCCAGTGCTGTCTCTTCATCCCCCAGGGCTGTGGGACGCTGGGCAAAGGTGAGCTGTCCTGGTAAACACTGCTCTGCCTCTTGGGGGGATGGCCTGCCTGCGGCGACGGCACCCAGCGAGGAGCCCAGGTGTGGACGCATCACGAGAGGGCTGGAGGCAGCAGCGGGGCCCAGTCTGGTGCGCCCGTGGGTGCGTGGGCACATTCGGCCAGGCGCCCTCCCACAAACACTGCGGGCCCCCTCGGTCCCCACAGCTGGACTCGCCCGAGCACCCCCGCGGAGCCCCGGGGAGCGACGGTTCCGGGCGTCTGGGGGGCTGCGGACGGCGAGCCGGGCCGCCCCTCCGCCGCCACCCCCGGCCGAGCGCGGTCACGGGGCCATCACCGCGCAGCCGCGCGCCCCGCCCCGCCCCGGTCACGTGGCCTCGCCCGCGGGACGGCGGAAGTGGCGCCGTTGCCAGGCGGCCGTTGCTAAGCGCGCGCTGCGTGCCCTGCGTGGAGCGAGCGGCGGTCCGGGCGGGAAATGCGAGCGGCTCCGCTATGGCGAAAGGTAGCGGCGCGCGGGAGGCCGGGGCTCGGGCGCTGGGATCGCTGTCGCCTTGGGGGGGCGCGCAGAGCCGGCCTTTGGCCCCTCCCTGGAAGGTCTGGAGGCCCCCAGAGGGATGCCGCCTTGCCCTCACGGGACCCGCGGGGGCCTGGCACCCGAGACAGGCCTCCGCGCCCCCCCCACCCTGGCAGGACCCACTGGGGGCTGGCACCGGGGACAGGCCTTCATGTCCGCCGGGGCCCTCATACTTTCATGGCCCCCCAGTGTGGCAGCAGCCGTTGCTCAACGTCTTCAGACACTTCAAAGTGGGCGAGTGGAAGCGGTCCACGAAGGAAGGCGACGTGGCTCCTGTGACAGTAAGCGGACGGGGGACTTGGCGGCGGCAGCGGGGACGCATTCTCCCCTGGGACGTTTCGTAGACCCGCCAGGGGTCACGTGCGTGCTGCTTTTTCTCTCTCTCTTCAGGATAAGACTCTCCAGTGCACCGTGTACCGCATCCAGGGCTCTGTCTCTGCCAGCAATTACCTTCAGCTCCCCAAGACCAGCACCCAGTCCCTAGGGCTGACGGGGCGGTACCTGTACGTGCTCTTCAGGCCCCTGCCCCCCAAGCACTTCGTCATTCACCTGGACGTAGCCACTGAGGTGCGAGCCCAGGAGTCGGGGCTGGGGAGGGGTGCCGCGCTCCTGAGCCCTGCTTGTCTTCTCATGGTCACGCTCCGCCCCGTAGGACAGCCGGGTCATCCGTGTGTCCTTCTCCAGCCTCTTCAAGGAGTTCAAGTCTACGGCCACGTGGCTTCAGTTTCCCTTCATCTGTGAGGCCGGGCCTAGGAAAGGTGTTGTGGAGCCAGGGCGTGAGCACGATACCGTGGTCCCCGTGGTCCGGGAGAGGCAGCCTGGGAGCAGGGAGGGAGTCGGGCCGGCCGTGCGGGGGGCGGGGGGGGCCCGTGCGGCTGTGGCGAAGCGGAGTGCCGCGGGCCGGCCGGTGAGACCACAGGCACTGATCTTGGCTCATGCTGTGCAGACCTGGCTGGCGTTGCCCCCTCGGGTGCCCGCTGGACGTGCCTGCAGCTGGACCTGCGGGACACCCTCCTGGTCTACCTGAACCGGAGGTACGGCCATCTCAAGAGCGTCAGGCTGTGCGCCAGTCTGCTCGTCAAGAACCTCTACACCAGCGATTTGTGCTTTGACCCTGGTAGGCGCCACAGCCTATGCCCTGTGCCCCTCCCGCCCGCTGCAGCCTCCGCTGCCCCTCCCTCCCGGAGTTCTCAGCAGGAGGGATGGCATCTTGGGGCTGCCCAGCCCCCAAGGCACCTGTGCGGGGCAAGGGGTAGTGGTGGCTGGGCTGGCGACCGGGCGACACCGTGTCATCACCCGGTGTTAAGTCTCGCCTGTGTTGGAAGAAGGAGCTGATGGGCTTCCTCGGACCGGTTCTGCCTTTCGTAGCCGTCACCACTGTGGAGGCCCAGCGGGCAAAGCTGTCTGTCACTCCTGTACCTCGAGAAATGGCGTTCCCGGTGCCTAAGGGGGAGAGCTGGCATGAGCACTACGTCCACATCCGGTGAGCGGCCCTGCCTGTCCCGAGGAGGCTGCTGAAAGGGGGCGGGGCGGTCCCTGGACGCTGACTCTCCCTCTGCCCCACCAAGGTTTCCAAGTGTCAGCTCCAGAGCATCTTCTGAGCCGGCTCAGAAGAGCCGTTCCCCTCCTGAGTCAGGTCAGCGGGGTCAGCGTGGACGTGCAGCGTGGCGGGAGTGGGTGCTGACACTGTTTGGGGGTGGTGAGCCTGGCAGGATGGGGCCCGGAGGAGCCGGGCCTGGTCTGGAGGCCGTCCTGGGGTGCAGAACCGAGCGGGAGGTTGCGTGGGGTGCCTGGTGGTTCTCAGACCCCCCCCCCCACCGCCGGGGGCCCCGGGGGGGAAGCTTGGGCTGCAGCTGTGGGCGTGGCTTCGGAGGAGCGGGCCAGGCCCGGGCCCATGTTCTCCCCACGCCTCTGCGCTCTGCTCACACATTTGCTCCTTTCCAGTTTTTCGGGGGCACGTGCTGGAGCTTCTCCCTCACCCGGTGGCTTTCAGTAATCCCTTCCCAGACAGCGTGTCCCCAGTGGCCCGGATGTTTGGCCCCACAGCCGTGAGTGCTCCTGTGCCCTTGGAGACGGGGCCGGTGGCTGGTGGCCCCAGGGTGCTGACACGCACTTGTGCATCTGCAGTCTCGCCAGGCCTCGTCCGTGCCCAGGCCCCTCCCAGAGGTCCGCTTGTTCCGTGAGCACTCGGAGGTCTGCGGTGAGAATGGCCCCGGTGACCATAGCCAGGAGCCCTCGGCCAGGGCACAGGTCACTAACAAGCACGCCGCTGGCAACAGCACTCACACGTCTTCCCTGGAGTTGGCCACGGTGCCGGTGGCCCTGAGCAAGGTCAGTGCCTTTCCCCAGGAAGGTAAGGGACAAAGCGTGTGGGGTCTCAAGGGGTGGGGCCTCCGTCAGGTGTGGGCAGCGGCTGCTGGGCTTCTGATAAGCTTTTGTTATCCAGCGTCCAGGCAGAAAGCAGAGCAGTCGGGACACGGCTTCGGGCGACACTGTCTTCCAACGAAGAGTGAGGAGGCGCCACGTGGTCTGTGGGGGCCTGGGACTCCTGGCCGGGGCAGGAACTAGGGTCCCTGCAGGGTCTGGCACTGTGGCCGCATCCCGGCGCCGTGCCACGGTGCAGCTGGCGGCCAGGAGGACCACTTCGCTCTCGGGAGGGAGGGACTCGCCCAGGCTGGTGCTGTCCCCGCCTCCCGGGGTCTCACTGTGAGTTTGCCTATTTCAGAGCTTTCTCCCGGATCCCATACTGAGGCTCAAGGGAGTCATCGGCTTTGGGGGCCACAGTACCAAATGGGTGAGGGGTCCTGTCTTCTCTTTGCGTCACACGTCAGGTACACAGAGGGGGCAGCGAGGGCAGCCTGCGTCTCCCCAGGGTGGCTACGTGGACACCTAAGCTTCCTTAGGGTGTTGAGTCCCTCAATCCCACGTCTGCACACGGCTCTGTGCTTCTTCAGTGGACGTGTGGTCTTCCTGTCCACGCGTCTCTTTCTCGTTGCGTGACGTAGGCTGGGTCGGCAGTGGCCCGGGTGCCTGGGCTTCCATCGGCCCGAGAACTCGCACTTGGCCCTGTGAGGCTCCAATGCTTGTGGTCTGGCGGGTGGGGCTGAGCGTGGGCACCACCTCCGGGTCTCTGTGGCCCTGTGCTTGCCAGCAGTTTCCACGGGCTCCGTAGGGTCCCCAGGGTCTCGTATCACAGACACATTCAGAGGAGGTCCTGTGCGTGCATCCCGGGGAGCACAGGGTGGGGTGTGCTCGGGTTGGGGAGGGGTGAGGCCAGCCAGCCTGTGACACTAGACTCTGGCCCCTGTGCACAGGCCGTGTGGACCAAGGACGGGGCTGCGGTGGTGTACCCCTGCCACGCCGTCATCGTCGTCCTATGCGTGGACACCCGGGAGCAGCGCTTCTTTCTGGGCCATACTGACAAGGTGGGCACTGCCTGCCCGTCCCAGGGGAGGCTTGTGCCCACAGGCTGGACCCCGTCTCTCACCCTGCCCTCTCCCCAGGTTTCTGCCCTGGCGCTGGATGGGAGCAGCTCACTGCTGGCCTCAGCCCAGGCCGGGCCCGCGAGCATGCTGCGCCTGTGGGACTTCCAGACCAGGGGGTGCCTGTCCCTGTCCCGGAGCCCGGTGCACACCCTCTGCTCCCTTAGGTGGGCGCGGGGCCTCCGAGGGGGTGGGGGGCCAGCCCCAGCGACGCTGACCGCCTGCCCTGCCCCTGCAGTTTCTCCAGCAGCGGGGTGCTGCTCTGCGGCGTCGGCAAGGACCCCCACGGGAGAACGGTAACGGGGCCGGGTCACGGTCGGGGCCAGGGTGTGGGCAGAGTCCAGACCGCTTGGGAAGCAAAGCCCCCCGGCAAGCCCCCTTCCCTGTGTGCAGCACGTAGTACGCCAGGCTTTCAGCCCTCCTGGACGGGGTCGGCGTTCACACGGGCACTCGGTCCTTGCTGGCCGTTCTCATGCGTCCGCGTTCAGAAGTCTGCTGTGCCCCAGGCGTCTCCTGTTCCCCCGGGGGCCCGTCTCTGCTTGCGGGGCGGTGTTTACTGTGTCGGCAGGCGTGCCCGGCTTCAAGTGCCCGTGGACGCCTCGGGGTGTGCGTAGGCAGACGTCCCCATGCCCTCAGCCGCCTAGCACTCAGGCGGACTTGTGTGGGAAGAAGGGAGAGCTGAGGCGTGGGGGGAGGCCAGGCGGATGGGGGGTGCGGCCACTCAGTATGGGCTCCTCGCAGGTGGTGGTGGCCTGGGGCACAGAGCGGGTGGGACGAGGCGGTGAGGCCGTCCTTCTGGCAAAGACGTACACCGGTGTCGACGTCCAGGCATTTAAGGTTGCCTTTTTCGATGAAGCCAGGTGATTGGCCTGCCCCTGCCCCGCTGGGATGGGTCGTTGGCAGCCCGGGAGCCCAGACGGGGGCTGAGCCTGGCCCGGGGACTGTCCACAGTGTCAGCTTTCTGCCCGGCAGGATGGCCTCGTGCGGCCAGGGCAGTGTGCGGCTGTGGCGGCTGCGCGGCGGGGAGCTGCGTTCCTGCCCCGTGGACTTGGGGGCGCACCGCGTGCTGGAGTTGACTGACCTGGCCTTCGGGCAGGCCCAGGACGCCCGCACGCTGTGAGCCCTGCTCTCGCTCCCATAACTGGCTGGGTCCTGGTCCCGCTGCCCCTTCATCCCTCACTTGTCGCTTCCCTGAGCAGCTACGTGTGCAGCCGCAGTGGCCACGTCCTGGAAATTGACCACCAGCGCATGACCGTGCGGCATGCTCGCCTCCTGCTGCCCGCACAGGCCCCTGGCAGCCCCCTCTCACAGAAGCAGACCTCAGGCGCCGGTAGGTGGACCCCTGCCACACGGGGGGAGCAGTCCCGATGCTTTGGGCTGACGCCGCCCACTCCTCTAGGCCCTGGCATTTCCATCAGCAGCCTCAGCGTCTCCCAGACGACGTGTGCCGTGGGCTCTGACGACGGCTACCTGCGCCTCTGGCCCCTGGACTTCTCCTCCGTGCTCCTAGAGGCAGGTGGGGCTGCGGCATTGTCAGGCCACCAGAAATGCTGTGGGAGGGTGTGTCCCGGGCCAGCCCCTGGCTAGAAGGCAGTCCCGGGGCTCCACGGGCCCGAGTCCTAAGCCCAAGAGCCAGTGGTCGTGGGGGAACTGCCTGTCCTGGCCTGCAGGCTGCAAGGAAACGGGTCCGTGTGGGTTGGGTAGGGGCTGGGAGGTCGCTGAGTCCCCCTGCCCGCAGAGCACGAGGGCCCCGTCACTTTGGTGTGCGTCAGCCCTGATGGTCTGCGTGTGCTGTCCGCCACCTCCTCGGGCCACCTGGGCTTCCTGGACGTCCCGTCCCGGGAATACAACATGCTGACTCGTTCCCACGCCGCGCCGGTGCTGGGCCTGGCCACCGAGCACAGCCGCGGGCAGCTGGCCACCGTGTCCCAAGACCACACTGTCCGCGTCTGGGACCTGGCGACCCTGCAGCAGGTTGGGAGGCGTGGCTAGCGGGGCGGGGACTGGAAGGTTCTGGGCCAGTGGGTGGGGCCCAGGCAGGCATGGAGCACAGGAGGGCCCGAGGGGCGCTAGGGCTCCGGTCACCTGGACAGGTTGCCTCCCGGGCTCCTGAGGCCAGAGGCCGTCTGGTAGCCCCGCCCCCATGCACCCTCACGGACCCCCACCCTCCAGCTGTATGACTTGAGGTCCCCGGAGGAGACCCCCCGCACCATTGCCTTCCACCCGACACGGCCGGCCTTGTTCTGCGGCTTTGGCAGCGGGGCCGTCCGCTCCTTCAGCCTGGAGGCCGCCCAGGTTCCCGTGCAGCACAGGTGGGTGCCCCGCCGGCGCCAGCCCCGCAGACGCCTGGGGTGGAAGCGGAGGTGGTGTGTGGGCACCTGGGCAGGGCGGGGGAGGGCCCGCGGCTGCCCCCTGGGGCCCCCGCCAGGACCCGCTGTGAGCGGTCAGGGCACTGGATCCCTGTGTGGCACAGGTGTCACCGAGGGGCGGTCACCGGCCTGGCCGTCAGCCCCGACGGCAGCTTCCTGTTCAGCTCCTGCTCCTGGGGCACCTTGGCCCAGTACCGCTGCTCCGCCGCCCAGTGCCGCATCCTGCGGGTGACAGGTCAGGCCCCCCGGCACCCTACCCGGCCTCCCAGCAGGTCCCTGCAGGGCGGGGCTCGCTCGCTACCCAGAGCCCCAGGCTGGGTGTGGTTTAGGGCGCCCCAGCCCCCAGAACCGCAGGTCAGTGGGGGTCTGTGCCAGCCTGCTCCAGGAGGAGGCGTGTGGCCTGAGTGCCAGGTGGGAGTCGGCCCGCTCCAGGGCAGCACGTGAGGCCATCTGTGCTGTCCCGTGGCCGCTGTAACTCGGGGCCGCCGCGTGGTCACCTGGAGCATGGCCAGCTGCTCTAGCAGTAGCCAGCGCCCACTGGTGTCCTGGCGCTCGTGTGCTGGTCTTGCGGGCTGTCGCTCTGTGACACGCCAGGCCTTGGGCTGGTGTTTCCGTCAGTTGGGGGCAGGTGTGGGTCCTGACCCGTGTCTCCTGCGAGGACCCTCTCTGCGCCCGGTTGACCACGTTCCCCCATGCGGCCCGCAGACGACATGGTGTGCCGGGATGCCCACCCGACCCCCAATGCCCTGGTGGTTAGTGGGGACAGCCGCCTGCTGGCTTTCGTGGGCCCCTCCAAGTACGTGGTGACCGTCGTGAACACAGCCTCATTGGAGGAGGTGAGTCACAGGAACTTGCCACGTGTTCGTGTCGGCCCGGCCAGCAGACTCCGTGGGGACCATCGGCTGGCTGCTACGTGCCTTTCCCGGGCTCCACCGGGGCGGAGGTAGGCAGGGAGGGGCAGGGGCCCTCCCCAGGCCTGGTGTGGAGCTGCAGGGAGCGGGGGACAGCTGGGAGGCGGCGCTCGCCCCAGAGACGGTCTGGGCTTCGCTGCCTTGACTCAGACGCAGTGCGTGAGCCGCAGGCAGGCGGGGGTGCTGGTGGGGCCCCGGGCTGCCCGCCACCTGTGGTCCAGCTCTGGGGGTGTAAGCTCTGTCTGGGGCTACCTGCTGCTCTCCCCCAGCTGCTGCGAGTTGATGTCAGTGCCCTAGCCCTGGCCAGCAGCCGCCTGGCCTCGGCAGTGGCCGTCTGCTTTGGCCCCGTACCCCCAGGCCACCTCCTGGTGTCGACGTCGTCCAACACGGTGGTGGTGCTGGATGCCGCGTCAGGCTGCCTGGTCCGGGAGGTGAGCCCGGGGCTGTGGTCAGAGGCTCGGCTTCCTCTTCCCTCCGGGTCCCAGCGTTAGTGGCTGCAGTGCCTTGAGGAGTCGAGGGGCCCTGGGCCACCCGCTGCTCCTCAGAGGGGGCGTTTTCTGATAAGGGAGGAAGGGAGGCTTCCCCCATCCAGGGGCCTCCGTGAGCTCTGATCTTCCTCCACCGACAAGAGCACTCTTGCAGCTGTCGGGTGTCCACCCTGTGGCCTGCCCCTCCCTGGCGCTCAGCAGGGATGCCCGCTTCCTGCTAACAGCCGCTGACCGGGCCATCAAGGTGTGGGACTACGCGGCGAAGGCCAGCCCCGGCCATCAGGTGGGCGCTGAAGGCAGGTGCGTGGCGGGTGGCGGCGGGGAGGTTAGAGAATGATACCCTCCACCCACCCTGGGTCCACTGGGGCCTGACAGCCCAGAGAGCCTCTTGCTGAGGCCCCGCCTGGCGGGTCGGGCAACTCATGGCCAGGCCCACAGGATCCGTCCGCTGCGTGAAGTGTGGAGCACTGCTTCTGTCCCAGCACTGGGAGGACCGTGGCGCCCCGGCCGCGCCTTGAGGTCCGCTGGGCATGCCTCCCGTTGCCCCCAGGTCTACATCGGCCACTCAGAGCCCGTGCGCGCTGTGGCCTTCGCCCCTGACCAGCAGCAGCTCCTCAGTGTGGCAGATGCCATCTTCGTCTGGGACATTCTGGGTGCCCCTGAGAGCTCACCCCCGGGAAGGCAAGTGCCGCCTTCGACCTGCGTCCCCCGGCCCTCGGCTACCCCCTCTCCACCTGACCCTGTCCTTGCCCCTGCAGTGCCAGAGACTCGCCTGGGGTGCCCCCGACCTGTGAGGCTAGTGAGTGGCTCCACCGCGTGGCGGGCTTTGTGGTGATCTCTGGGACCAGCTCTACAGTCCCTGTGGGTGGCATAGGGCCCCTTCCTTTCCTGGGGTTCCCAGTGCAGAACCGGGGTGTGTGGGCACCTCTTTGGCCTCTTGTGTCTCCAGGCCCGGGCGAGAGGCAGCTGGAGGACACAGAGTCTGGGGCCAGCGGGCTCCCCCGGCAGCAGGTGCCTGTGCCGTCCCAGGCTGCCCCACTCTGGCTAGGCCTCCGTGCTGGACCCCTCGAGGGTGGTGACGGTAAGGGGGGGCCCGTGAGGGACTGTTGGGGGAGCCAGCATGCTTCACTCCTGACCTCTGGGGAGGGGTGGGGACAGGGCCAGCCGAGCTCTCCTCCTTCCTCTCACCGTCTCCACCCCTCCCCAGGTGCTTTCTCCACATCAGATGAAGAAGGACCCTCAGAGGAGAGCCACATCCCTGAGGGGCTCCATCAGGCCTCAGGCCTGCCCATGCTGGTGAAAGAGGCCAGCGGGGCTGGAGATGGGGCCTGGGGGGCTCCCGGGGGCCCCTGGGGCTTCAGCATGCGTCCCCACCCCCGTGGCTGTGCCAGTAAGCGGAGGAGGGGCGGCGGGGCGGGGCGGGGCCGCTCACAACCGGCCAGGGTGTTTCGCGGGTTCCAGGTGCCGACAGGCCAAGGTTTACCCTGTGAGATGTTCACTGCCGGGCAGGTAGGCTGGCCTGCGCCCCCACTGGGCCAGGTGAGCAGTGGGACGCAGCCCAGGGGCGCCTCTGACCTCGGGTGTGCGGTGCAGGTCAGACACTTGTCCCATCCAAGCAGGGCAGCTAACTGTGCGAGACGCTGTCTCCGAACGGTCCCAGGGGCTCTGATGTTGCTCGGCCTCTTCCTTCTCCCCGCCAGCTGCTCGGAGCACCTCAGCAGCCCAGGCCCGTCCGCCCGCCCGCCCAGACTGCTACAGGCACTTCGTGGCTCGCTACAAGTCGCCCCTGCTGGTCAAGGTCAGCTGGGGCGGGGGATCCTCAGGGCACCTTTCACAAGGAGACGCCGCAGGCCTCGGGATGGAGGGGGCTCGGCCCTGCATTTTCTGGGAGGCTTCTTCCTCTCTAGGAAGTTCAGTTTCCTGGGGTCTCCCGGGGGTTGGCTCCCAAAGCACTGTGGTGTAGCCCTGGGGGACGGTCCCCCTGCGGCCCAGCCGTGCACCCTGTGTCTGCGCCCTGGCTCGGCTGGTCAGGGCTCTTGCCGCCCCGCTAACATCCATAACAGCCCCAGGCGGTGTCCTGGGGAGCCTTCCCTTCCCCCTGCCCCGCCCCTCCAGCACCTGCGCCCTCCCCACCCAGGCGCCTCCCCCCGCCTGCCCCCGCCTTTTTCAGCCCCCGCTGCCGCTGGGCTCCGCTGGCCTCTGCAGGCTTTGGGGCCGTGCCCCTGCCGTTTGCCTCCTGGGAGCCTAAGGCCTCATCCCAGGCCCCAGCACGAGGGGGAAGAGCCTGATATCGGGGGTGGGGGAGGGTGCTGGGCGCTGCACCAGCGTCCTGCCCATGTCCTTGCAGAGCACCTCCGTCCCCGGTGCCCGCACTGAGCGTCTGCTCCTCAAGGCCGTCGTGGGCTACAATGGGAACGGACGGGCCAATGTGGCCTGGAAGCCAGACACAGGTGGGGCCTCAGCACACCCGGCTCCCGGCCCAGAAGCCGCGGGGAGGGGCCCAGCTCTACCCTCTACCCACCCTCAGGCCTGGCCTCGGAGAGAGCTCTTGCCACCGTGGGGCGTGGGTTGTGGGCCAGGAGGAGCATCCAGGCTGAGGCGCCGTCACCTGGTAGCCTTTTGCCTTTTGTCGCACCCGACACTGACCCGGGCCACCTCCTAGCGGGGCCCATCAGGTGCGAGCAAATGGGGAGGACGCCCCCCGCGTCCCCGCCGACAGGCTCAGGGGTGCCCTCCCTGCCCTCAGGCTTCTTCGCCTACACATGTGGCTGCCTGGTGGTGGTGGAGGACCTGCATTCAGGTGCCCAGCGGCACTGGCTCGGCCACCCCGAGGAGGTCTCCACGCTGGCCCTCAGCCATGATGCTCAGGTGCTGGCCTCGCGCCCCACCCTGTGCCCCCGGGGCCCAAGTGGATGTCAGGGCCTGGATCCTTGAGAACCCAGAACGGGAGCGGACCCAGGGTGGGCCTTGGGCCACGGTCTCGCGGTTGACTGCCTGCCCCCTGCCCTGCCCACCAGATCCTGGCCTCTGCCTCAGGCTGCGGCAACACAGCCTCCCGCTGCCAGATCCGCATCTGGGACGTGCCCGGGGGCTCCTGCCGGCGGCTCATCTCTTACCACAACACCGCGGTGCAAGCCCTGGCTTTTTCGCCCGATGACGCGCTTCTCGTCACGCTGGGTCAGTGGGTTGCAGCCAGTAGTCGTCTCTGGACTCCCTGCCTGTCGCAGGAAGCTGAGGCAGCCGCTGCGTCTTCCCTAGGGGACTATGGTGACTGCACCCTGGCCCTGTGGAGCATGGCCACCTATGAGCTCCTGTCCTCCGTCCGCCTGCCGGAGCCAGCGCACGACGTGGCCTTCAACCCCAGGGAGGCCGGCGAGCTCGCCTGCGTGGGCCAAGGTGCCATCACCTCGTGGCTCCTGCAGCAGCGTGGGGCCAGCGTCCGCTCCCAGGTACCAGGATTCAGGGGCTGTTGGGGGCGGTGGGGTCTGGCTCAGCCCCACGACACTGCTGACCCCTGCCGCCCCCGTGTTCCAACAGGCGCACCGGGAGCCCATCCCTGAGGAGCTGGGGGCGGGCGAGCTGACCTCGCTCTGCTATGGGGACGCACCGCTGCTCTACTGCGGCTCCAATGCCGGCCAGGTGTGTGTCTGGGACACATGTGCCAGCTGCTGCTTCCTGGCCTGGGAGGCGGACGACGGCGAGATAGGTGGGTGCCTGCAGCCTGTCCCCCTGGCAGCTCGGGCCGGGCCTCTCCCTGGGAGACCTCGGGGAAGCGGCTCAGGCCACCTCCTGCCTCCCAGGAGTGCTGCTGTGCTCGGGCGCTTGGCTGGTCAGCGGCAGCAACAGCAGGCGGCTCCGTCTGTGGGCGGTGGGGGCCGTGCCGGAGCTGAGGCGCAAGGGCGCCCGCGCCAGGTGAGATGCCCGGAGCGGGGAGCCCTGTGGGCTGTAGCCCGAGGCTAGGGACATGGCCCCGGAGCATCTGGCTCTGGCTGCCGCCTCTAGAAGCCGCCCCCGCCCCCACCCCTGCCCCGCTGTAGGTCTAGCTCCGTGTTCATGGAGCGCGAGCTGACCTTGGATGGGGCCATCGTGAGTGCGGTGTTCCACGACAGCATGGACATGGGCGTGGCAGGCACCACGGCGGGCACACTCTGGTACGTCAGCTGGGCTGAGGGCACCAGCACCCGCCTCATCAGTGGCCACAGGAGCAAGGTGAGGGGGTGTCTGAGCTGGACCAAGGCAGGGTGGCAAGTCACATGCTGTCCTGTGCCCTGCCTCCTGGGCTGGTCCGTGTCCCAGCACAGCAGTCACATGGGTTGTGTGGAAATGGCTCAAAGGGTGAGATGCGTGCTGACCCCTCGCAGACGCAGGCCCACACGTGTCCCCGCCGGCTGACCCCTCGTGGACGCAGGCCCACACGTGTCCCCGCAGGCCTTGGGCCTCCTCTGGTCTTTTTCTTGTGGTGCTTTTTCTCTTGCACTTGATTTGCTGAGAAAACGACATTGTCTGTTTGGAAACTTCCACGGTCCCCAGTTGGCCTTGCCTGTCTGCCTGGCGCTCCCCGGGGTCCGAGACGTCTGGAGGTGGGGCTGGCGCCTGGTCAGGGCCAGTCTGTCCCCGTGGTGCCTGCTGAGCAGGCTGGGTCTCACCAGGAAGCACACGGGGACCGCTTACCCGTCAGCGACATCCTCGCAGAATGACTCACTGCTTGGGGCGGGGGTGGGGGGCGGGGTGCAGCTTAGGTGGTACTGTTCTGACCCTGTTCGGGAGAGGCGGCCCCCTGAGCTTACGATCCCCAAGGCACGGCCAAGGCAGGAGCGGCGGGGTGGCCGATCGTCCGGCTCCCGGGCCGGGGGTCCCTGGTGGTGGCTCGGGTCTCAGCATCTGGCGGCGGCCGGTGAGTGTGCCTTTGAAGCGTGCAAGCTGCGGGCTGGAGACGTGGGTGCAGCACCTCTGCCGTTCTCGGTGCTCAGCAGGCCTCTAGCCGGACTCTAGGAGTTAGAACCTGAGTCCTTTTTTTTTTTTTTTTTTTTATATCTGTTCGTTTGTTCAGATACAACGGTTGCCGTCAGAGACACTTGAGTTTGAGGTGGGCACGGATTGCGTACGCGGTCTGTCCTTGGTGACAGCTGCGTGTTGCAACAGAGGCCATGTGCCCCGTGCTATCTGCACTGGAAGCCTGCGGTTTTGTTATACTCACAGACTTGTACAGCCGGCACCATGGTTGAACTTAAGGGCATCCATCCCCCCAAAGACAGGCCCCCTACCCTTTAAACATGCACAGCCGCTCCCCTTGGTCCTCACAGACCAGCTCTGTTTCTGTGCATCCGCCCGCTCTGGGCACTCCCTTCTGCCTTCTCTCACTGAGCGCCATGCCTTCCAGGCTTATCCGTACTGTAGCGTGTCAAGCCAAGTACCATCCTGTGGTCCGGGTGGAACGTGTGTTCATTCATCCACTTGGGCCTGCACACTTGGGTCCTGAGTCCTGGAGCTGAGCTGGCGTTCGCTGGTGATTTCCCTGTTGTATGGAAGGACAGCGGCTTCCAGGCCCTTCTGCAGCTCCACCCAGGAGCCCAGGGTCCCTCCCGTGGGAGATACCATAGAGGTCATGGTCTGAGTCCCAGCGGGACCTGTTACTGCTCAGCCAGTTTTCGATTATTATCTTTTTTAAAAAATTTTTAATATTTATTTTTGACAGAGACAAACAGAATGCGAGTGGGGGAGGGGCAGAGAGAGGGAGACACAGAATCTGAAGCAGGTTCCAGGCTCTGAGCTGTCAGCACAGACCCTGATGCCAAGTTAGAACTCATGAACCGTGAGATCACAACCTGAGCCGAAGTCGGACGCTTAATGGACTGAGCCACCCAGGCGCCCTCATTGTTATTTTTTTAATGTTTATTTATTTATTTTGAGAGAGAGTGAGAACGCACACACACAAGCAAGGAAGGGGCACAGAGAGGGAGGGAGAGAGCAAATTCCACTGTCAGTGCAGAGTCCACTGAGGGTCTTGATCCCATGAACCATGAGATCATGACCTGAGCCAAAATCAAGGGTTGGACACTTAGCCAACTGAGCCAGCCAGGCGCCCCCAAAATTGTTGTTGGTTTTTTTTTTTTTTTTTTTTTAAGTAAGATGCATTATGAGTTCACATTTATGCTTGAAATTCATATTCACGACTCGACCATTTGGGGCACCCGGGTAGCTGGGTGGGTAAACGTCCGACTTCAGCTTGGATCATGATCTCATGGTTCACAGGTTCTTCTGTTTTGCCTAGTGGGCATGTGGTGCCTGTGTGCCCACGTTGCTGTGTTCTCATAATCACATGTGTGCTGTCCCCTCTACACGCACGCGAAACAGCATTGCCATGGGTGAATGATGATGCCATGGATGAGACCCCTGAAAGTGGCCCGGCTGTCTTCCTTTTGACGCGCAGCCTCCTGGGGACGCATCACACGTTGTCACATTGCCGCTGTCCAGGGCCTGCTGGAACGGCTCCTTTTTGTGCTGCCTTAGCAAGTGAACGGTCGGGTTTGACTGACCCGTGGGCTTCTTGTGATTGGACGGTACACAGGTCTGGTGTGGGGACACTTGGGAGGGAGGCCAGGACAGTTTGGTTATGCCGCACGGAGGTGGCTGGGGCCATGCAGGCTTGCAGAGAGATGGACACTCTGTTCAAAGAGACCTGGCCTGGGGCACCGTGGCTGGCTCAGTGGGAGCAGCGTGTGACCCTTGGTCTCAGGATCGTGATTCGAGCCCTGCACTGGGGGTAGAGATTACATTTAAAAATGTAGTCTTAAAAAAAAAGACACAGGCCTGCTGTGTCTGCCCTCTGCCCGAGGGCCCACGCGGCCTCAGGTGGGGCTGGCTGGCTCTCTGCAGGTGAACGAGGTGGTTTTCAGCCCCAGTGCGTCCCACTGGGCCACGTGCAGTGACGACGGGAGCGTCAGAGTGTGGTCCCTGGCCAGCATGGAGCTCCTGGTCCAGTTCCAGGTGCTGAACCAGGTACTGGGGGCAGCGGGGCTGAGCCCAGACCGCATTCTGGCCCCGCCTGGCGGCGGCCGCACCTCCCCACACTGTCCGACCCAGCCATGGGGCTGGGCTCCTGTCCTCCACCCTCGGGAGTGCTGATGTGTCCCCACTGCGGGTCCCCAGAGCTGCCTGTGCCTGGCCTGGAGCCCTCTGTCATGCAGACGCCCCGAGGAGCAGCAGGTGGTGGCAGGCTACAGCGATGGCACGCTGCGCGTCTTCAGCGTCTCCCGCATTGCTATGGAACTTAAGATGCACCCCCACCGGGTGGCGCTGACAGCCATTGCCTTCTCTGCCGATGGTGAGGGGCAGGGGCCCACAGGGGGACAAGGCAGCCCCCGCTTGGCCCGGCTCAGGCCTCTGGGCTGGGGGCAGGGGGCCTCAGGGAAACCAGTGTGGCCCTGCCTGGCCCAGGTCAGACCGTCCTCTCTGGAGACAAGGATGGGCTTGTGGCTGTGAGCCGCCCCCGCACGGGGATGACCTTCCACGTACTGAGTGACCACCAGGGCGCTCCGATCTCCACCATCCAGAGCACACACAAAGAGGTGAAGTGGCCCCACGAGCTGGCAGGGATTGGCCCCTGGGGGTGCCGGCAGGGGAGGGAAGTTGGGCTCAGCAGGGCAGGAGGCACCCACCAGCCCTTCTGCACCCCCAGTACGGAGACTTAGGGGCAGAGGGTGCCGACCTGTGGCTGGCCGCCAGCTCAGACCAGCGAGTCAGCATCTGGGTCTCCGACTGGTCACGTGGCCACTGTGAGCTCTTGGACTGGCTGAGCTCCCCCTCGCCTGCCCTCACGGAGGTAAGAAGCGGGTGGCGCAGGTGGCAGGGACAGCGCCCGCCCACCTCACCACAGCACGCTGCGCCCCCCCGCCCCAGTTTCCCAGCCATCCACCGCCCTCTCTTGCTGCCTTCTGCCCCTGGGATGCGGCACTGCTGGTGTGTGCGGGCCTCGGCGTGCATCCAGAGGTGGCCTTCTACAGCCTCCGCCAGAAGCAGGCATGTGTACCGCCTACCCCCGTGTGGGGCCAGGAGCCTGAGGGACCCGGGGCTGGGGAGGGGAGGCTCACACTCGCTGCCCACAGGTGGTGGAGAAGATCTCGCTTCCTTTCTTTGCCGTGTCCCTGAGCCTGTCCCCTGGAGCCCACCTCATGGCCATTGGCTTTGCTGGTGAGTCCTGGTGGGCAGCCTGTCTTGAGTGGGGCCGAGTGGGCTTGCCCATACCCCCACCCGAGGCATGCCTCTCACCTCCGTGCCCCAAGCTCCTCATCCCTGAAGCGGGGTAAGGACACCTGCCCCAGGGGAGTCGTAGGATCTTGAAATGAGTGTGGGGTGCTGATTGCTACACCCAGCACTAGGGCCTCAGCAGAGGGCCTCGGTGGCGTACACTGGGGCCTCGAAAGCCCTGTGTTGTGAGGCACCTTGGTGCTGACAGGCCCTCGCTTAGCTCTGCTGCCCCTGGTCCCAGCTGTAGCAGGCTTGGGGTTGTGGAGGACACAGGGCTTTTAGCCACACGTTCCTCCGCGAGGCGTCGGCAGCAGGACTGGTTAAGGGACTCCTGGGCCCTGGACCTACGCAGACACGGGGCCTGGCGCGTGTGCAGCACTCCGCCTGTCCTGGCCCAGCCCCGTGCCCTCTGCCCGCAGAGCGAATGCTGAGGCTGGTGGACTGTGCGTCGGGGGCCGTGCAGGACTTTGCTGGGCATGACGACTTGGTGCAGCTCTGCAGATTCGCCTCATCTGCCCGGCTGCTCTTCTCAGTGGCCCACAGTGAGATCCTGGTGTGGGAAGTCACAGGCCACCGGGCCACAGAGGAGTCACTGGGCTCCGGGCCCCGACTGGCCTGGTGGAGAAGCTGAGCTGTTCCAGGGCCTCCTGATGAGCCACGATGGCTTCTAGGCCGGGTGTCTCCACATCAGATGGACCTGAGGCTGTAAATCAACCTGAGCTTAACAGAAAGGGCTCTAGAATTGAGGGCTTTTCTATGCCTCTGCCCTGTGAAGTTCAAATAAACGTGGGTGTTGCATTCTGGCATCGTGAGATGGTCATTCCAGGATCCTGCTGCTCTGGCCTGAGCTCAGCCTGCACGGAGCGCCCAGACCTGCTCCCTGTCCAGAGTGGACGGGCCAGGGCCTCGCGCGGAGCTGCGGGGGTGGGGCGGCCGCCGGAGCGAGGCCCGCATCTCTCCGGCGCGGTGCCCGCTGTGCCCGCTGTGCCCGCGCGGGGGCGCCGCCGCACAGCCCGGACGCTCTGGCCCACCTCGCTCGTTGGTGCGGCTCCGCGGGCGGGGGGCGGAAGTGCTCGCGAGTGGAAGAGCGCGAGTCGGCGCCGCGCTCGGGGTCGGGGTCGGGGTCGGGTAGGGATCGGGGTCCATATCCGAACCCGGATCCCCGCGGGCGACATGAAGCGGGACGTGCGCATCTTGCTCCTGGGCGAGGGTAGGCGCCCGGGCCTGGGAGCTGGGCGGGGCGTCTGGGGCCCCCGGGGTCGGGGCGAGGGTTCGGCCTGGTTGGGGCGGGCGCTCCGCGCTCTTGGCCGCTGCGCTGACCGCGCCGCCCCGCGCAGCCCAGGTGGGAAAGACGTCGCTGATCCTGTCGCTCGTGGGCGAGGAGTTCCCCGCGGAGGTAAGAGCCTAGCGCGGCCGCACCCCTCGCCGTCTCAGGGGCGCGACCTCCCTCCGTCCCCGGGCCACCGGTTCGCCCCGTCTTTTCCAGGTCCCTCCCCGCGCAGAAGAGATCACCATTCCCGCGGACGTCACCCCGGAGAAGGTGCCCACCCACATTGTGGATTATTCAGGTAGAGCCGGCCCGCCCCGCCACCCCGTGCCGCTGCCGGGGAACAGGCGTCGGGGCCGGTCTGCAGTGGGGTGTCTTTTGTGTACAGAAGCCGAGCAGACAGCAGAGGAGCTTCAGGAAGAGATTCACAAGGTACAGCGTGTCCTGAGGGCTCAGGAAGGGGGTGCTGAGCACTTCGAGCCTGGGTGGGGGCTGCTGCCTCCAGCTGATCCGCTTCTCTCTCCGAGGGATTAGACGAAGGTGCTCAGGGTGCCAGGGGCCTCGCTAATTCTGCCCTGACCTCTCAGCCCTGAGAGTTGCCCGGTTCCTCTGACTCACCTCGCTGGGTGCTGGGGAGAAAAGGGGCCGTGCTACCCACACCACAGGGCTGGCCAGCTCCTGGGCTCTGTGCCCCCGTTGTCTGCTCCCTGGGGAAGCAGCCTCAGTGTTCTTCAAAGTGACCCCGTAAGCACCTCAATGGCTTGGTCACCTACCCTGCCGTCCCGTTGTCCAGGCCACTGCTCGAGCCCCTGGACCGTGGCGGGTGCTGTGTGTGACCAGGGCTACAGGTCATCGTTGCTCACGTGTTATCGGGAGGGTCTGTGCCTGAACCAGGCCCTGTTGGGGAAGGTTGGGGGCCGGTAGCTGTCCCTGCAGCCCGTACTGCGACCTGGGGCATTATCAGGCGAGGAGAGTGGCCACAGTTACTCAGAGGCCGCCTCTTTGGCACCGTCATCCTCCATGGCATTGTCTTTGTTATTTTCTCTGCCTGAGATGACAAGGGAATGCAGGGCTGGGGTGCCAAGTTCTGGGATGGCGGAGCCTGGCCTGAGCCCTCCGGGGGACTCAGTGACCAGGCCGTGGTGCTTGGGCCTGGCGGCTGCGGCGCAACACAGGGGAGGACTCGCCAGGTGGGAGCAGCTGACGGGCTGGGGAGCAGAGGCTAGACGGGTGTTTCCAAGGTCTCCGGCCCCGTCAAGGGCAAAGTGGAGCAGAAGCCCGCGGTCACACCCTGCCTCACCCCCTTCCCCGCAGGCAAACGTGGTGTGCATGGTGTACGACGTGTCTGAGGAGGCCACCATTGAGAAGGTGAGGCGGCAGAGCTCCTGAGCCACCCCAGCTCCTTGCTGCTCACGCCCCGTGCGTGCTGTCCTCTGCACGGACTTTAGGTGGACACTCAGCCGGCGCAGTTGCACCCATGCCTGGCCCCATCTCTTGATGAGTGATTTAGGGAACCTCACAGAGCCACACTGGGTGCTGGGGCCCCACCAGGACCCCTGCAGCTTCCCGGGGAGCTCCTGTGACCCTGCGTCCCGACAGGGAGACGGGACGGACTGCCAATCCCAGGTCCCTTGGTAGCGGCTGCTAGGCTCACATGGGGCACGTTCCCTGCATCAGCGACTTTGCGCCTCAGTGGGCCTTGACCTCCCCGTTTAGGCGTGAGTTCCAGGTGGGGCCGTGGGGCAGGCAGGCCCCTCCCCTCACGCCCAGGCCTTGCTTTTCAGATCCGAACTAAATGGATCCCACTGGTGAATGGGGTGACCGAGAGGGGCCCCAGGTAATGGGCAGGGCCCGTGGGTGGGGGGCCCTGCCAGTTCCCCCACCCACGGTGACCGGGGGTCTGTCCCCCTAGGGTCCCCATCATCCTCGTGGGCAACAAGTCAGACCTGCGGCCAGGCAGCTCCATGGAGGCCGTGCTGCCCGTCATGAGCCAGTTCCCTGAGGTCGAGACCTGCGTGCAGGTGAGTGGTGGGTGGGGCCAGGCCTGCTGGCCCGCACTCGGGCACCACCCCCCTCCCCCATCTCAGGAGGCCTCCTGGAGGGTGGGTGCGGCCTCGCTCCCCTGGGCCTGCGTCTTCCCCTGTGAGTCCTCCGGTGTTGGGCATGTTTCTGAGTCTGCCCCGTGGCCACCAGTGCTCTGCCAAGAACCTGAGGAACATCTCCGAGCTGTTCTACTACGCGCAAAAGGCTGTGCTGCACCCCACGGCCCCGCTCTACGACCCCGAGGCCAAGCAGGTGGGCCGCAGGCAGGGGCGAGGAGGCCGAGCCGACGGGGGCGGTGGGGTGGGGTACGTGCTGAGCTGGCTGTCCCTGCAGCTGAGGCCCGCGTGTGTCCAGGCCCTCACGCGCATCTTCAGGCTCTCAGACCAGGACCTAGATCAGGCGCTCAGTGACGAGGAACTCAACGCGTTCCAGGTGCGGCCCCCCTGGTGCTGGTGCCCACCCCTCGTGGGCACGGCCGCGCTCCGTGCCTCGGTGCCCTTAGTGACGCTGAGCAGTCGCCGAAGCGGCTGGCTGGCTGATGGCGCCTTTCCCTCGGGGGCAGAAATCCTGCTTCGGGCGCCCCCTGGCCCCTCAGGCCCTGGAGGACGTGAAGATGGTCGTGTGCAAGAACGTGGCGGGAGGCGTGCGCGATGACCGGCTGACCCTGGACGGTGAGTCCCGATCCTGCCTGGCCCCTGGGAACGGGGAGGGGTCAGGCCGTGCCCAGCGCTATTGCTCTTCCGCCTCTTTTGGAACAGGCTTCCTGTTTTTGAACACGCTCTTCATCCAGCGAGGCCGCCATGAGACCACATGGGCCATCCTGCGGCGCTTTGGCTACGGCGACACGCTGCAGCTGACCACGGACTACCTCGTGCCGCCGTGAGTGCCGGACGGGGCTTGGGGCTCTTCCTGTGTCAGGCCGGTGCCTGGGGGCTCCTCGACCCTCCGTGGGGGCCCGCGTGACCGGCTGGGATGGCTTGCCTTGGCGCTGTCCTGCCACGGGGAGGCGGCTTGCGAAGGAAGTGCGGACACAGTTCGCTCCACTGGCGGGGACGGTGTGGGAGCTCCCGGCCCGGGACACGGGAGGTGCGGGGAGCACCCTGGGAACCGCACAGCCCCTGCCCCCCGACAGGCTCCACGTGCCCCCCGGCTGCAGCACCGAGCTCAACCACTTCGGCTACCAGTTTCTGCAGAGGGTGTTTGAGAAGCACGATCAGGTGAGGGTGTCGTGGCTTCCGTCGTGCGCCCCTCCTCCCCCCAGCCACCAGGCACGTGTCCCCACAGCCTCTCTGCCTGCAGGACCACGACGGCAGCCTCTCGCCTGCGGAGCTAGACAGCTTCTTCAGCGTGTTTCCAGCTGCGCCCTGGGGCTCCCGGCTGCCTCTTGAGGTCCCCACCGAGGCTGGCCGGCTGCCCCTGCGCGGGTACCTCTGCCAGTGGACGTGAGTGCCGCCCCTGCCCCCTTGGGTCACTTGGCAGTGACCACGTGCCTCCCTGCCCTCACGTCCCTCCCATCCCCCAGCCTGATGACCTACCTGGATGTCCGGCGCTGTCTTGAGCATCTTGGTTACCTGGGTTACCCCACGCTCTGCGAGCAGGACTCCCAGGCCCACGCCATCACAGGTGGGCGTCCGCCGTCGCCCCAAGCCCAGCCCCTCCCCGCAGCCCCCTCGGTCACCCTCGGTCACCCCCTGGCGTCTGTCCACAGTCACTCGGGAGAAGAGGCTGGACCAGGAGAAGGGGCAGACGCAGAGGAACGTCCTTCTGTGCAAGGTGGTGGGAGCCCGCGCGGTGGGCAAGTCCGCCTTTCTGCAGGCCTTCCTTGGCCGCCGCCTGGGGGTGAGCATCTGAGTTTCCCAAGGCAGGGGGACGCAGCTCCTGCCGCGGCCCCCCCCCGCCCTCCCCGAGGGGCAGCTTCCAGGCCAGCGCCTTCGGGTGACTCCTTCCTCCGTGCCAGGACCCCAGGGAGTCCCCCGAGGAACCTGCTGTCTACGCCATCAACACAGTGCAAGTCAACGGGCAGGAGAAGTACCTGATAGTGAGTGCCGGGGCCCCTGGGATAGACCCCAGGTCCGCGCGGGGGGTTGCGTCTCAACGTGGCCCGGCGGGCCGAGCACTGTACCCCTCCCTGAGACTACCCTCTGTCTAGCTGTGCGAGGTGAGCGCAGACAGCCTGCTGGCCGCTGCGCCCGACGCTGCCTGCGACGTGGCCTGCTTGATGTTCGATGGCAGCGACCCTGGGTCCTTTGCACTCTGTGCCAGTGTCTACAAGGCAAGCCCCCCCACCCCAGCCCCCAGTCCCTTTGGGGCGGTACCCTGGCCCGGGCCACCGGGGATCACATGCTCACACGGCCCCTCTCCCCGCAGCGCCACTACATGGACGGGCAGACCCCCTGCCTCGTTGTGTCCTCCAAGGCTGACCTGCCTGCGGGCGTGTTGCCGCCCGGCCTGGCCCCCGCCGAGTTCTGCCGCAGACACCGGCTGCCCGCCCCCACCCCGTTCTCCTGCACCGGCCCGGCGGCGCGCAGCTCGGCTGTCTTCACCCGGCTCGCCGCCATGGCCGCTGTCCCGTGGGTACCGGTGCACAGCCCCTGTGGTGGGAGGCCTGTCCCCGGCCCCGGTGACCAACAGCCTCTGTCACCGGAGGAGCAGGACCGCCGTGGGGTCACGGCGGGTGCCGCTCGGGTGGGGGCGGCCAGGGGTCCTGTCGCCCCCACGCTGACAGCCCAGCGGGCTCTGACTCGCCAGGAGGCGGGGCGGGGGCTGTGGCGGCATCCCTGGGGCGCCTCCAGCTGGCTTCTCTCTCCTGCAGGCACCTGGCCCACGGGGAGCTGCACTCTGCCTCTTTCTGGCTTCGGGTGACACTGGGGGTCATCGGGGCTGCCGTCACTGCTGTCCTCAGCTTCTCACTCTACAGGGCCCTGGTGAAGAGCCGATGAGGCCTCAGGGGCCCCCGGGTGCCGGTGTTGGGGCCACCTGTTCGAGGGAGCCTACTTCTCCCTGAAACTGGTTTCTGGGGACACTTTGCCTGTTGCCCTGCCCCTGCCCCGAGATGTATAGGTGGGTCCCCAGGTCCAGGGGCCACTGGGCATCATGGGTGAGGAGGCCAGTGACCACAGACTCCAGTAATTCTCAGGGCTCCACACCTTTCTGGTCCCAGGCAGCCAGTGGGTGTGAAGGGCAACCGAAGACAGAACTTTGGGCCCGAGGCAGAGGGGGGGCAGGAAGCGGTGTGGCACCGTGTGGCCCTCCTCCCTGGTCTGGAGGCGGGTCCACTGCCACGCCCCTCACAGAAGGCATCAGCTTGGGTTTCCTGATTAAACTTCGCTGGTGTCTTCTGCATCTCGAATCCTGCTTTCTGAAGACGACTTTTCTTGAATCCACTTAAAATGTGTCCTTTGTCTCGCATGGGTTTGAAAGCTCACCACTGACAACCCCCCATGCCTCCTCCAGGCCTGGAGCCTCACTCCGGGCTCTCACTCATGCCCCATGTGCAACTTGCCAGCCTCTGCACCCTTAAAGGTCCACGCTGACCCAGAGGGCATCTGATACCTGAGAGCCTCCCGCTGCCCGCCGCTCCCCCCTGGGGCCGCGTGTGCCCGCAGCACAGCCTCCCCCGTCCACACCACACCCCCAGTCTTCCCATCCCATCGGCCAGGCTGCGGTGGACTCTGAGGTGGGACGGGGCGTGCCCAAATGTCCCGCTTCTGGTGCGCAGGTCTGGCCCCGGCCTGGGGGATCTGCCCTGTGTCCTCACGAACTGACCAGCGGCCCCACTGGGCAGGGGGCAGCCAGACAGCCCCAGCCTGCAGGGCTGAGGAGGGGGCCCAGCTTGGGCTTCCCAGGCGTTTACTCAGTATGTGTCGTGGGGTCTGGAGCAGAGAGCCCGTGGTGTGGCTGGGGGCCCGCCCTTCCTGCCATCACAGTCCCAAGAGGCACCTTCTCCAAGTCCCAGTATGTTCTTTGTAGGAGGTTGGGGGGCTCCCTGCTCCACAGGGTGCTCAGGACGGCTGAAGGGTCGTGGGTGACTGAAATTGTCCCTCCACCATCCCTCCCGGCCAGCTGGCCTCTAGGTCTCTGTCACCTCCATTGCTAGAGGGGTCCACTTGCCCCCCCCCCACCAGGGAGCAGTGACCTTTCCTCGCTCGTGGCAGCCTTGTGCGTTGGGGGCTCCGGCCTGGTGTCCGTGGCTCCCCAGTGAACTGGAACCCACCTCACAGCTGTGGGTCAGTCTCCCTGGACTAAGCAGGGTCAGCTGCACGGAGCGTCCTGGACTCCTGCTAGTTGCCCTGGTGGCCTGGGTGCCCACAGACTGGTGCATTCTTGCTGCCCACTCGCAAGCATGTCTGGCAGGCAGGCCGGCACCTTTTAGGGAGGCCTGACCTGGTAAGGACCCACAGGCAGTGCGGTGGTCGGGAGGGCTTCCCGGAGGAGGTGGCTTCAGCGCTGAGGCCCCAAGCAGAGGGGCGCGCTCGGGAGGGATCTGCGCGCTGCCCTGTGACCCTGTGAGCGGCCCGGGCCCGGAGCGGCGAGGCAAGGCCCCCGCTCCCGTCGTGGCTGTTCCTGCCCGCGGCGCGTCCGCATGCAGGGCGCGCGCGTGTCTCGGCCGCGCGTGGCGGCAGCGTGCGCGCGGGGGCGGGCGGGCTCGGTGACGCGGCGCCGAGCGGAGCGGGCGGAGCGGGCGGGCCGGGGCGGAGCGGAGTCCTCCGCAGAGCAGCCCCTTCCGGCCGCGGCCGCCGACCCCGGCCCCCGGCCCCCGGCGCCTCCTGGCTCTATGGACAGGAGCTCGCTGCTGCAGCTTATCCAGGAGCAGGTGCGTGGTGGTGGGTGGGGGGCGCCGGCACCGCCCCCGCCGCAGCCCTCCGCCGCTGGGCTGGGCCGAGGCGACCGAGCTCCCAGAGAGCCGGGTCCAGCCCCCGCTTGGCGCCCAGCCTCTCAAGCCCCCTCGCCCACGACCTTAGCCCCCTGAGTGAGACCCCAGGAGAGGGCTAGCCAGACCAGGGCGCCTGGGGAGGCTCGGGAGGGAGACTGTCCTCAGACCTTGGCCCTATCCTTCTAGGAGGATGGGCGGGGCAGAAATGAGGTGGGGAGGCCCCTAAAAGCTGTAGGAGCTGAAGGTCTGGGACCCGGCACTGGTGTCCTGGCAGCTCCTGGGACTATGTGGGTGCAGAGGTCTGGTCCCAGGGTGTGTGGAGCCTGCCTGTCCCAGCTGGCCTGACCCACCCTCAAGCCTTGGCCGGCGGCCCCCCACCCCCACCCCAGCAGCTGGACCCCGAGAACACAGGTTTCATCGGTGCGGACACCTTCACTGGCCTGGTGCACAGCCATGAGCTGCCTCTGGACCCGGCCAAGCTGGACATGCTGGTGGCCTTGGCCCAGAGCAACGAGCGGGGCCAGGTCTGCTACCAGGAGCTGGTGGACCTGGTCAGTGCCATGACGGGCAGACAGCAGGGGTGCGGGCCCAGGCCTGGCCAGAGTAGGGTGGGCAGGCATCCCTCACTCCCTGCCCTTCCCACCAGGGAGGGGTGTGGACTTGGAGCAGGGGCTCAGACTCTGCGAGAAGCTGGGTGGGCCAAAGGGGCAGGGTGGGGGGGGGGGGGGGGGGGGGGGGGGGGGGGGGGGGGGGGGGGGGGGGGGGGGGGGGGGGGGGGGGGGGGGGGGGGGGGGGGGTTGGGCAGGGAGTATGATGGCCCATGCTTAGGGCCCCCCCCCAGATCAGCAGTAAACGCTCCAGCAGCTTTAAGCGGGCCATCGCCAACGGACAGAGGGCCCTGCCCCGGGCCGGGCTGCTGGACGAGCCAGGCCTGGGTGTCTACAAGCGGTTTGTGCGCTACGTTGCCTACGAGATCCTGCCCCGGGAGGTGGACCGCCACTGGTACTTCTACCGGCACCGCAGCTGCCCACCCCCCGTGTTCATGGCGTCGGTCACCCTCGCCCAGGTGCGCCTGCCGTCCGCCACCCTGCCCGCCGCGCACGTGCCTGGCCTCCCCCGGCCCTGACCCTTCTGTCCCCCAGATCATCGTGTTCCTGTGCTACGGGGCCCGTCTCAACAAGTGGGTGCTGCAGACCTACCACCCCGAGTACATGAAGAGCCCCCTCGTGTACCATCCCGGCCACCGCGCTCGAGCCTGGCGCTTCCTCACCTACATGTTCATGCATGTCGGGTGAGTCGGGGCCCACCGCTGGCATCTCTCTGGTGGAGTCAGGAGGCCTCAGCCCCTCAAGGCGGGGGCTGGTGGCCTCACAGCTGACTTCGCATCTGTTCACACCCACACGGCCAGCCTGGAGCAGCTAGGGTTCAACGCGCTCCTGCAACTGATGATCGGGGTGCCCCTGGAGATGGTGCACGGTCTGCTCCGCATCAGCCTGCTCTACCTGGCCGGTGTGCTGGCAGGTGAGGCAGGCACGTGCCCCCTGGCCTTGTCACTGGTGAGCCTCACCCTCACGGCTCTCCCTTTGCTCACACAGGCTCCCTGACTGTCTCCATTACCGACATGCGGGCCCCTGTGGTGGGGGGCTCTGGTGGGGTCTACGCCTTGTGCTCGGCACACCTGGCCAACGTCGTCATGGTAACGGGGCAGACTGTGGGGCGGGCGTGGGGAGGGTACTGCGGGGTCTGTCTCACAGCCTCTGTCTCACGCTCCATCAGAACTGGGCTGGGATGAGGTGCCCCTACAAGCTGCTGAGAATGGTGCTGGCCTTGGTGTGCAGTAAGTAGGGGGTCAGGGGGCTGGGGGGCCTCAGCCGAAGGCCACGGTGCCTCCCACCTACTGCCTTTCTCTGCAGTGAGCTCCGAGGTGGGCCGGGCCGTGTGGCTCCGCTTTTCCCCACCACTCCCTGCCTCAGGCCCACAGCCCAGCTTCATGGCACACCTGGCAGGTGCAGTGGTCGGGGTCAGCATGGGTCTGACCATCCTGCGCAGCTACGAGGAGCGACTTCGGGACCAGTGTGGCTGGTGGGTGGTGCTGCTTGCCTATGGCACCTTCCTGCTCTTTGCCATCTTCTGGAATGTCTTCGCCTATGACCTGCTAGGTGCCCACATCCCCCCACCACCCTGATGGGCTCCCGGGGGCCACACAGGCCAGGGCACAGGCGCGCGTGGGCCAGCCATCAGGCGAGCCTGCGGGTCCGTCCTCTGTGAATGTACATCTCAAGACTGCTTGTCCTCCGTGGGGACCGGTGGGCCCTGCTGCCCATGGCGTCCAGGCCAAGCCTTACGTCAGCCCTGGCCACCCCCTCCCGGGCCCTGGGGAGGTAGGACTGCCTAGCCAGACAGTGGTGGTCCCCAAGTGTGGCCCTGGAGGAGATCCTGTCCCGGCCTCTCCCCCACGACTTGCGGTCTGAGCCTTTTTGGAAAACGAATAAATATTTTACACAGCACCGGGTGGCTGCACCGGGGCTCTGAGGGCGGGCCTGGCCTCCCTCCCGCTCACTGAGCAGACTGTGAGGGCCTCTCCCTCCGTGTGGACAGCCTGAGCTTCTCTCTTCACTCTTCTGCACTGGTATGCGGGCTGTAGGAGGAGCAGGTGTGAGCGGGGAGTGGGGTGGTCCTCACAGTCAGGTGAGAGTTCAGCAAGCATTTATTGAGATCCTGCAGCAGCCAGCCTCCTTGGCCAGCTTGCCACTCAGAAACCTGTGGCCTGAGGTTGCTGCGCAGGTGAACCACGGCCAGCTCAGCCTGAGTCCTGTGCTACTTGGCTGGCATGGTGTCATCAGGTGGCGGGGGAACCAAGGTCTGGGCACGGCTTCTGCCCCACAGCCCATGCCCACAGTGCTGTCTGCACACGGTGAGGGGTCCACAGCCCTCGGGGACTATCTAGGGAGGGGCAGTCTGGGGCCCAGGACACTGGCCACTCTATCCTGTACGCCAGCCCGGCCCGGGATTCGGACGCCCTCCCCGCCTTCTGACGGGCCTGCCCTCTGCGCTGTGCTCAACGCTGCGGCTGGAGGACGAGCTGCGGCGCTGGCCCGCCCGCCGCTGCCGCCCGGAGAGCTCGTGCAGCCGGGGCCGTCACGCCCCGCCTGCGTCCGGACCACCTCGGCGTGGGGCCGCCCAGTCCACGGGCGGCTTCACAGACAAGGTCACCAACACGCTTGCTCTCGCGACCCCGCCGGGGCGCCCGGCTCTCCGGGCCAACCCGGGGCGGCGGCGAGGCCCCCCAGGAGGCGGAGGGCGGCGCCGCGCGCTACCCCAGCAGCTCCGAAAGCGGCGCCTCCGCGGCCGGATCGGGTTGGGGGCCCCGGGTGGTGGCCCTCGCCGGGGGCCCGCCCCCACGCCACGAGGCCCCGCCCCACGCGTGGGAAGCCCTCACCACCCGCTTCCACGCCGGTAGCAGGTCCAGCTCGTCCCGTGTCACGTGCTTCTCTGCTCGGCCCTCGGTGGCCGCGGGCACTGCTCTCGGCCCCTGGGGCGGGGCGGTGACCGGGACTCGCGCGTCGGGGGCGGTGCGCCCTACCATCGGGCCCAGGGCTTCCGGCCGCCCCTGGAGGTCCCCGCGCGCCCGCAGCACCGGCCCGTGGGGCGCCAGGCCCGCGGCTCGGCGGGGGGAGGCCTCAGGCCCCCCCGCCCGCGGGCAGCCGCCATGTCTGCGGGCGGGGCGGGGCCGACACCAGCCCCGGCTGCTCCTGACGCTTCTCCAGGCTTCCGAAGTCGCCGGTCGCTTTGCCTCGAGCGCATGCTCCCGCCGGCCCACCCCCGCAAGCCCGTCGGACGCGCACGCGTCCCCGCCCACCGCGGCCGGAAGTTCCGGTGGCGGATCGCTGGACCGGGCCCGAGCGGATCGCGGGCTCGGGCTGCGGGCTCGGGCTGCGGGCGCTGGGCGGGCCGGACGCGGAGCCTGGGAGCGGAGCCCGGGCTGTGCCGCGCGGCGCCATGAAGGGCAAGGAGGAGAAGGAGGGCGGCGCGCGGCTGGGCGCCGGCGGCGGAAGCCCCGAAAAAAGCCCGAGCGCGCAAGAGCTCAAGGAGCAGGGCAACCGGCTCTTCGTGGGCCGCAAGTATCCGGAGGCGGCGGCCTGCTACGGCCGCGCCATCGTGAGTGCACGCGCGCCGGGGAGGGGATCCGCGAACCCGGCCGGGGGAGGGGCGGGGTCGGGGCCCGGGCCCGGACTTCGGGCCCCGCGTCCTCCCGGGAGCCCCTACCCGGCCATTCCCGCCGGACCCTCGGAGGCTACTGGTTCGTACGTGGGGGCGTTTGGGTCCTGAGAGTTCGGTGATGCTCTTGTTCCAAAGGAGTCAAGGCCGCGACTCCCCAGCCAGTGCTGGTGCTGGGGAAGTGTGGCGGGTGGGAGCTTCAGGGTGCTTGAAGTCCCCGGGCAGGGGACGAGGGATCCCTGTTCCTTGAGAACCCCAGGCCCAAAGCTGGGGATCTCTACAGGCCTCCGAAATTTACCTCGGCAAAAATTTTTGGGAGTCAAGAAGGCGGGCTCAGGCAGGCCTCGGGACCGGGAGTTCACCCTCCACTGATCCTTAGCGTGAAGCAACTTCGAAGCAGAGAAATTTCTAGTGTCTTGATTCTAGCCCTGGGTTACAAACTGGGATACAAACTGGGATAGGTTTTAGGACAGAGGCGGGCGCGCAGACCTCTCTCCCTCATGCTGGCTGACCCGGCCTTGGTCCCCAGACCCGGAATCCTCTGGTGGCAGTGTACTACACCAACCGGGCGCTGTGCTACCTGAAGATGCAGCAGCACGAGCAGGCCCTAGCCGACTGCCGGCGGGCCTTGGAGCTGGACGGGCAGTCTGTGAAGGCACACTTCTTCCTGGGTCAGTGCCAGCTAGAGATGGAGAGCTATGACGAGGCCATTGCCAATCTGCAGCGAGGTGGGCCTACGGGTTATTAGGTGTCGGGGGTGCCTGGGACCAGGAGGATGGTCTGGCCAGAAGGTGACCTGAAGCCCCTACTCCCCCAGCCTACAACCTGGCCAAGGAGCAGCGGCTCAACTTTGGGGATGACATCCCTAGTGCCCTGCGCATCGCCAAGAAGAAGCGCTGGAACAGCATTGAGGAGCGGCGCATCCACCAGGAGAACGAGCTGCACTCCTACCTCACCCGGCTTATTGTGGCCGAGCGTGAGAGGTGGGCTGTGCAAGCGGCAGGCTCCAGGCCCCGCCCCCTCCCCCCCAGTCTCCGCATTGTCGGGCTAACTCTGAGTCAAGAACGCAAGTGTTTATTGAAGGCCAATAAGGGCGGGAGGAGATGGAGGGAAACGAAATCTGAACAAGCCCAAGGTCAGGGTGGAGTGTGGCCTCTCCTGGCCAGACCCGTTTTTGACTAGCGCCTGGTCGACCCCCAGGGAGCTGGAAGAATGCCAGAGAAACCACGAGGGGGATGAGGACGATGGCCACATCCGGGCCCAGCAGGCCTGCATCGAGGCCAAGCACGTGAGGGTGCCCCAGCCCGTGTGGGTGTGTGCGCGGCCCCGTGCCTGTGGCGGGAGGGTGCCCCTGCCTGGGAGAGGGGGATGGGGCGTCTGGCCCACGCGTAGCTGCTTCCCTCTTCACAGGACAAGTACTTGGCGGACATGGACGAGCTTTTCTCCCAGGTGGATGAGAAGAGAAAGGTAGGCCACGTGTCCTCTGGGGAGCAGGAATCGGAGCAGTGTCCCCTTCCTGGCGCCTGACCTGACTCCCTGTGCTGCAGAAGCGAGACATCCCCGACTACCTGTGTGGCAAGATCAGCTTTGAGCTCATGCGGGAGCCATGCATCACACCCAGTGGCATCACCTACGACCGCAAGGACATCGAGGAGCACCTGCAGGTGAGGGCCCGCAAGTGCTGGGAGCAGGTCCCATAAGCGCTGAGCACTTTCTGACCCTGTTGTCCCTTCACACTGCAGCGCGTGGGTCACTTTGACCCTGTCACCCGGAGCCCCCTGACCCAGGAACAGCTCATCCCGAACCTGGCCATGAAAGAGGTCATTGATGCCTTCATATCTGAGAACGGCTGGGTGGAGGACTACTGAGGCCAGGCAAGGGCAAGGGCCGCCCGCTTGCCTAGTATCCCGGCCCGGGAGGGCCTCGGGGCAGTAGCTCCCAGTCCCTGTACATAGTTTGTGGCCCTAGATCCCTGCCCCCCACCCCCACCCGTTTTGCTGCTGGACCGTGAACGCCACCTCCACCTGTCTGGGCCAGAAACGGCAGGCGAGGGTGGGCTGCTGCCCCCACTGTCCCGTAATAAAACCTGTGAGCACTACAGGGGTGCGTGCGGGTGTGTGCCGGGCTCACCAGCCGCCCGCTCTGGTCAGCTGAGGAAGGTAGAGATGAAAACGCTGGGGTCCAGGTTGAGTGTGGCATGCCACCACCGGTCAGGGAAGTACAGCACCTGGTCGGGGTGGGGGACGGCACAGAAATTAGTCGGTGCCATCTGGTCCAGCCCGGCAGCCCCTTCCTGTCAGCTACTGACCTCCCCGGCGCGGACAGTGCACTCCAGGGGTCTCGTGGACGGTGCCAGGGCTGGGTACACGTCCCGAAGCCAGGCCAGCGTCGTCCTGTTGGGGTGGAACTCCGGTGTCTTCGCAGGAGGGTACAGGAACCAGCGCTGGGCGTGCGGGCAGCAAGGTCACTCCGTGTCACAGTCAGGAAGCCCCAAGCCTCAACCCCCATCCTGTGCTGACCTTGCGGCCATAGATCACCTCTGAGAACCCGGGCCCGTGCCAGTGGAAAGGCACCCCAGAACCAGCTCCTGTGGAGTTAAGGGCAGTTGCTAACCAAACCCGAGCTACAGTCCCGCCCGCCCCCGCTCCCACGCGGCGCCCACCTGCAACGCCGAAGCTGTACGCAGCGGTGGTGCCCAGCAGACTAAACGGGGGTGGGGAGTAGTGCTGAAAAAGTGACGCCCATTCGCTGAAATTGTTGTCCCCAAAGAAATATAAGGTGTCTGCCAGCAGAGAACACAGGAGCAGCAGGGATTTTGGCACCTGAGCACTTCGAGAGCCCCCATCCCACCCCGTGGCCAGCCAGATCCGACTCACCGTTGCCCAGGGCGGTAGGGTCCTGGGGGTGCAGCAGGTGCTCCACATACTCCCGGAAGGGCAGGTCCACTGCGGGGAAGGGGCTGGTCAGGACTCGCTGCCGCCGCCTGCAACACGCTGGCAAGCGGAGTGGGGCAGCTCACCTTTCCGGTAGGAGTAGGTGTTGGCAGTGCTCAGCCGTACCACTCTCTCGCCAAAGGAGGCCAGCAGCCTTTCTCGGGAGCACAGGGCCCGGAACCGCTAAGGGGGTGGGGAGAAGACTCAAGGCCTGGGCCCAGCAAGGGCGAAAAGGGGCCAAGAGAGGCGCCGGCACTCACCGAGTTGTCTGTGAGCCCCTGCAGGACGACGGGTCTGGAGAAGGCGTAGCTGGAAGGGAGGAAGTCACGGCCAAGTCTGACCAGCGCCTGCCCGCCCCAGCCCGCCCGCCCGCCTCAGTTCAAGCAGGTCTTGGGAGGTCGAGGAGGACCGCCCGGCACAAAAGGGCGCGACATCGGCGCTCCGGGGACTGAGGGGGGTGGGGTGCGGAGGGTGAGGCGGCCAGTTCGAGGGGGCGCACGTACTGCTGCACGAACTCGGAGTAGCTGAGGTCGGACCGCCGCTCCACCGCGCAGCGCTCCTCCTCCGGCACGGCCGCTGGCGCCCCGGGCCCCCGCCGCTGCCTGCGGGCACAGCCGGTCACCATCCCGGCCTCCCGCGCGCCCCGCCCCGCCCGGACCCCCGCGCGCCCCGGCCGCTCACCACCCTCCGTCGCCCGCCTCCGCGGCGCCGGACCGCGCCGGGCCCGCCAGCGTCCAGAGCGCCAGCAGCCACAGCGGCCGCGCCCCCGGCGCCATCGGCCCGCCGCTGCGAGGCATGCCGGGAGCTCCGTCGTCCCAGCGATGGCCCGGAAGCGTCTTCCTTTGGCCCGCCCCGGAAGGAGGGGGATTTCCGAAGGCGGAGCGATGGCCGCTGGACCCGGGGTAGCGGCCTCCGCCAGTTGCCATGGCGACGCCGCCATCCACCCCCCCCCCCCCAGTCGCCCAGCGCGGAGACGGGGCCGACGGCGGCACGACGGGGTGACAGGCGGCCTCCAACTGCGGCTCCCGCTTCCTTTATTTGGTCCGCACGCCCAGCCCCCGACCCCGGGCCAAGCCCGCGGGTCACGAGTACTCGCACAAGTGGCCGCAGCCTGCAGGGCAGTGGGAGCTGCCCTCCAGCCACTTCATGATGTGCTGCAGGTGGCCGCCGTGGCTGCAGCCCTGGCACCACACGAACAGACCCTTGACCACGTGGTGGCAGACGGCACACATGCTGGCGCAGCGGTGGCACCGGTCACAGACCCAGCCACGGCTGCTCATGGGCCGCTTGCAGTGGCTGCAGTTGACGTGCAGGGTGGTGGAGGCCTGGTTGAGGCAGCTGATGGCGCGGCTGGTGCTGAGCTTGACCACCTGGTTGGACACATTCCAGAGGCAGAAGCGCTGCAGCAGATCGATGTAGGACGTGTACCAGTGCTCCTGGCGGTGCGGAGAGGGGAGGGCGGTAAGAGCCCCGGGGGCGGCACACAGGGTGCGGTGCGGACCCACTGCGGGGGGTGGTCCTGGGGGTGGCAGGGAGGCCCTCCCGGAGACCCGGTCACCCACCTGGGTCTGCTCATCGATGTCCTTGCGCACGCGCTCACCCAGCACAATGAGCACAGACACAGCCATCTGCACGTCGCCCTGCTCAGCGTAGAAGCGGAGCATGTCACACACCAGGGCGCTGAAGAAGTCAGGTGGCAGTCGGCTGTCGTAGAGTGCGTGTGACACAGAGATGAGTGAGAAAGAGGGGTCCGTGGGGGCTGAGGAAGCTGCGTCGGCCTCGCTGCCGCTCACGTGGGGCGAGTCGGCCTTGTCCTGCAGGTGCTCGGGGCCAGGTGGGGTGTCCACAATCTCGTGGCGAAGCGGGAAGGCCTCCTGGGGCAGCACGTACTCGGGCTCCTCCGCTGCGAGGCAGGGACAGGGAAGGCGGGGTCTGAGCCTCCGGCCCCGGCTCGCAGCCCCGCTCTCCCGGCCCCGACTCACGGTGCGCGTGCTCGGCGTCCAGCAGGTACAGCTCGTCCTCCTCGCCCTCCACGTCGCCCAGCAGGTAGTCTGCAGGCACATCGCTGCCCTCGGTCTCTTCGTTATCTGCCCGCAAGGGAGGGGGGTGTTCCAGAGGCAGCTGGTTCTGGGGTGCCCTGGCCCCACTCCCACCACCGCCCTGCCCGTCCCCCAGCCTACCCTCATTGGTGATGAGCGTGGCTGAGGAGTCAAGCAGCACCGTGTCACTCCGTGTGTCACCCTTGCTACGGTCCAGCCTGGTCTCACTGCCCAACCCTGGGGCCATGTCCTTCAGGTTGAAGCTGGGGGCAGGGAAGACCGATGGATAATGGCTTCCAACAGCCCCACCCCTGAGGAGAGCCACCCCCGGCGTCTACCTGTTCATGAGCGGCAAGCCGCAGGAGCTGCCCTTGCCCACGCTGTGGTTGAGGCTGGTGGCAGGCGCCAGGCCAGGGCTACAGTAGATGATCCGCAGCATGGTCCAGGTCTGCGCCACCTAGGGGCAAGCACCGGGCACTCACAAGGAGCCTGGGTCCCTGGCGCCCCATGCAGCACTTCCCTCCCTACGCCCACTGTCTGCCTGGATAGAATCACAGCCTCTCAATGTTCAGCTGCCCCAGGGACCCAGCACCCTGGCCACTGCAGCTGGGGAAACTGAGGCCTATGCCAAAGGCAAATACCCTACAGCCTCCAACCTGCAGGGGGAACGGACAGAAGCAGAAGCTGAAGGCAGCCAGCATGGAAATGAGTCTGCCACCCCAGGGAGGCGAGAGGCTGCGGGCACCCCTGCAGAGTGGGGACGTGGGAAATCCCAAAGCAAAAACGAGCCAGAAGAGGGCACTTGAACCCCGTAACACCCGAGACCTGCACTCAAAGGTTGGCACTGGCTTCCGGCTCACAGCAGGGCGCTGGGCACCCTCAGTTACCAGGGTAACAGCTGGTGGTGGCAGCAGCCAGAGCTGAGCGGCTGGGTTTGGGTCATGGCCCCGGGGACCCCCTCGGGGCACCCCACCTACCTGGTTGCGGCCAAGCTCCCGAGCCACTTTGGCGTTGTGGTCACAGAGCTCAGCCAGAGGCCGGCCGGCAAGGGCATAACGCGCGGCCGTGTCTACGAACCAGCTCATGCTGCCACCGCCAGGCTCAATCTCAAAGACGCTCAGGGCACTGGAGGCGAGGCCCACGAAAGGCTCGGCAGGGTCCAGCTTGCGCTTGAAAAAGATGGGGTGGCGCCGATCACCAGTGTAAGGCTTGCGCCCAGACTCAGTGGCCACTAGGCTCTCCTTGGCAGCAAAGGCCAGGTCCCCAAAGAGGCCATAGCAGAGGCCCTCGGGGTTGGCGCGCTCCACAGGCTGGCTGGCGTCACGGAACAGGTGTTGGCACAGCGTGCTGTCCTTAGAGCCGGAGAGCAGGAAGGAGGGGTCGTGGGGGTGGCGCCAGGCGATGCCTGTCGTGACATCGCGATGCTCCTCAAACATGGCAGCGGGGACGAAAGGCCGGCGCACATCCCACACGTAGATGTTATGATCCACCATCATGGAGCAGGTGGCCAGGTGGTGGCGGCACTCGGGCCGCCACTTGACACGAGCCACCGAGGCGATGGTTTGCACGCAGTGCACCTCCTTGGCGCGGTGCGTGGTCATGTCCCAGACCTTCACCATCTTGTCACGCCCACCTGTGGCCAGCCAGCCCCTACAACAGGTTCACGAGACCCTCAGCACCCTCTCCTGGGCTGGGAGGGCTCCCGCTCTCTGCCTCACAGGTTCTGAGGCAGCCCTTCCGCAAACCCATCCACCCCACCATGCTGCCTCTGCCCCTCCCCTCCCGCCCCCCACACCTGTCTTCAGGGTGCCAGTCGCAGCAGAAAACAGGCCCGTTGTGGGCAGTGAACATCCTCTCACAGCGGTCAGGCCGCCGAATGTCCCAGAGCTGCACGTTGCCATTCTCAAAGGTGGAGGCGAAGGTGAAATAGTCTCGGATGCTGAACTGGACGTCCCGCACGCTCTCAGACTGGCCTGTGGAGGAACAAGGTGAGGGGCCAGCCCACAGGGGGCTCCAGGAGGGAGCAGCTGAGGGTGGAGTCACATGCCTGCCCGTGACCGAGGCTGGGAAGCCTGGAAGGTGGAGCGAACGCCTCAAGCCTGCCTAGGGTAGACAGACACTTCACAGAGAACGTAGGATCGATTAGGTCAGGGAGCAGGATGCCAGGCATCAAGTGGTTTTTGAAGCAAACACACGGACCTCCATTCTCCCTGGATTCTGCGTATGACGTGAGCACTTGCACAAAGCTGTGGCCTGGCTTCCGGACCGGCCATCAGAGCACTGAGCGTTGTTGGGCTGTGGGCACGCCCCCGAGGGTGCCCCAGCTTTGGCCCCATCCCTTCACCTTGAGCTAGAGCTGCTGGATCAGCACCCTCCCCCCAGCCCCCGCCCTGAAACCAGAGACCTTAAAGGTCCACATTCAGCCCATTACAGACTCCAGCTTTCCCACGGCGCAGGCAGCTCGGGGCTGTTTTAAGAGCCCCCCTTCCACCCAATTCTCTGAGGCAACAGGGCCCTGTGCTTCACTTGGGTCTCATCAAGGTGGACAGGGGACAACTGGCCTTGAGCCAGCCGTCAAGGAGCTGGGCCTGCTGGGAAGGGAACGCGGGGGGCAGGGGCAGGCAGCGCACTCCGCCTCCTCTCCGTCCCTGAACTGAGGACCCTGGAGGGCCCCGTGGGCTTCCTTCAGTGAAGTGGCCCCGGGCTCTGAGGCAAGAAAAGAGGCAGCAAAGCAAAGCGTCTGCTCAGGCTCTCCCTCCCTCGCCCCTCGCCCCTCGCCCCACACACGCTGCTCCCGTGCTGACCCTCGGCCACGCGCGCAGTGCTCTCCGGGAGCACACCTGAAGCCTGGGTGCCTGCGGCGCACTCCACCTGCCCGACCGCCTCCGGGCCTCACCAGAGAAGGTGCTGACAGAGTCCTTCCTGCGGAGGTCGAAGCACTTCATGAAGCCGTCCTGGGAGCCGCTGAGCAGCACGTGGGCCTCGGTGGGGTGGAAGCAGACCTTGTTTACTGTGCGCTTGTGCTCCGTGAACAGCTGGTCCTGTTTGTTGCGGGACGGCCGTCCCAGGTTCCACGTGACCACCACACCGTTGGTGGCCGCGGTGGCCAGCAGGTTCTCATCCATCTGGTGCCAGACCACGTCGGCACAGCTCAGGTTGAGCGAGGGCTTGCGGCCCACACGCAGGTTCAACTTCTCCACAAACTGCTCGTCCTCGATGGCGTAGATCTTGAAGATGCTGCGACCCGCCACGACCACCTGGGCGGCATCGCGGCACACGCTGATGGCATTGGCCGGCGCGTCCAGGTGGCAGTGCATGGTGCGGCCAGTCAGCGCGCTGCCACCCAGGGCCGTGGTCACTCGGGACATCTTCTCCATGGCTGCCTGGGGGGTGGGGACAGGAGGTCAGTGAAGTGGGCTGGACGGGTCAGCCTGGAGGAGCCTGTCAGTTCAGACCCGCCACCCTGGTTGGGTCCCCCAAAACTGCTCAGTCTTGGGGAGCCAGTCCAGGGCCGTTCACCGCTCCTCAGTCAGAAGGCGACAAGTCGGACATGAGGGGAGACCCTATCTGGTCACTGCCAGCCCCGGTCCCCGCCGCATCCCCCAACAGTCAGATCCGGCTGGTTACTGGGCCTTCGGCCAGTCGGTCCCTGCAAGGACGCGAAGTAGTCCTACAGTCCGTCCCGGGGCCTCCGGGGGGGGGAGGGGGCGGCGGGACAGAGAGGCCACAGGGGCGCGGCGCACGCAGGACTTTACTGGCCGAGCCGTTTAAGGAGCCTGCGGGGTCTGGCCGGACGGGAGGCAGGAGACGCCGGCGGCGCGGGGCAGGGGAAGCCGCAGGATCACGGCCAGTGGGCCCAGAGACGCCTCTCCCTCCGCCGGCAGCCGAGCCATCGCCTAAAATTGCCGGGCCGGGCCGGGCCGGAACCGCCGCGCCGGAAGCAGCCCTTCTCTTCCCTGCCCACCTGCTCGCCGGAAGTGGTCCGTCCTCGTCAGCCCCTCCGCGGAGGCGGGCACCGCCCCGCAAACGTTCCGGGTGAGGGAGCCGAGCTGGCGGAGGCGGAGTAATGGTCCCCAAATGGGGGAGAGGCGCTGCCCTGCGTCCCCGCGGTTCCGCCTCAGCGCTTGGTCTTTTGAAACTGGTGCTCCCTCTCCCCCAGCAAGGCCAGCCATCCCTCAACGGGTCCCGAGTCCCTCCAGTCGTCTCCACCCCCTTCCTCACTCTCCCCTGATGTGAGCCCCGCACAAGTCCACCGAGCTCCCCACCGCTCTGTGAATCACCCCCAGGCTCCCGGCCCTCCAGCAAAGGCCGCTTCCACCGCCGCTCCCAGCCCGCCGAGCTCTTTCCTGTTCGGGCCACGCGATTGCTCTCCGCGCTCTCCCCTCCGCAGAAAGCGCCTCCTGTCCACGCGTCCGGGTTCAGCTTAGGTGTCTCGATTTCAGAGGTCTTCCCTGGCCCTCACATCTAACATGTGGCCTTTCCAGTCACTGTCACCTCCACAGTGCTGGTCACAACGCATTCCTTCGTGTACTGGCTATTGCCTGTGGCACACAGGCCTAACCTGCATCCGGCAGGGATCACGCCTGCCTTGGTCTCCACAGACTCCAGTGCCTGGCACCCCACCCGGGGCAATTGAATGACCCTCTGGGCCGCCCTTTCTTCCCTGCTTTTGAGTCGTCTTCTGTCCCTGCTGTACCATATGATCATAGTACATCCTGCCCCTCTCTCAACCTCAGCTCCCAGGGCATGAAACAGGGCTCACTTTTGCCCTTCTGGAAGGATGGGCCAGATATTAGGTACTTTGAAGTTCACATTCCATGTCATGACTTGGGTATAGTTGTCTACTCCCCAAAGCAAAGAAAGGCTTGGGACTTTCTGTGTTGGTCACTGGCGTGTTTCCGCTGGCACCAACCTCTATGTGTTGAAAGAACCAGACACACCTTCCCCTGCCATGGTCTGAGGACCTAAAAACAACTCAGACACGTGTTTTTACAACTTTTTTAATATATATTTTTATAAACAGGTCACGTGATAAAATAGCACAAGAAACACTTACCAAATATAAGGTTATATCTTCCGCATATACAGGAGAATGAGGTCGTTATGTACAATAAGAAAATGATTTTAGGGGGTGGTTGGTTTTGTTTTGTTTTCCTCTCTCCCCTTAAATCTTCCTCCTACAGTCGTTGGAAATATCACAGCTTCAGTTGCATCAATACTTTGGACAAATGGACAGCTGCCTCCTCCCCACTGGGGGGCTGTGGGGGGAGGGGCTGAAGAAACTGGCTCCTGACCATCTCAGCCCCGGAGCCTCCCTCGGGCACTCCGGGACAGGGAAATCTTTGGGCCGTTGAACTGTTTCTCCGCTTCAACAGCATCTCTCGCTCGCTCGCTCGCTCGCTCTCGCTCTCTCTCTCGCTCTCTCGCTCACTCTCTGGCTCTCTGGAAACTGGTTACTTTCTTCCAACCAGACGGGGGGTGTCCCAAGATTGGGTGTGGGCACTGTATTTCCTGGGGCTCAAGGTTGGGATGGAAAGGGGCCCCAGCCCCCTCCTCAGCAATTGCCAAGATGTGCCAGCATCCCCAGGACTTGCGTATGTCTTGGGTTGGACAGAACATGGCGAGAGCCCATCTGGGCAGGCAGAGGTTTGGGGAGCTGGGGGGGGGGTGCAGCTAGAAAGGAGCCCTCTCTCCTGTGGGTGCTGAGGGTGTGTTGGCCACTGTGGGGCTGCGGTTGCCGGCTGGCGCTGATCCTGAGCCTTGGCTGGGGCTCGCGTTTCCAGCTTCCACCTGACAGAGACGTGCCCAGGATAAAGCGTGGCGCCCACGGGGCTGGGCCCAGCTAGCTACAGAGACTGGTGTGGGGCTCAACCAGGGTTGTCTGCAAGGCCTGAGGGGCCTGAGGGTCGCTCCAGCTTGTGGTTTCTCAAGATGGCGGTGGCCTGCTGGGCATGAGGTAAGCTACACCCGGCTCGGTTAATGTGGGTTATACCAATGTCATTGTTAGCAGGGCTTTCCCTCCCTCAACACAATGCTGCCCCGGTCTGGCCAGACGACCCCGGGACCCATAGGCCTGCCAGTGGCGGGGTGGGGCGAGCAGGGGACTGTCTCATACAGTGGCCAGGAAGAGGGGGGGTCTCGGGTCAGGCTGGCGTGAGGTGGGGCAAGGGCGGGAGGGTCGTGGGCTCCTTGGCGGGCCATGGCTTTGGCGGTGGCCTGTTTCCCCTCGCACCCTCCGAGGGCTTCAGGCACGGTGCAGTGGAAGATGCGGGAAGCCCTTGGGTCTCTTCTGGCCCCTGTGACCTGGGGGACCCAGCTCCCCTCAATCCCTCTGGGCCCTGCCCGAGATGGGGGGACAGCGGGGAGACAGAGCGGGGTGTGGCGGGGAAGGCGGTGAGGGCGGCCGTCAGGAGAGCTCGAAGCGCCCCCTAGGACAGAACCCCGCCCCCCCCCCCCCAGCGGGTGGACGAATGATGGAGGCGGCTGTGGTGCGGTGGAGGGCGGGCGTGCAGTGCGGGCACGAGGGGCATGCACGGAGTCCCCGAGTGTGCGTGCGTGCGTGGGGCTGGGCCCGCCCACCGCCCCCCCTGCCCGGGCGGGGCCGGGAGGGGCGCGGGGCCGGCGTCACTGGGTTCGCCCTGCCTCCCGCGCTGGGCGGCGGGCGCGAGGGCTCCCCTGAGGGCAGGGCCGGGAAAAGGCGTCCCCGCCCCGCGCGTGGCGGCTTCCTGCGCCGGGGGCGGGGGGGGGGGGCCGCGCTACTCGATGACGAGGCAGCGGGGCAGGTGCTGCGAGAAGTACTTGAAGAGCTCGGGGGTGGCCCCGGGGCAGTTGGTCAGCTCCAGCTCCTCCAGCTCCTGCAGCTGCACCAGGCCCGACAGCCCCGTGGTGGTCAGCAGCGGGCAGCCTGCGGGGGCGGGAGGCGAGGCGGCGGCTGAGCGCGCGCGGCCGCGGCGTCACCCTCCGGACGGGGGCGGAGGGCCCGGCCGGGCGGGCGGAGTCGGACTGGGGGAGGGGGGTGGCTGTCTTAGGAAGGCGGCAGGGGTCTCACCTGCCAGAGACAAGAGACGCAGACTCCTCATGGCCAGGAGGTGCTTCAGCCCGAAGTCCTGCACCTGGGCGGGAGGGCGGGGCGGGTTAACGACCTCCGTGCCCCGGGGAAGCCCACTTGTAGGGTCAGGCCGTAGGCCTGGAGCTGCTGGAGGGGCAGGGGGCAGCGTTCAAAACGGGGCTTTCTCGGCTTCTCAAGGAGCTGGGAGGCGGCTGGGCAGTGGCGCTCAGGGCCCCGGGGGTCCGTGCGCCTGGCCTATGTCGCCCACTAGGCGTGGAGGGGTCCCAGACTTCCCCTGATCCTTCCAGGATCGGGTCAGCGGATTGTGGCCGAGTCCCCCACCTCCCCTGACCACCCCCCACTCTTCGGAGGCGAGGAGGGCTGGTACCTGGCAGCACCATCGCAGGTAGAGGCTGCGGAGGGACGACATGGTGGACAAGTAGCTGAGGCCAGTATCCGTGATGCGGACACACCTGTGGGTGCAAAAGAGGGGCGCTGCCCTCCTCCAGAACACCTGGCCCCGCCCCCTCTCTCCTTTTCCCAGCGTGTCCAGGCCTGAAGCGCTTCTCTGGCAGCGCAGGTGATAGAGCTTCCCTTTCCACAAACTCTCCCCCGCCAGGCCCCAGCCCTACGCTGGTTGCTTGGCGGTACCACCCGTTCTGGGGGTCGGCGGCTCAGCCCCGTGCTTGTCGTCTGGCGCACCCTGGATCCCGGGGTCGTGAGCGCCGGTCCTCAACCCACTCCCCGCCTTGTGGCGGCGCCGCTCCGCTTCAGGTAGGCCCAGGGGCCTAGGCTCCCCGCCGGGAGGGTCTCGGCGGCCCCGCCCCGCCCCCGCCCCGCCCCCACCGCCGCGGGAGGGACGTGCGCACCTGTCCAGCACCAGCTCCTCCAGGCGGTGCAGGTCGCAGGCCACGTACTCGAGCGCCATGTCGGTGATGCGCGGGCACCACGAAAGGTCAAGGCTGCGCAGCTTGCGCAGGTTTTCGGCTACGAGCTCGACGCCGTCGTCGGTGACCTTGGAGCAGCCGGAGAGGCTGAGCGCGGTGAGGTTGGGCAGGCTGTGCACCACGTTGACCACGCCGTGGTTGGTGATCTCCCAGCAGGAGAGCAGGCGCAGCGTGTGCGTGCTGTGGCCCTGGCGTGCTGTGAAGTAGGCCAGCGCCGTGTCCGTCACGTGGTAGGCCTGCAAGCTCAGCTCCGCCAGGTTGGGCAGCAGCTGCGAGATGGCCGCAATGGCGTCGTCGGCCACGTTGATGCAGTCGCTCACGCTCAGCGAGGTGATCCGGGCGCTCAGGCTGGACCACAGCCCCGCCTCGGTGAAGTCGTTGCAGCCCGACAGCTCGAGGCGCACGACCCCTTGCATCTGCTCCAGCATCACCTGCGGGGGTGGGGGGGGGGCAGGCAGCAGGGTGCGGTGAGGACGTAGGGAGGCGAGGCGGAAGGAGCCCGCTGAGGGGCAGAAAGCAGTGTTCTCGAGTGTAGACGCGTGTAAAACAAGACAAGTGCACTTCATGATGTGTCTGTCACATCACAACGATGTTGTAAGAGCAGAGCGCAGGACCTGGGAGCTCAGGGCCTCACCAGGGCAGGGAGTCGGGAGCACTTGGTGTTAAGGAGTTGATGGTTAGAGCCCTGGCCCTGGGACAGGGGCATCCTGCACAGCTTCTCCTCTTACCTGAGCACCTGCTCCCTTGCAGCATCCTCCCCACCCAAGACTGGCCTCACAGGCATGTAGGGCCTTGAGCTCAGAGGGGCCTCCACTTGACTGACTGCTTTGATGTTGCTGTCTTGAAATTCTTAATCATCTTTGAACAAGGGACTTGAATTTTCCTTTTGGACTGGGTCCCTCCACTTATGTAACCAGTCCTGCTTCCCCTCCCCCGACCCACGATCCTCAGAGCACCGGCACCACCCTCAACTCCTTTGCTCCTTGTGTGCCCAGGGTTTCCTCTGGGGGCACCCTCCCCCAGCCCCCCCACTCCAGCCCCCAGCTCAGCTGTGGCTGCTTGGCCCTGCCCACCCCACCCCTCTCCCTTCCAGTCCACCGGTGGGGCGCACCTCCAGGCCGGCGTCGGTGATGGTGGAGCGCTTGAGGCTCATGGCCTTGACACCCTTCTTAGAGAGTGCGTAGTTGTCGATGAACTCACAGATGTCTAGGTCAGAGACGCCAACCAGGCAGAAGCCCTCGAAGCCACGCGCAGCGAAGCCCTGCAGGTTCACAAACTCCTTCTCGCCGCCGGGCAGCACATTGTAGAGCTCCTTGGCGTGCAGCACAGGTGTGAGGCCCGCCCAGAATTTGGGCTGGTAGAGCACACGCCGCCAGGCCTTGCACACCTGGGCCAGCACGCACTTCTCACAGGCTGAGAAGTACCAGAAGAGGCCATTGAGGATCTTTTCATCTGTGGCCAGTGGCGGCCTCTCCACTGGGGGCCCAGGAACTGGGGCTGAGGCTGGTCCACCAAGGGGAAGCCCCGCTGGGGGGCACAGGCCCCCAGCCAGGGCAGCCCGTGGCAGCGGGGCAGCCAGGCTGGGTGGGGGGAGGTTGGGTGGGGGTGGCGGCTGGCAGGGGCGGTTCTTGGCAGCTGGTGTGCCCTTGGTGATACTGGCCGCACCCAGGCCATTGGGCTGGCCCGGCAGCTTTACCAGGCCATTTCGAGGCAAGCATGGAGGCTTGGGGTCGCCGTCCACACCCGGGCTCGACATCTTCCTCGCTCGATCTGCAGACAGGGTCCAGGAGGGGGTAATGAGTCTCCTGCAGGAGCAGGGCTAGGCTCCTTCCCATCCCAGGGCATCTCCTCCCGTGGCATCTCCTCCCGTGGCACTCCCAGAACCACCCAGCAGAAAGGATCTGAATCCAAGTCCCTCCTTCCCTGACTGAGCAGCAACAGATCAGGGCTGTTTGTGACCATGACACTCCCTGAGCCCCTACTGTGTGCACCAAGCTCAACCTGTACTCACAGATCTTTTTGACACCTAGGTACTATAGTTCTTCCAGAGATGAGAGAAGAAAGGCAGCGACACACAGACACTTGCCCATGACTGCTCCCTTCACCTTTATTGCCCTGATGCCCAACATCAGTGCCTGCCAGGCCTACCTCTACCTGGGTAGGAACTGGAAAACTAAGGGAGTCGGTGTGGGGTGGTCTCTGGCCCCCCCATCATGGGGTTCCAACATGCCTCTCAGGAGTGGCTCCAGTACCCTGGGACTCACATACCAGCCCCTGAAAATCTCAGTGGCTACTGCAGGTTCTGTGGTTCATAATCTATCTAAAGAAAGGGCAAGGTTTACTATGATGCCACCACAGTGATCCCTGGACACATATTGTCCTTTAATCTTCCATCTAACCCATTGAGGATGGTGCTATGATGACTGTGTCCATTGTACAGATGAGGAAAATAAAGCAGCATGACTTGTTTGCCCAAGGTCACAGTAAGTGGTGGAGCCGAGGCTTGGACCAGAGCTGGCTGTGGAAGCATATTTGTAGAGAGTTCCTCACAGGGTAGGACTGAAACCTCCTCCCCAATGGCCCCCCACCCACCAGGGCTCTGAGGTTGTGAATGGGTGACCGATGGCTTTGAGCACAGAGAGCCCTGGAGAGGGGGGCGGGGGGACCCTCCTAGGGCCACCATCTGCTCCACATCCCAGGTCTTCTCCTGCCCATCCCCACCCCAGACATCCTGAGGAAAGGCAGTGCACCCAGTGGTTCAGCCATACAAGCTCTGGGGTCGCACACCCTGGCTCTGTGACCTCAGTGAGGCACTTCTTTTCCCTGAGCCTCACTTTCCTTACTTTGGAGCCTGAGAAAAGATGATACACCCCCACAGGATAACATGTGAAAAGGGCTAAACATAGTACGGCTCACAGTCAGCATTTGAAAAGGGGTGAGGAGGTTTCTTCTGAGCCCCATGACCGGCCTGAGGGGAAGGGGTAAGGACCATTGGGAGGGAGGCAGGGAAGTGAGCTGCCCTGCCCGACCCAGCAGCAGGCTTCCCCCTGGCTTCCAAGGCAGGACACCCTTTGCTGGCCTTCCACGTCCAGGGAGGGGTCGTCAACCTGGGCTGAGACCTGGGGTCTACGAGAATACCTGGCCTCATGGCTACCAACCCAGCTTTGGGCCGAAAGGCCTTCCTGCTCTGGGAGCCCCCAGCCTGGCAGTCCACATCGGGCCTGCCCTCCCCAGGGGAGGCTCCCTCACCCTGGCTGTCCCTTTACTGCAGCTCACGGCCGGACAGAAGCAGCCTCACACTGGTTAGACCCGACATCCATAACAACGCTTGCCGGTTGTCCACTAGGGTAATCATGTGCTCCAGCTTCATGTCAGCCCCGCGCGTGTTGGGGAGGGGAGCACCACTGTTGGCCCCACTTTCGGATTAGGAGCCTGATGCCCCAAGGAGTTACAGTTCACCCACAGTGCTGGGGGTGGGGAGAGCAACGTGACACGGGGGCGCCCCATCTCTCTTAAAACCGGTGTGAGGAGGAGACCGTTGTGGATCAGAAGTGCCTCATGGAGGGACAGGGTGCACCCCACGACTGGCCCCCACTCCTGGGACCAGGGGAGAGGGGGTCCTGTCGACTCCCTCCTGCGGCTGTGCTAGGTCCAGAAAGGCAGCCCCAGCCCGAGTACCTTCCGTGTCCCAGGAGCGGGGAGCCAGGCCTGCGCGGCTCCGGGCGCGCCGCCCACCCGGCCTCCGCCGCTTCCGCAGGCCGGCGCGGCCCCGGGGCGCAGCACCATGGACAGCGCCGCTCCGGCCGCCGTGCGCGTGCTCGGGGCCCGGGCCGGGCGGGCTCCGCCGCGGCCGGGGGGGGGGGGGGGGGGGGGGGGGGGGGGGCGGGCCGGCCCGACGGACCCCGCTCGGCGGGCGACGGGGCGGGGCGAGAAGCCGCCCGCTCCGCCGAGATCCGGAGGAGGCGGCGGAGGTGGCTCCAGGGGAGAAATAACTCAAGAGCTGTGCCGATTTAGGTTAACGACGCTCCCAGCCATGGGTGTGCACGTGGAGCGCCCGAGTTGGCGGTGGGGGGCGGGGTGCACGTGGATGCCCCGGGCATCTGCAGGGCTCTCCCCCCCCCCCCAACTGGAGCTCACATTTGCACACGCCCACAGTCCCATCCCCTCTTCAGGTCTCAGGGTGGAGCTGGTGAAAACAGCCAGGCAGTGGAGGGAGCCCACGGGAGGGAGGGGCAGGGTCGAAGAAGGGCTCAGCCTGGGGGTGGGGGCAGTCGGAGGCCTGGGGGTCCCTTATCTCACACTCCCGTCCGTGGCCAGAAGGCACTGACCCGCCTGCCAGCCCTTCCGCGGTGCCTTTGGCTGCAGCTGCCGCTCCCCGACCTTGTCCATGGTGCTGCTGGGCTCCACCTGCACCCTCCGGCCTCACGGACCCAGCCCCCCGACAATCCTTGCCCTGTGGCTCAAACTGGAAACAGCCGCACCTTGGCCCAGGCGTCAGGGCTTTAGGAGAGAACTGAGCTTGTGGTCCGAGAAGGGTCTTTCTGTCAGTTAGGCAGGGGGTCTCTTGCAGGGGGCTGGGGCAGGTGGCCCTCTGCCTGGTCCCGCCCACCCAGCCAGATGGGCTGCGAGACCCCAGCCTCTTTGGTACTTGTTTCTGCCCCCACTGCATGCACTGGGGCTCAGAGGACCTGCCTGGAGTTTCTGGCCAGGATGGGGTAGGGGCAGCGGCCAGTCTTCTGTGGTCTGCCTCCTCCCTTAGAAATAAGCACCAGGAGCTAGCGCTAGGAAAAGAGGCGTTTTAAAAGGTGGCCAAACTTGCACTATTCTCAGCCTCAGCCCCTGGTGTTGTGCCTCCGTGCGGAGCGGAATTCTGGAGGAGGGCCTCCTGGGATAGGCTGCGGGGGCTCCAGGTTCCTGGGAGGGCTCCAGAACCCAGTGACTCCCAAGCCAACGGTCCCCAGATGCCCATGCCGGCGCCCTGAAGGGAGCTGCTGCTTTTGTGGGCCCTGAGACCTAGCAGGTCCACCACACAGCCTCACCTCTGCTCCTCTACAGTCCCCTCGGACCCCCGCTCGGTATTCCCCTCCCCTGCCGGTCTCTCTCCGGCCACACGGTGGGCTCCCTGCTTGCTCAGCCGGCCTCCTCGCTTCTTAACCCTGCCAGCTCCTTACCCTCCGTCCTTCCGTGCGAATGCCTCCCTGTCTCTCCCTGTGGGGCTCCCCAGCACTGAAAAAAAGCATCTCCAGGGTCTCAGTCATTACTGTCCACCCATTTGTCTCTCCCCTGGGCTGGGGACTTCTTGAAGACAAGCAGCACCATGGCTGAGTGGCCTCTGAGTCCTTGAGGGAGGGAGGGAGGAGTCAGCAGGGTCGTACAGAAAGGGATACGGCTGCTAGACACCCAGGGTGTGACGGAGGCCGGGCCAGGTGAAGAAGGGGGCAGGTGGACGGTTGGGGAGCTGTAGCTCGGTTTGTTAATCCTGGTTGTAGCAGAGCCCAGTGTCCGCGGGGAGGGCAGCCACTGGGGTTGGGTTGGTGCCAGAGTCTCTGAGAAGGTGCCCAAGACCCTGGGGCTTAGTGTGGGCCTTGCAATTATTCAGACCCTTGGGAAGGGGACGGCTCACATTTCCTTTCTGGCTGAGCCCCCACTATGGGAGCTGCAGGGTTAAGGAGGCCGGCTGCCCATCCGTCCAGAACCAAGGAGAGGGGACAGGAGCCGCCCGCAGGAAGGGAGGAGCTGGTCCTGCCCCGCTCTTCCCAGTGCCACCCCTGACTGCCCGTCTGAGCCGCTCACACACTGCCTGACCACGTGTGGGGAAAGTGAGGCTCGGAGACTGAATTTTCAAAAATTGTACAGAGCCGGGATTTGGCGCCAGGACCCCCAGTTCGTTAGCTAGGCATTGAGGTCCAGGGGGCAACCCTGGGTCCCCAGATGGCCCGGCGCTGCCCAAGTGCACTTCCTGTGGCCTCCTGCTCTGCCCGCTTCTGCTTCTCCTGCCCCCTGGGTCCTCCCCGCCTGGGCCCCCGGCTGGTGGTCTCTCCCCGCATCGTCTCTGTCATGCTCCTGCTCTCTCTCCAGAGGCTCAAGCTGCAGGACTCTCTTCTTTTGGACTGCTCATGCCTAGGAAACCCTCCACTCATCATGGCCCCCAACTCAGAGATCTCTTCCTTCGTCCCCGATACTCTGTCTGACACGACCCACACTGAATGCTGGAGTCCGGCCCTGATAGAGCCCACGCTGACCGATTCTCCCTGCCCACTGAGGGCATGGGGCTGGGCAGGGCGTGGGTAGCTAGAAAAATTCACATCGGGTCGATCTGCAGTGACGTTCCCCAGGGACTGGGGTGACAACCAGCTCGGGCTTGGGGACACACTGCGGGCTGACAAACTCCGTGACAAGCCCCGTGACTCAGGCACATTCACATCCCTGTCACTTTGCACATGTGCCAAGCAGCACTCCCATCCCGCCCCCAGCCCGGAGATGCTTCTGGGGTGCAGGCTGCCTCACCCATGCCCCAGGGGCTCCAGGAAGTGAGCACTTGGTGTCAAAAGAGACCCAAACGGTGCTTCATCAGACCCAGTCCTGTGGTCAAGCTCAGAACAGCTCAGCCATGTGGGGCTGGGCACCTTGGGGAACGAGCTTGGGCTCCAAGCGTCATCTTGGCTCTTTGTCTCTGAAGGATGAGCCCCCAAGTGCCTAGACTTGGAGCACGTAGTGTCTGCCTCTTTGGGTGGCTGTCTCAAACCCTCCCCTCTTCCCTGCCAAGCTAAGCAGTGTGGCCCAAGCCCACCTTCTGTGACTGGTCTGGCTGAGGCTCCAACCTGCTGGTGGTGGCGAAGGTTCTGAACCACCCACTTACCCCACAGAGCCTTCCTTCACTGCCACCTCCACTCTTCCCCTCTGAGACACAGCAGCAATCACCCACGTGTCACAAGATGGGGCTGCAGGCACCCTATCTTGGGGTGAAATGTTTCCCTGGCTCTCAGCAGCGCAGGCTTCCTGGGCCCCGGCCAGCGGTCCTGAGGGACCCAGGGGCCCCCACCTCAGGGCTACTTGTGTCCTTCTTCCATTGGGAGATAGGACTCACGGAAGAGCCCTGGAAGTGGGTGTGAACTGGAGGGCAGTGCCTGTCCAGAGAGCCTGCCCAGCGTCAGAGGTACTTACAGGCCTGGCCCAAGTGAGAGGTGGCTGAAGAAAATGGGGTCCAAGTAGGAGAAGGCGGGCGGCTGGGTCCTGGGGTCTCCTGGGGCCTGAACAGTCTGCCCTGCACTGCCCACCTTCATGACTGGGGTTTGATCCCCTGTGTCCCCACAGCTCCTGGTGCAGACCTCTGGCCACCTCCTGCCAGGCCAGCAAGTCTCCATCAAGTCTTTGCCCTCTCAGGGACCCAGTGCAAGTCTCCGCTCAAAGGCGTTGGCTGAAAGAAGGGGCTTGGGAGGTGGCGGGTACCGGGAAGGGACTGACCGAGTGGGCAGGTGAAGTGGCATCCACCATCTGTTCTCTCTTTGGAGGGAAAGCTTCCTGTGCAGAGGCCGGGAGGGGCTGGAGGAGTGGCCGCTGGGCCGTGGGCTCCCTGAGGTTCCAACATCTAGGCCTTCTTTCCTTCTAGGGTGATGGGTGGGGGGCTCTCTTCCCCCAAATCCCAGGAAGCCAGACCCCTCCCTAGCAAGTCTCAGAGTGCCCAGTTCCCCTTCCGAGGCTGTCCAACCTTGGCCAAGGCTCGACCCCTCCTCCAGGACCAGGCACATCGCCAGCCCCTCCTTCCCCCTCATCCTCCTGCCGAGGTGGCAGCTCCACTCGGGCCCAGGTGTCCAGGGCAGACCAGGCCCCCGCCCCGCCACGCACCCACATGGCTCCTGGAGTGTAACTGTATCTAACACCTGTCTCATAGGCCCAGGGGCTCCTGGTGCTGGGGAGGGGAGCTCAGAGCTCGAAGGAGGTCCAGGGCCTCACCCAGCCACGCTGGCTGGGGGCTTGCAATTCTGCTTCCACCGGGATATGGTCGGGCAGCACCGGCCCAAGGCCCTGGCCCAGCTGCCGTGGGGAGCGTGTTCCAACCAGGCAGCCACTGGGGTCGGGAGCCGTGGGAGGGCCTGTCAGGACCAGAGGCTCAGTGGCCTCGGCCTGGGAAGGGGCCGCGCCTATGTGTGACCCTGGGGGGGGGGGGGGGGGGGGCGGCCCTGTCCGAAGCCCCCTCCCCCCTCCTCATTGTGGCCGCCGCGATGGCGTGGCCTGGCCCCTTACCCACCCCGCAACCTGGCCCGGTGCACACACCTTACCTCGACCCGGGCACCTGGCTCATGCCACGCTGTCCACCGGGCGTCTTCTCGTCATGGGGAGCCCGGCATGGGCGCTGGCGAAGCGGGGAGGCGGCCGAGGTGCTGGCCTGGCCGGCAGGGCCCAGCCGCGCCCCGCGCCCCGGCCTGGCCGGCCCCCTCGGCCGCGCCCGGAGAGGAGCTCCCCGGTGGGAGAGGACCGGCTGCCCCGAGCCTCCCACCGGGGAGGCTGAGGCCGTGCCCAGATAAATAAGGCCGCTTTGCAGGGAGCCGGGCGGGCGCCTCCTCCCTCCCCTCGCCCTCCTCCCCGCGCTCCTCCGCGGCCGCCGGCGGCGCCGCGCGCGCCCCCCGCCCGGCTCTACGCGCCGCGCCCTCGCGCGCTCCCGGCGCCGGGAGCCAATCGGCTCGGCGAGCCCGGGCGGGGGCGCCAGGGAAGCGGAGCCCCGCCCCGCCCGCCGCGCCCTGCCGCGCGCCCTGCGCGCTCCCGCCGCGGCGCCCACGGGCACGCGCCGGCCCGGCTGCGCCCCGGCCCCTCGCCTCGGGCGCCCGCACAGCAGCAAAGCCGCGCGCACGCGGGGCGGGGCGGGCAGGGCAGGGCAGGGCCGGCCCGGGGGTGCGCTGCCCGCGGAGCACTCGAGCCCTCGGGCGCCGGCGGCCCGACCTCCGAGGGCAGGCACGGCCCCCGCCCCCCGCAGCCTCTCCCGCCGGGCGGTGCGGGGACCCAGGCCGCCTTCCCGGCCCTCGCGCCCCGGCGCACCTGCGGGGACGCTCCCTCCCCCCAGAGGCGAGGAACAAGTGGCCACCAGCTCGGTTCAGAAAATGACACGTGCGATGAAATTTCAAGAGGGCCACGTGACAGTGGCCGCAGGAGGGCGCGGAGGCGTCGCTCCCGAGGGCAGGACACTTGGCAGGCGACCCCGAGGGTGAGAGGGTGGGCGAAGTTGTCCAGGAAGGGGTGCATCGGTCTGTGGATTCCGAGGCCTTGCCCCCGGCGAGTTCTCTCTGGAGCCCACTGGAGGTGGGCGGCCGTGTGGGGACCAGGCTGGGAGGGGCCCCGTGAGCCGCGGACGGTCGGTGTGCGGGGCAGGCTCAGAGCAGAGTGGAGGCCAGGGGTGACCCACCCTGGGGTCTCCCGGGAGCAGAGGCCCTGCAGGGACAGGTGTGGGGAGAGCAGCGCGGCCTTCACATTCGGGGGAGAGGGGAGGCCTCGCAGAGCGTCTGAGAGAAAACAGCTGGTGTTCGCAGCGTTTTGACGGGAAGCAGGACGGGGCGGGCCTGGCCGGCCTGGCCTCCCCCCGGTGGCGAGCACCACAACTGGCCCAGACAAAGGAAGCACCACTTCCAGGGCCACACGGAAACCCCGCACTCCCTGGCATCTGCTGACCGGGGGGGGGGGGGGCAGCTGCAGGCGGGAGCCTGGCTGTTGGGGAGATGCAGCGCTGCCCTTGTCTGTGTGGGACACCAGCTCACGGAGGCTGGCGAGACGGCGGCTGTCCGTGTGGCAGGGGGCTGGAGGGTCACCGCCTTGCCCTGGTGCTACCTCTGGTCAAAGCAGGGAGCTTGGCACGGGCGTCAGGATAGGACATGTGAAGACCTCTGGGGTGACTGAGTGTTGTCCCGTGCGGACCCCGGGGTGGCGGGAGTGTGCCTGGTGGGACCAGGTCTTACCTCATGCTGCCAGGGCGGGTGCCGGGGCCCCATGCAGAGAGCAAGTTCTGGCCTCAGAGGACTCCCCACCTCGGAAGAATCCGAGCAAAGAAAAGATTTATTTGTTTTCATTTTATTTTATTTTATTTATTTTATTTTTTACTGTTTATTTTTGAGAGAGGGAGACAGAGGGCGAGTGGGGGAGGAGCAGAGAGAGGGGGAGACACAGAACCTGAAGCAGCTCCAGGCTCTGAGCTGGCAGTCAGCACAGAGCCCGACGCGGGGCTCGAACCCACGAACCGTGAGGTCATGACCTGAGCTGAAGTCAGATGCTTCACCAACTGAGCCACCCAGCATCCCAAAAAAGATTTATTTGGAGGGATGTGAAATACTGTTGTAAAAGCCTGCCTCCTGAATGTCAGTGGGCTCTCCCCCCGCCCCCGCACCTCTGTCCCCTCCCTGGGCCAGCCGGCTGCTCTCCTCCACGGCTGATGGCAGCCACGGTTCTCCCCACGGTCACGGTCAGGGGATTCGGCCCCACCCTCCTAGGGCTCTGTGTGCTCTTCGCTGCAGCCGGGAAACCCTGGGTCCCCACCACCGCTGACCCCCAGCTGTGCCCTCTGGGAGCCACGGCCACACTGGCCTTCCTTCAGGGCCACACTCCTCCTACGGCGTCACCTCCCCTGTAACACTCTCCCACGTGGAGCCCTCCTCCCCTGAAGTGCTCGCTCCCCGGAGCACTCCTTGTCCTGCTGTGTGGACAGGGAGGAGTCTCCCCAGTCCAGGCTGGAGGTCCCAGTTCTTTAGTCCCTGGAGGGTGAGTAGCAAAGGCTGTTGGCGCATCCCACCCTGAGGCCTTTCTATGAGGGGGAGGAGGGTGGCATCAGGGATTGGGGCTGCCTTCGATGCGGTCACTCCTTACGGCGGCTGGGGGCTCCTTACAGGAGGTCCTCAGGTTGTTCCTTGGGGGGGGGGCCTGGGTACACCTGCCTGGCCCAAACTCTCCCATCCATGGTGGTGGCGGGAATCAGGCAAGTGCTTCCCCTCCTGGGAAATAGGCCTGGGGCCCAAGGGACCCTGAAGGTCAGCACGGCCGCTAACAGCACAGGCGGTGAGAGGCCCACGACCGATCGGCTCACTCTGAAGCTTCCTGCTCGTGGAGCCGTGGGGCACACTTTCCGCCTCTGCCCCATGCCCCAGCACCTGGGTGGGGGGCGTGTGGGTCAGAGGTGTGTGTTCAGCTCTCCTTGCCCCTCCGCTGCCAGAATGGCACCCACAGGAGTGAGAACCTTGAAGCCTGGCGTGGCTGTGGTGGCTGTGGGCGTCAGCGGGTGGGCCCCTTTGCTGTCCCCTGCTCCCAGCCTTTCCTCCTCCTGGGACCCAGGCCCGCCCGCCAGGGGAAGGGGGGGAAGGGGGTGGAGCAGCGGGGCTGAGCATGACTCAGGGCCCAGCTGTCACCACGGCAACCCCGTTGCCTAGCAATGGCGGTCTCCCAGTAACGGTTGTTTCCTAGCAATGGGATATTTTCCAGGGCCCTGGCTGGAGCCTGGTAGTTATTTTTAGCTCAGCTGCAAGTCAGTCTGCAGCTGCATTTTTGGTTCCTCCAGAAGATACAAGGTGTGTGGGGGGGGTGCGGGGGGGTGGGGTTCTTGTCCAAGGGGAGAAAACCTCATGGAAACCTTGCTGTCCCCGGTCACCAGGTGCAGCATCCATAGCTGGGCAAGGCCAAATTCTGCCGGGGGTGAGGGTCAGGGAAGTGGGGTGCTGGCGAAGGGGAGCCAGAAGAGTTGGCAATTATGACCATTTCCCTGATGGGGTCTCTGGGCAGGCTGGTCACTCCAGCACCCTGGGAGTCCCTGGCTCAAGCTGGGTATGGGCCGTCCAAGCCAGAGCATATGACTGGGGATCCGGGTTCTGGTAGGCTCCTGGCACCCCCTGGCATTCAGTTTGGGAACGGTCTCTGCGGTCCCCAGCCCCCCGCCCCACCCCAGAGGGGCAGCACCCTGCTCTGAAGCGGCTGGAGCAGCTCGGCCAGGTGGGCCTAGCTGCAAGGGTCTGGATGGCCGCAGGTTCAGCTGGGGACTCAGGCAAGGCTGGCCTCTGTTCAGGCCACACCTCTCCTTCTCCCCCACTGTTGCCGAAATGAGAGCCCAGGCGAGTCTTGTGCAAGGGAAAGACTTTGATCTCTCTGTCTGGGCTTTCTTCCTCTGGATCCCTGTTCCCTGTCCCGTCCAGGCCAAGTCCAGACCCTCCCGCGGCTGATGGGGCCTGGGGCTGGCCCTGCACTCCTCCAGCTGGCCACCTTCCTGGCTCCTGGTCTGTCCTGGGCTCCATACTGTCCTTGGGACATTCCCCTGCTTCTCAGACGCAGGCCCTCTACCTGCCCTCATCACCTATCAGATCTGCCCCGACTTCCCGCCGCTGCCCCAGGTGCTCTACCCGCTCAGCCCCCACCACGGCCATGAGGGCTCCTTGCTGTGCCCCCAGGGCCCTTCCTGTCAGACACCCTTTGCCCTGTGGGGCCGACCCCCTGCTTGAGTATGGGGCTCGGGCTGGATGCTCCTCCTTGCCCAGCATCGGCTGCACCCCGTGCCGAGAACTAGGGTACGGGTGAGGGCGGAGAGAGGCCCCTTTTGGCAGGTCAGGGCCCTGAAGGCCCTGGAGCCGGGCGTACGTGAGCACAGACGCTGGAGTTTGAGATGTCATTCAGTCCACAATTCACTCATCTGTTCACTCACTGGTGCTCACACTCACTGCTCGCGCATTTACTGAGCACCTGCAGCGTCTCTGGTCACTGCACTCATGACGATCGAGGGAAGGCATGGCCTGATGGACTTCCTGTCCTATGGGAAGCACATTTTGACGGCTAACGACAGCAGGGGGGAGGGCAGCAGCTGTGAAGACAGATTGCCCCTGTGCAGGTTTTCCGAGGGCGAGAGTCAGCTTATACGCTGGGCCTGGGAAGAGGTCTGGGCAGGGGGATCCTGGCGATGAGGAGACGGCTCAGGACCAGGCCTCTGGCCCCGGCCACCCGCGGACTTTGATTCTCTGGGGCAGAGCTGGCGCGGGGAGTCCGAGGGGCTCTAAGCTGGTGCGGTGGGTCTGCAGCTGACTCCAAACACTGCCACCAGAGGGCGCCTGGAGCCCACTATCTGCCCCAGAGACCTGGGCCGGGCACTGGCCCCAGAGGCTAGAAGGTGAGAGGAGGCGTGAGCCTGGGCCACAGCCGCCGTGGTGCTGACCCGAGCGCCCTCCCCCCTTCCTACTGGAACCTCTTTTACCCTCCATATTCCCAGCACAGGCCCTGTCTACCTTTCACTTTTAACTGAGTAAAACATGCATAGCATTTGCCCTCTTGATCATTTTTAAGCGTACAGTTCAGTGATGTTCAGAACATTCTCACCGTGTGCTGCTCCCACCCCCGTCTCTTCATCTTTCCTACTGAAGCCCCGTCTCCTTAAACACTCAGTGCCCATCCTGCACCTCTTCCCCCCCACCCCCCACCCCCACCGTTTCTGTCTCTGAACTTGACGCCAGGGATCTCGTAGAAGTGGAACCCTACGGCATTTGTCCCTTTGTGACTGGCTAACTTCACCGTCATGTCCTCAAACTTCATCCCTGTTAGCCAGTGTCAGAATCTCCTCCCTTTCTATTTTATTATTTAAATGTTTTTCAAGTAATCTCTGCACCCAACATGGGGGCTCAACAACCCCAAGACCAAGAGTCACACCCTCCGCTGACAGCCAGCCAGGTGCCCCAGAATCTCCCCTTTTTTTTAAATAAAAATTTTTAAATGTTTTATTTATTTCCGAGAGAGAGAGAGAGAGAGTGAGTGTGAGCAGGGGAGGGTCAGAGAGAGAGGGAGACACAGAATCTGAAACAGGCTCCAGGCTCTGTCAGCACAGAGCCCGATGAGGGGCTCGAACCCATGAACCATGAGATCATGAGCCAAAGTCGGATGCTTAACCGATGGAGACACCCAGGCACCCAAATCTCCCTTTAAATAAAAATAATTTTTTAATGTTTATTTTATTTTTGAGAGGGGGTAGGGGCAGAGAAAGAGGGAGACACAGGATCCAAAGCAGGCTCCAGGCTCCCAGCTGTCAGCACTGAGCCCGAAGCGGGGCTCAAAACTGAGCTGAAGTCAGCCGCTTAGCGACATGAGCCACCCTGGCACCCCTCCTTCCTTGTTAAGGTGGAATCACAGACCAGTGTTGGATGGACATTTTGTTTGTCCGTTCCTGTGTCTGTAAACACTTAGCCTTTTGGCTGTTGTGATGGTTGGTTCTCAGTCTACCTTGTCCAGAGCAAGGGGCCTGTTGTGCCCTGGGAGTGTCCCCCCTTCCCCTTGGGGCCAACTCCCTCATCTGTCAGCCATGCCCTGAAGGCTCAGGGGTAGCGGGAGGGCTGGAGTATCGGGGTAGTGGGGTGGAGGGTCCACACCCACAGATGGCAGAGTCTATACCGTTACCTGCAGGCTGGTTCACGCTCTCAGTGATGCCAAGGGTTCGAGTTGGCGGCTGGACTCCTGGCTTTGTGCCTGAAGCCTCTGTGATCTGACTCAGGGGGTTCACCCAGCTCTGGGCTTTGCCAAGGCAGTCTGCTCCTCTCCCCTGCCCTCAAGCCTGGAATTCCCTCCAGACCTACCTGGCCAACGGCCCCCATCCCCTCCCCTCAGGGGAAGTCCTTGCTACCAGGAAATCTCTGGGCTCCCCCCCCACGCCCGCAGCCTTCACAGGCACCCTGAGGTGTTTGGTCTTGGCCCCATTACAGTGTGTCTGGACCTCCTGATTCTGGGGCTCAGGGCTGTCTTTTGGCTCCTGTGGTGCCCACACGCCCAGCATCGGGCCCCTCATCCTGGGGGGCTCCGTGGCCGCCTCTTGGGACGAATCAGCAGGGCCAGGGTGAAGCAGGATGGGAGCTGGAAGCGCAGGGCGCACCCTCGGAAAGGGCCACCGAGATGAGCCGCGCCTCCTCCCCTCCTCCGCTCCCGGGCTCCAGTGGGCGCCTCTGCCCCCCCTAAACCGGCCCGGCGCACCCGGCGACCCCGTGGGCGGGGGCCCCGCGCGGGCGCACGCGGTCCACAGGGCCCAGAGCGCCGTGCGCCAGCCTCCCGGGCCGCGAGCGCCGCTGTGATTGGTGGAAAGTCCCTGGGCCGCGCCGCGATTGGCCGCGCTCGGCCCCCGCGGGACTGCCCGGCTGCGGGGCGGCGCGGGCGGCGGGGTGCGGGGTGCGGGGGGCCGGGCGCGACCCCGACCCGGGGGCGATGCCGCTCCCTGCGCGCTCTGCCTGGGTCTCCTGGCCACCGCCACCCACGCCGGCCACTCGGGGGACCGCTGCAGCTGGAGCCGCAGGTACGACCCCCTCCCCCAGGCCGCGCCCCCGGGGCCCAGAGAACAAAGTGGACACCGCCGCTGGCTGCCGGGGAGGGTGAGGCAGGGCGGCCGGGCCGGGTGGGGGCGCACGCCGCCGGCCTCAGCGCCTCGCGTCCTGGCCCCAGCGGCCTGACCCAGGAGCCGGGCAGCGTGGGGCCGCTGCCCCCGGCCTGCTCGGAGGGCGTGATCCAGTGGCTGTACCGGCCGGGGCGCTGCGCCTGACGCTGGCCGGCTCCGGCTCCGGCTCCGGCCCGCGCTCGGGCCCCGCCTGCCTGCGGCCGGCGCGGTCCTTCGCAGGCGCCCAGGTCTTGGCGGAGCGGGCGGGCGGCGCCCTGGAGCTGCTGCTGGCGGAGGGCCTGGGCCCGGCGGGGGGCCGCCGCGTGGCTTCCTTCCGCTTCCAAGTGCACGAGGACAGGTATCCAGAGCCGCCCGCGCAGGCGCACGGCCTTGGTGCCGACGGTGAGTGATGGGCTGGGGGCGGGTGCGCCTGTCGTCCTCACTGCTGTTGAGAGGGAAACCGAGGCGCGAGAGCCAAGTGGCTCGTCCTGGGCCACACTGCTAGGAGGACAGGTCGCAGCATCGGGGGAAGGGGGCAGCGATCCCTGGAGAGTCAGCTTAGGGAAAGAGCTAGCAGTGGGCAGAATGGGGGGAAAGAGGGGCCGCGCACGACTCTGGGTCCCTGAGGGGCTGGGGGAGGGGTGACGCGGGACAGATTCAAAGCCTGCAGCCAAAGCTGTCCAGGGCTCCCTGGCCCAGCAGTGACCTCCCTCCCCTCCTCCAGTCCGGTGTGCGCCTGGTCACCATGGAGACGCTGCCTTGCCTCCCTGCAGGGCACCGGGCCCAGCTCTTTACTCTCCGGGGACTTGAGGCCTGACCCCGCGGGGGATCTTTCTGCTCTGGCCCCTGGCCCCAGGCCAGCTGCCCCTAAGCCCTTGATGACCTCCTGCCTCCCACCCAGGCTGGGCTGGTGTCTTTGGGCCGCAGGAGGCAGCTCTGGGAGGCGACGGGGTTCCCGCAGGCTGGGGTGCATGTGGAAGCTGGGTGCTGGAGAGCGTGCTCCCAGACACCCCTCCATGTGTGCCCGCGCGCGGGGCCCGGCCCCGAGGCCCATGTCTGTGCATGCCCGAGAGTGCAAGGTGTGTGTGCCCACCTGCTCCCTCAGGTCCCCCGTTGCCATCAGACGGTGAGGGGAGGGTCCGGCTGGGGGAGGGCGGAGGGCGGCCCAGGAGAGGGCGGGCCCCACAGTCAGCAGCACCTCATGCCAGGGGTGTGCAGGCCCTGCAGTGACACCGAGCTCCTGCTGACTGCGTGCACCAGTGACTTTGGTGAGTGTCCCCACCACATGGGGGCGGGGTCTGGCGTCGGCACTGCCCCGCAAGCCACTGGCAGCACGTCTCCCCGCAGTGATCAACAGAACCATCCACGGGGTTGCCCACAACGCAGAGCTGCAGGAATCGGTCATCACGGTGGCCGCTGCGCGTGTCCCCCGCCAGACTCCGCCACTGTTCCTGGTGGGGGCACCCGGGGGCCCGGTGCAGGCCTCCATTCACACCCCGCTGCTCTGCGGCGTCCGTCCTGGCCCCGGCACCTTCCTCTTCACAGGCTGGAGCCGCTCTGGTGAGGCCTGGCGGGGCTGTGCACCCCGCTTCCAGGAATTCAGCCATGCCTACGCGGCCGCCTGTGCCCACCGCCTCCACGCCCGTGAGCTGGCACTGGACTGAGGGGCCTGGGAGCAGGACACTGGGGAGGGGCTGGGAGAGGGTGGGTGCGGAGGGGTAGCCTCCTCATGGTCCGAGTTGCTTCTGAGGTGACAGTCGTAACCAGTAAGAACACTGATGCCGCTAGCCAGCGCAGGTGGAGCGTCCCATGCCTGAGCCTGGCCCAGCCACGGCCCCCCGCCCCGCTGCTCCGATTTCTGCTTCAGTAGGACGCCGGGGCTCTGGGCAGTGGCGCCTCGCCTAAAGCCATCCAGCTAGTGAGTGGGAGAGTGGCCCGGGCCTGAGCCTTAGAGGGGAGCCGCTGCTCGGGTTGGGGGTAAACAGGGACCCTTCCTCCCGCGTGAGCCTCAGCTCGGCTGCTCCTACCTTTGGTGCCAGCTGCTTGTGTAACGGAGAACGGGAGTGGACAAAGGGCTGTAACGCCCCAGGTCTGAGGCGGGAGGTGTCCTTTCCTGGGGCGGGGGGGGGGGGGCAGGAGGGCAGCACTCCTAGCCTGTGAGGGAAGGCACTGCAATCGGGCAGGATGCCAGACTTCCCTCTATGGTCCACTGGGAGCCCAGCACAGGCATCCTGGCCCTGTCGGGTCCTCAAGGAAGAATGGGCCCCTCTGTCCTGAGGGCCCTGAGACGTGCAGAGCATCCAGACATGGCTCGTCCTCATGGGAGTGGGGTCTCCCCTGCAGGGCCGGGCGTGGTGCCCGCTTCTGGAGGGCAGGGTGATACAATGGGGTCTCTAAGGACGTTTCCCGCCACTGGCCCCATTGTGGCTGCCTCCGCCTTCCTCTTCAGCCTCAGCTGCATAAAAGGCCAGTGCAGTTTGGGACAAAGCCTAGGCCGAGGCTGAATGTCCCTGGGGTGGGCTGCACGCGAGAGCTGCTGAACCAAGGACAGGCTGACCCTGCTCCCTCCGACCCCACACGTTCCTGGGAGCCAGAGCTCAGGTTTGGGGTGAAGAGCACCTGGACTCATAGGCTGAGCCCCAGAAACAGCCTCCCCTCCTCACCTGCCAGTCTGCAGTGGGGAAGGAGCTGACGGTGGGCATGGAGGCCAGAGGCCGCATCATCTTTCAGACAGGAACTGAGACTAGAAGGGCGGCCGGGCCAGTCTGTGCAGGGCCCAGACATAGGGCTCCTTTCTCCAGATTCGGCTGACAGTTACGGGTGGGGGAGGCAGGTTCCCAGGGGTTTGCACCCCCCTGTCCTTCCTGGGGCTCACTGCTGCTCCCTTCTCCCCAAACTCCCAACCATCGGGTGCTCAGGGTCACGCACTAGACCTCTCGTCTCCCTTGATATTCCCTCACTGCAGAGCTGGACCGGCCTCGTGGCTTTAAAAACCATCAACGTGCTGATGACCCTACGTTTTCATCTCCAGCCTGGACCTCTCCCCTGCCAACCGTTGTGTCCCTGTCTGCCCCCTTCCCCTCAGCAAAGAGCGTCTTAGCAAAGAGCAAGGAGGAAGAGAGGGGTGTACTCTCCTGATCCTGCCCTCTGTCCAGAGGTCTCTGCTTTGTCCAGGGCCCGGGGATGGCTTCATCTCCAAGGCTGTCCTTACCCTTGGCATCTGTCCTGATCTTCTGGTCACCTCCCCACAGCCTTTCATTGGAAGGAGGAGGCCCCTGGCCACACCCAGGGGTCACTGTGGACTGCCTCCCAGACCACATGTCCACAAAAACGTAGGGTAGGGCAGCTGCTCTGGGGTGAGCCCTTAGTTGGACACTGGTCTCTATGCACCTGTCCCGGCACATGCCTGAGCCTCCCATGCACACACCCTCTGCAGAGAAAGTGCTAACTTTGCAACTAGCTTTCTTTTCATAAGGTGCAGAAAGGGCAGAATTGGGTGCGGCTAACAGGGCAAAGGAGCCACAGGGTGCTCCGGGTTGTGCCTCAAAGTCTTGGGCCAGGGGCTTCATGCCTGCTTGGGGGGCAGATGGGGGAGACAGGGGAAATGGGGTGGGTGAGCATGTATGTGGGGGCCATGGGCTAAGGGAGCTGGCCTGTGGAGCACCTCTGGGCACGTGCGCTCACACAGGTATGCGCCCACCTGCCGAGGAGCCTGAGAGTTGGGGGGGGGGTGTGTGCGGGAGGAGTCTGGTTATGTGCACTGGTTCAGTCAACAGCTTTTACTGAGTGCCTTCTAGGTGCCAGGTGCTGCCCTAGGAATAGAGCAAGGAACAAAACACACGAGGGTGGGGTGCTGTGTAAGCCCCCCCCCCCAACAGCCTGGAGCCCAGTGCACAAACTTTCTGGGGAGGGCCCAGTGACACCCCCACAGGAGATAAGATCCTGTGAGCCAGGTGGGGCCAACCCTCCTCCCCAGGGCTCATTTCTTGGGAGCAGGACACTGGGATTTCCTGTCGCCCACGGATGCCTGTCTTTCAGGACTGCGGCCACGCACAGGCAGGCATGTGAGGCAGTCTGTATTTGAGCGTGGAGGAAGGGGTCTGGGGCATGTTGGTACCGTCTGAACCCGAGGATCCGGACCAGGGCCGCGGGTGGCCAAGGAGCCAGGCCAGGACCTGTGTACATCTGAGTCCCTCACATTCGTGAGACAGCTCAGCCAGCTTCAAGGTGGGCTGAGGGGGCGGCCCTGGCTCTGGCACCTGACATGGGCTCTGCTCCCCTACTTGTTTCTCCCAACCCCGGGCGTTGCCAGCTCACCTCTGGGAACTGAAATTTTTTGTGACGTTTTTGGAGAAGGAAGGATGTCTCCCCGGCTCTTGGGGCTCTTTCTCCCCCCCCGCCACCCCCGTGGCTGGGCCAGCTGCCAGTCGCTCGGCCCCTCATACCCGGCCCCCCTTCGACCACATCCACAGCTAACGTCCGCGTTTTCAGGGCGGCTCGATCTCCTGGTCAAGCCTGCCTCTCGGCTGAGCTCCCAGCTGCCGCCGCACCTTCCCCCGTCCCCACTCGGCCTGCCTGCCTTCAGCGGTGGTGCGGGCCCGGAGGGTGTCCTCCCTGCGGCCGCCCACGGGCTTGGCCGGCCTCCGGGGCGTCGCGGCGGGTGGGGACCTCCGCCAGTCTCTCTGCGACAGCCTGGCCGCGGCGCCACCCCACGCCCCGGAGTTCCCTCCGCGCCGAGCTCCACGGCCGTCCCCAGATCCCCGCTCCGGCCACGCCTGCATGGCCGCGTCGCTTGTCCCTGCGCGGGGGTAGGTGGGCCAAAGGGGCAGCGGGGGGGGGTCCCCGGGGCGCGGGCTAGGCCGGTGCAGCCGGAGACCTCAGGCCTCAGCAGGACCCGGACCGCGCGGGACCGGCCTCGGGCCGCCGCTGAGCGCGAGCGGACGACCGCTTCCGGCGCTCCGCCACGGCTTCCGCCCCGTACTTCCGGCGCCCCGCCACTTCCGGTAGGCGCGGGGCGGGCTGGAGGGTCCCCTCCGGCTCCCGGCCCGCGCGGGACGGCGTCCGACCCGAGCCCGGGAGGGACCCTGGGGCAGGGCGACCCTGAGCCGCGCGTCCCGCCGCCATGGAGGACGACCCCGGCGAGGCGCTGTCGGAGCTGCGCGAGCGGCGGCTGAGCGCGCTGGAGCTGCTGCAGGCGGCGGCGGGCTCGGGCCTGGCGGCCTACGTCGCGTGGGCGCTGCTGCTGCAGCCTGGCTTCCGCCGCGTGCCGCTGCGGCTGCAGGTGCGGGGCGGGGCCGCCGCGGCTGCAGGGGGGCGGGGCCGCGGCTGCAGGGGGGCGGGGCCGCGGCTGGGGGTGGGGCGGGACCGCCGGGGCCGCGGCTGGGGGCGGGGCGGGACCGCTGCGGCTGCAGGGGGCGGGGCTGGGGCGGGGCCGCCGCGCCTGCAGGGGGGCGGGGCCGCGGCTGGGGGTGGGGCGGGACCGCCGGGGCCGCGGCTGGGGGTGGGGCGGGACCGCCGGGGCCGCGGCTGGGGGCGGGGCGGGACCGCTGCGGCTGCAGGGGGCGGGGCTGGGGCGGGACCGCCGCGCCTGCAGGGGGGCGGGGCCTGGGCGGGGCCGCCGCGGCTGGGGGCGGGGCGGGCGCCGCCTCTCCTGGACGGGCCGCGGCTGGGGACCTGCAAGCTCAGCGCCCCAAACCCCCGACTCCCCCGACCCGGCCCCGCCTGCTTCCTTGTCCAGGTGCCCTATGTCGGTGCGAGTGAGCGGCAGGTGGAGCACGTGTTGTCGCTACTGCGAGGCCGCCCTGGAAAGATGGTGGACCTGGGCTCTGGCGACGGCAGGATTGTAAGGTGTCGGGGTGGGGATGGGTTTGGGGGCGTCCTCGTCGCCCCCTCTCGCCAGCGCACCCCCCCCCCACCTTCTGGACCTACAGTCTCATGTGCCTGCAGGTGCTGGCTGCCCACAAGTGCGGCCTCCAGCCAGCTGTGGGTTACGAGCTGAACCCGTGGCTAGTGGGGCTGGCCCGGCTGCATGCATGGAGGGCAGGCTGTGCCGGCAGCGTCTGCTACCGCCGTGAGGACCTCTGGAAGGTAACCCAGGGAGTCCCGGGGCTCCTGGGGTCCCCACACCTGATCTCCACACGTCCAGCTGTCGGTTGGCCACCCCACCGACAACCCCAGGTTCCCCTGCCTGCACCTGCGTGGTCTGGGGCCAGGACTTGGGAGCCACAGTGACCCCATGCTCACCAGACCTCCTCCTCGGCTGGGGCCCTGCTCCCTGCTGGGGTGACTGTTCTTGCAGGTGAGCCTGAGGGACTGCCACAACGTGTCTGTGTTCCTGGCCCCTAGTGTGGTAGGTGTGGGGTTTGCTAGCCCCAGGGGAGGCCCCGGCCCTCTCAGTGTAGGTGCTGGGCCTGGAGGAGCCCGGCAGGGGCAGCCGCGGTCAGCCTTGCCCACCCTGCCCTCCTGCTGTCTCTCCACAGCTCCCACTCCTGGAAGACAAGCTGCGGGCAGAGTTGCCCGCAGGGGCCCGAGTGGTGTCGGGGCGCTTCCCCCTCCCCACCTGGCCGCCTGTGGCTGTGATGGGGGAGGGTCTGGACCGTGTCTGGGCCTATGATGTCCATAGCGGTGGGCCAGCTGGTCAGGCTTCCCCAGGACCCAGTTCTGCCTCAGTCCCCGGGGCTCCCAAGTCTCAGGTTGGCTGACCCTTTGGACACAATAAAGACTCCGGACTGCGTCCTGACTCTTGTTGGGTGGAGGGTTGGGTGGAATGACCTCTGCATTCAAGGGGGTGCTCTGAGGAGGGTTCCTTGGCCGCCGCCGTGAAGAGTTGTGCTGTGCGAATTCAACAGCTGGCTAGCGGCTGCGGGTCTTTGGGTGCTGGGGCTTGAGTGGAGGTGCGGCCCCCACTTCGGCGGCGTCCTCTGTACGCATTAGCTTCCTCAGCTTCAGGATCTCTTGTTTGTACCTGCTCAGAGGAGTCAGGCTTACTCACCTGCCTGGCTGTGCACCAGCCCTGGCTCCGCTGCCTGGAGCTGACGCCCTGGGCCACTCCCAGCCCACCTGCCTAGGTGCTGGTCCACATACTCCTGTAGCTCAGATAGCTGCTCCTCAGCCCTCACGGCCCGGACTAGCAGCTGTGCGCGCTCACATTCCAGCTCTGCCTGGCGTGGGGAGGGCAGAAGCTATGAGGCAGGACAGAGAGTGAGGAGGGGCCCCCGGCCAGGCCCTGCCCACTACCTGAGTGCCACGGGAGAAGTCCCGGAGCTTCTGGTGGATCTGGGCCCAGGATGCAGGTTCCTGGCCTCTGGGAGGAGAGAGAGAGGGGCAGGTATGAGGGCCAGCATCAGGCCACATGTTGACCAAGAGCATGTTCAAGTTGGGGCACCCAGATTCCTGACTTGACTGCTGGGAGCCAGTGCAGGACTGCATGGGCCCACGTGTCCACTATGGGCCCTGCTTGGGCCTTTGAGCCATCTGTACAGGGGTCAGAGCAGCCCAGGCCCAGAGGGCCCACTGGCCACGCAGGGAGGACTAAGCCACAAAGCCAAATAGAGACCCCAGTGCTGTATGGATGTTGACAGGGGACCTCCCCCATCCTGGGGATGTGCTTCTCAAAACTCTGGGAGTGGGGCTGACACAGCCTTGCCCGCCACATTTGGAAACACGGAGGCCCAGAGGCAAGGGCGGCGAAAGTCAGCAGGCCGCCTGCTACTATGCTGTCCTGGAGCCATCCCACCGCACCTCTTCATCCTTCGGTCCTCTGGGCCTCGCTCAAATGTCCCTTCCTCAGCGGCTCTCCCGGACCCTCCCATTCAAGGTTAGCCCCTCTCCTGCCAGGGCCCCGCTTCGCCCCAGGCCCTTGGCTTTCTGTGATTATTGACGCCTCCCACGCAGGCCAAGACCCAAGGGCAGGTGTCCTCAACACCCACTGCACGGTACTCACTGTGGCTCTGCCGAGCTCCCCTGGGAGGCTCCACTGGGTCCCCTCTGTAGGAGCAAGAGCAGTATCATGAGCCCGTTGGGCTGGAAAGGCTGCGTGGTGGGAATTCTCTGTCGGCTCAAGGCAGGCCACGCAAGGGTGGGACCTAGGCTGAACCTGTCACAGGGCTGGGGTGTGTTCTGGGGCCAGTGCTTCAAGGTCAGCGCAGGGTAGTCAGGAGAGCTCACCGGGGCCTGGAGCTTCCGCAGCTGCTTCTCCAGCCTGGCCTGGTTCTCTGGTAGGTGACTGGGTTCAGTGACCAGATGCAGAGGCAGTGGCTCCGGGTCTGAGATGGCTCCATCAGAGGTAGCCTTGGGGGTCCCGAGTGCCCCCCTGGGGTCTGCCAGCACCTGCTGCACCCTGAGCCACATGCCGGGTCACACAGGGCCACCCCACCCCCAGGTGCCCGTCTTAGGGATGGGCCCACCTGTGGTTGGCCAGCAGCTCCTCATGTCTACAGCTCAGATCTGCCAGGCGCTTGCGGTAGGCACGAGCGGCCCGGGCCAGCTGCTGCTCGCGGCTGCGGTGCGCTGCCCGGATGTCCTCCAGAGTGCTCTCCAGGAAAGCCCGAAGGGCAGCTGCATCTGGCACCCGTGTAGACTCCTGGAGGGGATCGGGCGGGGCTGGGGGTGGGGCCAGGGCTGACAGCAATTCCCACAGTCCCCTGTGTGGAGCAGATTGGGCCACTTGGCAGGCCGGGCCCACGGGGTCTCCCTGAAGCATCCCGGCACGCTCAGGCCAGGCTTGGGCTCCGCGGTACCAGGGACCTCCCACCCGGCACAGGGCCACTCCAGCCAGTGCTCACTGCCACGCCTCGGGCACATCGCTGCAGCTGGACTGCATACTCCTGGTTCAGCTTCTTGAGCTGCAGCTGCAGCTGGGCATTCTCCTCCTCGGCCTGGCGGAGCTGGCCTTGGCAGGCAGACAACACCTGGGGGTGGAGGCAGCCTTGAACCTACGTTCCATGAGGTGGCCCTTTGCCACTTTGTAGGACGGCCACCTGCCAGATCTCAGTGGGTAGGGCTGGGCCTCACCGTGGCTTGTGCAGCCAGTCGCTGTCCCGCTGTCCTGGCCTCCTCTCGGGCTCCCTGCAGCTGCCGACCCAGGTCTGCCCTGCGGACGTGGGCGTGAAGCTCAGCCGGGCACAGGGCAGGAACTCCCTCTGCCTCTTGGGAATGTTTGCTCTGTGCCCGGTGCCCGGTGCCCTGCTGGGTCCTCCCCATCCCTGGGGAGGCAGCCACTCACACGTGGGTCTCCAGTGCCTGCTTCTGGGCCCTGTGCTTCTCCAGCACTCGCTGCCATTCTCCCTGCAGCTGCGGGGTACACAAGGGCTGGCTGAATGAGACCCCAAACTCTGGGTCCCTGCCGTTGCCCAGCTGCACCCTGGGCTGGGAGAAACCTGCCCCGATTCCCAGACTAGGTGGCTGCACACTCACACTGTTCCCCAGCGTCTGCTGTTCCTTCTTGGGGGTCAAGAAGTCCTCTGGCTGTGCCTGTACGGGAGAGCCGGTCCGAACCTCACTGCGCCCCTGTGCACCCCTGTTCAGCTCCCCTGCCCAGCCCACCCAGCCAGGCCTTCCGTGCACTTATGGTGACCTGGGGTCTCTGGTGGATGGAGTGTCCCTGCTCCTGGGCCTTGTGCCCGGGCCCCTGTGCCAGCTCCTGGCGGTGCCCCAGGCCAGTGTCTGCCGGGGCTGCACAATCTCCACGCAGCTCCAGCTCCAGAACCCGGCTCTCCAGCCTTAGGACCTGCAGGGGGCGGGGCCAGGACACCCAGGGCGGGGCAACGTCATTTGGGGCCGTACAGGAACACACCGCACACGCGGGAAGAGGCAGAGACACGGCACTGGTCCTCAGTGCGCACCCTCCCCCGTGTGTTCGGGGCACCTGTGGGAACACATCAGCACCCACCTCACTCCTCAGCTCGAAGAGTTCAACCTCGTGTTGCTCCCGCAGGTGATGGGCTGTGATCTGCAGGTCAACCAACTCCTTGGAGATCTGTGGGTGGCCCGAGTAAGAGGCGGCGTCTGTGGGGCCCTCCTTGCTGCTGGTACCCCAGGGCCCCTCACTGGCCTGCAGCCGCTGCTCCTCACTCAGCTGTAGGTCCGGGGGACGCTCTGCCCTGAGGCTCGTGGTCCAGTCCTCGGCCCGTGGCAGAACCTGGGGAGGGACCAGGCGCATCCCGCAGGTGGGCCTGCACTCCTCGCCAGCGTCCCCTCCACACACGCACACAGCCTGCCCGAGCCAGGGCAGTTCCTCCCACGGCCAGGATCAAATCCAGGACTCGGCCTCTGAGGTGACAGGGAGACACCCTGGCCCCGTGGCCGACTCACATTCTCAGTGGCCCAGGGTGGGGGCTGTGCCCTGGGGCTTGTGGCTGCCGCACGCTCCATAAGCAAAAGGACCTCTGACCCAAGCGCAGTGCCACCTTGGCTACCGGCCTGTTGCTGCAACACGGCGGCTCGCGGCGTTGCTAGGGCCTCTGAGGACCGCCCCGCGAGGGCAGTCGGCGGAGGCGGACCCAGCGCACTCCGTCTGTGGTGGCCCGTCGCTTCTGGTCTGCGGTTCCCCCTCTGCGACATGCGGACGGGCGCCGCCGCGCTCACCCTGCGCGCGGGCGGACCCGGGAGCGCAGAGCGCGCCCCGGCCGCTGCCGTGACTGCTTCCCCCTCGCAGGGGCCCTGCCCTACCGTGGGGCTCACACACTCAGTAGGCGCCCTCTGTGTGCCTGCTGTTGACGGCCGGGCGCCGGGATGGGCAGGCGAACAGACTGCAGCTTCTCCCACCCCCGGCTGGGGGACTCCAGGGGGCTGGCTCAGCCCAAGCGCCAGGAGGCCTTCGCGGAGGAGGCAGGCACTGCAGGGCCCGGCGTTGCGGGCTCGACCGCGCGTGCGGGCTCCACCGGGCACGCGCGCGCCCCTGCCCGCGCACGCTCGCTCCCAGCGCCGCGGCAGGGCCGTGGGCAGCGGCCGGGGGAGCGCCGCGCCCCGCTCAGGCCCCGTGGGCAGCGCCCTCGGCCCGTGTCTACCCCGCTGTCTCCAGCGGTCCGCGCAGGCCACAGGCGCAGCCCTGGCGGGTGAGGGCCGCTTGGGAACCCGTATCGCGCCGCGACCCGGGGAGGGCCTGGGGGGCGGGGCGGGCCTGAGGGGGGCGCGGCCTACGGCGAGGGGCGGGGCTTAGGCCGAAAGACCCCGGCGACGCGGGAGGGCGTGGCTCAAGGGGAAGGCGGGGTAGCGGGGCGGGGCTGGGGAGGTCGTGCGGTCGCGAGGGGGGTGGGCTGAGCGTAGAGCGGGCGGGGCGGCCGCGGGGGCGGGGCCTGCGGCGGGGCGGGGCCTGCGGCGGGGCGGCGCGGGGGGGGCAGGCGTGCGCACGGGCCGGCCCGCGGGAGCTCGGGGCGTTGGCTCCCGCACCGGTCCTCCCGGTGGTCCAGAGAGCAGGGAGCGGGCTCCCTTCCCGGCCCCCGATGTGTGTGTGGAGCTGACCCCTCACCCGCACAGCCCTGCCTTGAGGGAAGTCCGCGCTCAGGGGAAGGGGCTCAGAAGCGGGGTGGGGGGCGCCTCTCTAGGAGAAGAAGCGGGGTGCCTGAGCTCTGCGACCATGAAGGTCAAAGTCATCCCTGTGCTCGAGGATAACTACATGTACCTGGTCATCGAGGAGCACACGCGGGAGGCTGTGGCCGTGGACGTGGCCGTGCCCAAGAGGGTGAGGGCAACCTGTGGGCGGCGGGGAGCGCCTCTGCGGGTCTGGGCAACTGGGCCTGCGAGGGGTCCCCCCGACCACCCTGATTGGAGCAGGCCTTTCCCTATTCTCTAATCTCTGGTTATTTGGCGTTTAGGGTTCCTTGATTATCTTGAGTCTGCCTTCAAGTTAGGACCACGTCACCTCCGTTTCCCCTTCCCTGGTGCCTGTGTGTACGCACGGGGCGCTGTTACTGTCTGCTGGGTCTCCCCTGCCCCCGCCCGCTCCTGGCCTGCCCGGCACTGCGCATCACTCCTGGCGCCCTAGCGTGGGTGGGTGGGGGCGGCCACCCGACCCTGCCAAGTCTCCCTAACCCCCGTCCCTTTCAGCTGCTGGAGATCGTGGGCCGGGAGGGGGTATCACTGACCACTGTGCTGACCACCCACCACCACTGGTGAGCGCGGTCGGGGCGGGCCGAGGCGCGAGGGCGTCGTCCCCGCCCCGCCCCCCGCTGACCCTGCTCCCGCCCGTCTGCAGGGACCACGCGCGCGGCAACGCGGAGCTGGCGCGGCTGCGGCCGGGGCTGGCCGTGCTGGGCGCCGACGAGCGCATCTGCGCGCTGACCCGCAGGCTGGCGCACGGCGAGGAGCTGCGGGTGAGCACCGCCCCAGGAGGGCGGGGAGGCGCCTCGGGCTCTCCGGCGTCACCGGCCGTCTGCCTCTCTGCCGCAGTTTGGGGCCATCCACGTGCGCTGTCTCCTGACTCCGGGCCACACCTCCGGCCACATGAGCTACTTCCTGTGGGAAGAGGACTGTCCTGATCCTCCAGCTGTGTTCTCGGGTACTGGCCGCCCCATCCCACCAGCCCCTTTCCTCTGACCCCGCGGCACCTTCTCTGACCTGCTCTCCACCCCAGGGGATGCGCTGTCGGTGGGTGGCTGTGGCTTGCACCTGGAGAGCACAGCTCAGCAAATGTATGAGAGCCTGGTGGAGACCCTGGGCTCCCTACCCCCGGAGACGGTGAGCGGGCACCCCTTGCCCTCCTGCAGGGTCCCGCCTCCCTGCACAGCCCACACGCTCGGTACTTGACTTGTGTCAGGGAGTTCAGGCAGAACAGCCCTGGGGTGCTAGGGTCCGGGGAGGGGCCAGGCCAGCCCTGGTGAGCGCCGCCCCCCCTCTCTGTCAGTGTCAGCACCGTGCACCCTCTGAATGCCTCCTTTCTCCAGAAGGTGTTCTGTGGCCATGAGCACACGCTGGGCAACCTTGAGTTTGCACAGAAAGTGGAGCCCGGCAATGACCACGTGAGGGCCAAGCTGTCATGGGCCAAGGTGCGGCCACTCCTCTGAATGGTGAGGTCTGGAGGGTGGATGAAGATTGGGACGGAGGAGGGGCACTGCAGAAGTCAGGCGTAACTGGCCTGGCATGATCAGGCCTGGCTTAGCCTTGGGTATACTGCTCACAGAGGCTACTGATGAGGGGAAGGGTTAGTGGCCTCCCCCTGTCCGGGGACTGGGCAGCCAGTCGGTCTGACCCAGGGGGTGGCTGCCCTCAAGGACTAGACGGGGCGAGGCAGCCCTTCTGCTCTGGCCTCCAGGAAGGGGCGGGGCTTTGTGGAGCCGAGTTGCCTGGGGCTCTGGAGATAGGCTGTGACAGGGGCCTGTGGTTATTCCAGAAGAGGGATGAGGACGATATGCCCACAGTGCCATCCACCCTGGGCGAGGAGCTCCTCTACAACCCCTTCCTAAGGGTGGCGTGAGTATTGGTTGGCACCCCAGGCCTTCTTGTAGGGGTCCTGTGCCTGCCCCAGGGGCTGTCCCGCAGAGCAGGCTGCCTCAGAGCTGGCCTGCTGTCCTCAAGCCCACCTTGGCAGCCACTTGGGCTCTGCAGGAGGTGCCAAGGAGAGGCTGCCCCTTAGGTGTCCTCTGCTAGCACCCACCCGGCAGTTCCCCGAGGGAGGGTCCCCAAGGTGCCCTCTCTCCCCGCAGAGAAGAGCCTGTGTGCAAGTTCACGGGGAAGGCAGCCCCGGCCGAGGTCCTGGAGGCACTCTGCAGGGAGCGGGCAAGCTTCGAGCGGGCGGCTGAGCCCCTGCACCCGCAGGCCCGGGCTCTCTTGGCGCTGCAGTGGGGGCTCCTGAGCACACCCCGACAGAAGTGAGCCCCAAGTGGACCCGCCGTGTGGCCAGGAAGCACAGCTCTGCTCCTTCAACCCTTGGCACACTGAGCCTGTAGGAGGGTTGCCTCTGGAAACTTCCACGGCCCCACCCAGCTGGCTGTCGGGCTTTGGAGGGTGGGCACCCTGGCAGGGGACACGTGAGGCCCCTCTCTGGGGTGCATGTGGGCCGAGACCTGGGTACTTGGGAAGCAGCCTAGTGGGGTGCACGGGGCTTTGACCTTTGAATAAAGCTTTGAAAGGCTTCTTTCTTGATGCTGACAGATGCTCTTAGAAACCATCTGGAGAGAGATCTGTTTATTGGATGTGGGGCCCAATGAGGATGGGCCTGGTGGGCTCAGCCTGATCCGTCCCCCGCCCCTGGGGACCCAGCTGTGGAGAGGGGACTTAATGCGTAATCTCAGGGGTCTCTCACAGTCTGCTTCCCACCTGGAACTCTGCCCAGAGAGCGCACGTTCTCAGGTCTCAGAGGGCACGCCTGGCATCAATGGCCAGTCCCAGGTAGGGTGGTACTGCACCCTGGCAGGGGGTGCTGTGGGCTGGGCACCCTTCTCCGGCCAGCGTTCTCGGCCACCCAGTGCAGGAGGGCTCCTCACGCTGGGCTACAAGTTTGACCGGCCCGGGAGGTGCAGCCGTCACTGTCCTTCACAGCCTGGCTTCAGGGTGACCCCATAAGGGGGATGGGGACCCCCACTTTTGCTTAGCCTTACACCACCCAGGGGACCGGCTGAAAACCCTCACACGCTCAGGCCACAAGGCAGGAGCAGCAAGGACCCTGCTCGCAGACCCCCCAGGCCTGCGGGCAGGGTCTGGGACCTTGGACTGTCTGACCTCCTGCAGCGGGCAGTCAGGGCAAGCGTGGGCTGGAGGTCACCTGTCCTGGCCGTGGGTTCCAGTTCCCGAGGCCCGTCTTGGTGTGGACTCCGGCACATGACCTTCCTGGGAGCGGGTGCTGGCTGTGGCGGGCTCAGCAGGGCCTCCTACCACCTGACACCGAGGCCAGAGCTGGCCTTCTCCACTGCGTGGTAGCGCGTGTGCAGCAGGCGGCCGGCGCGCTCCGAGCCCCAGCCCTGCAGCCAGTCCCCGTACAGTTCCTGGACGCCAGGCGCGTCCTCCGGCGCCTCGGCCCTGACCATGCCGTACAGCGTCTCCACACGCTGGAGAAGCTCCTTGCCAGGCGTGGTGGGGGCCTTGAGCTGGCCTCCGCCATTCAAGCAGCCTGTGGCAGAGCAAGACAGGTGAGTCCATGGTCACCGGGAGGATGGCTGCACGCGGGGGAGGGGGCAGGAGGGGCACGGCACACCCCATTCCCGACGGGCCCTCCCGAGCCTCCTGACCCCCTGGGCTCCGCCTCCGTCCCTCCTGCCCTGGTCCCAGAAAGCCGCGACCCCCCCCTCCCCCCGGGCCATCTGGAAGAAGTGGGCCCTGCCCCAGCTACCTGCGGGGCAGGCCATGACCTCCACGTAATGGTACGGGCAGCGCCCCCGCTTGAGCTTCTGCACCAGGTTCTGGATGTTGCGGAAGCCGTAGGCCGCAGCAAAGTGCAGCACCACTTGGCCCTCCTTTTCCAGGGTCACCTCCTGGAAGTCCTTGTTCCTGCGGGGACAGAGGCCGGGCTCCCTCTTGGTACCCAGCCCTGCAGGCATGTCTGCCAACCTAACCGGCTCCACAGCGGACAGCGATGGAAGGGGAGGGTAGAAAGCTTGCTTCCACCCGTCAGGTGGGGGATCTGTTTCCTGATCCTTCCTCCCTGAGAATGGCCAGAGGCGTGGTGAAGTCGCACAAAGAGCCCAGCCCTCCCTCCGTGGAAGGGAGCGTCACATCGGGACACTCCGTGTGCCCTGAATACCACCGTGGCCTTGGGGCTCTCACCCTCTGCGGTGTGGGTAGGGACGCTGACCACTGGGTGGGGAGGTTGGTATGTGTCAGCCGGAGAGGAGGGCTCAGCTCTCGTCTGGTGCCCTGGGTCTTCGTCCAGCCCGGCCCGCCGCCCCCTCCCCACGCTCCAGCCCTTCCCGCTGACCTCAGGGGTCTGTAGGTGACTTCATCCACATGGATTCCAAAGAGCTCCCGGGCCGCGTGCCGGAACACATGCTCCAGGTAGCCCCCTGAGCCCCCGCCCCGATGGCTGCTGAGCTCCTGGGCAGGCACACTGCTGCACCTGGGGAACAGAGCACGGCCTCGGTGGCAGTGGGGCTGCTGTCCACAAGGTTTCGGGTGACCTTTGTCCCTCCCACGTGAAGGAGCTGCTTGCTAAATAGGAAAGGAAGTCCGGGGGGCTTAGTCTGTGGCTCAGGAGGAAGCACAAAAAGAAAGATCATTCTTTCTGTCGAGTCACCTATTTGGGCAGCTTAGACCTGTGTCAAGTTTGGGACAGCTCTGATGACCATCAGTTCACTCTCCATCGGCCAGGTCATGAACTTGATCGCCTGTATGCGCACTGAGACAGACAACAGGGCAGACGTGGACCCAGCCAGAAGTCATGGTGGGGAAGAGGGAGGGAGGCGACACAGAGCTGGGGTCCATCTGGGGACTCTGCTACCCCCACGCCCTCACTTCTGCTGCTCGCCAGTACACCTGCAACCCCCAGACCCACATCTCGAGCACCCTGATGCTGGATTTGTGTACTCCCCACGGCTGCAGAGGGTGGTGACTTACAGGCTGTCCAGGGGGGCGGGCTCCAGTTCCGGGAGTGAGACCCCTTCTTCTTCCAGCAACTTGAAGACTTCTCCTACAATAAGACCCCAGCACGGACACGCTTTAGCAGAGGTCTCAATAAAAACAGGCCGCTGAGGAGACCCACGTCACCTGCGTCTCTGGGAACCTGTAACTTAGCTCCGGAGCCCGAGACGTCCACCTCTGGCTTGTTGGTGGAGGGTAAACCCAGCCACTGAGGTGAGGAAGGCCTCTACTTCTGAGGCCCCTCAGAAGAGCCAGCCAGTTCCCTGGACCCGCAGCCCACCGTCCACCCTCCCAGCAGCGTGGCGGGGGGCGGCCACGCGGGTCCCCAGCCCCGCATCAGCACGGTCACAGCTCCCCCTGAGGCGGACAGGGACGTGTGTTCACGCAGGGACGCCTTCCCCCCACTGTCTGGGCACCTGAGCAGTGAGCACTCAGGAGCCTCTGTGAGGCTGCTCAACTCAAAACTGGGGTGACCCACGTGAGTCACAGTGGTCAGCAAGAACGTCCACCCATCTCCCCACGCAGCCTGATTCAGAGCCACACGTTCCCCAGGACAACGGGACAGCTGTGAAGTGTGGCCTAGCACCCAGGGGAGGGCCGCGGGGCGCCTCACGCTCAGGGGTGGGCAGCTCCAGGTGGGGCTTGCGTGCAGGGGGCGATGCCACCACGCGGGACCCACACCTGTGGTAACAACGCAATCCACATCACGCGTCTGGTACTCCTGGTTGAAGAAGTCTGGTCTGGAAGCTTCCAGTTTTTTGTCATAGCAGGGCATCACCGTCACGTGGTAGATCCTGTCGGGGGTCAAATGCTGCAGAGAAACGTGGAAACGTGGAGCTGCTGCCTGACCTGACGGTAAAGGAGCCTGCAGGGTAAGGCGGGGGACGAGGTCCCAGGCACAGCCTGGGACAGGGCCGGCCAGCAGCCAGGATGGGACCGAGGTGCCTCATAATGGGTGTGTGGACATCTAGGTCTTGGCTCATCTTTGAGGCCGATGGCAGGGAATCGTTCCTGTCTGGAAAATTCCTGTTACCTGCTGCTGGGCAAAGAAGTCCTTGACCAGGGAGCCCATGACCTGCTGCGGGGAGCGAGCGGTGCTGAGGTAGGGGATGAGGAGGCTTCCGTGCGTCTTCTCAGCGTAGCAGATCCAGCCTGAGGCCGACACGGGGAACAAACGGGGTGTCTGACCAGCTGGGCAGTGCGAGGCATGACATTCTGGGGCGGACCGCCTTGGATGGGCAGTTCTGGTCCCATTAAAAAATGTCCCTGCTCTGCTGTCACTGCCCTGTGCGCCTGGCATCCGTGAGATCACGGTCTTGGGGAACTAAGTGACCCCAGGTGGCTCGCGCACAGCTTCCGCGCGGAGGCGGCCGCACTAGCGGTCCCGTTACCCAGCACGGCAGCGTGAACGCACCTGGGCAGGCGGATGTGAGCACGGGCAAGGCCTGCCTGGAGTTGGCCTGTCCTCGGAACCGCCGCACAAACTCTCGCTGGCTCTCAAGGAGACTGAAGTTCCTCGAGAAGGACGTATCGAACACGTAATGCACCCCTGGAAGACAAGCGGCCACCTCACCCCCACGAAGGGCGGCTAAATGGCGAGGCCCTGCCGACCGCACCCCAGGGAGCGGGGCCTCCACCTTCCGGGGGCGCCTCAGCTGTCTCCACAGCGGCTGTCCGGGCCCAGGCCACACCTCTTGTGCCCACCCCACGGCCTCTCAGCCCTGCTCCTGGCTCACAGAGCTCCTCTGAAGTCATTCTGAGCCAGAGCATGACGGGCTGGGGAAAGGAGCCTCGGGGGAGAAATTTTTTTTTAATGTTTACTTATCTTCGAGAGAGAGACAGAGCTCGAGTGACAGAGGAGAAGAGAGAGAGGGAGACACAGAATCCAAAGCAGGCTCCAGACTCGGAGCTGTCAGCAGAGAGCCCGATGTGGGGCTTGAACTCTGAGACCTGAGCCGAAGTCAGTCGCCCAACCGACTGAGCCACCCACGCGTCCTGTCGAGGGTGAGAATTTAAAAACAATACATGGGGTGAGCAAACTCCAGATAATTCCAAGAATTCCAGACTGGACAAGGGCCGGGATGGTTCAGATGGCCATCTCTTAACAAGCTCAGCTCTCACGTTTCCTACCAAAACTTCAGACTAAAGTCAACTCAGAACAGTTTCTGGTGTGTTGGAGTTCAGGGACTCAGAGGCTGGAGGAGTCCCTCGCCGGACACCACACACGCTGAGGACGCACACGGGGTTTGGTGCCTACCGATTGTCTTAAAGAATGCAGTAAGCTTCCTGGCGGTGTCTGTAGGGTTCAGCCCGAACTGTGCGGCCAGCGACGCCCTGGACTGGGGCGAGACAGAAACGACAACCAGCCTCTCTTGACCGGGGGCCGCTGTCTGCAAAGCAGAAGACACACGTTCACTCGGCAGGTCTCACAGATTCCCTGCGCGCCAGTGCTGGGAGCGGGCGCGCACTGCCTCCGTCAGGGCGCGTCACTTTCACATCCACGCGGGGCCCCGCACACCAGTGCTGGAGCACTTCATGGGCATCCTGCTGGCGAGACTTACAGGATGCACAAGGCAGCAAAAGCAAAGGACACGGGGCTGACGTCAGGTTAAAAAAGGCTCAAAGACGCCCAGCACTTACTTTATTGGCATTTAGAACCTTGCGCAGCTCCTCGTGGCTTTGCTGAGTGATGAGCACGGTCTCTGCCGAGGTGACACAGCCACTGCACGCCAGGCAGTCATCCAGCGAGATCTTGGCCTTCTCCAGCTTCCGAGTCCCTCCATCCTGGAAGCACAAGCACTCAGGACTCAAAGGGCCTCCACACAAGGACACGAGCTCTCAGGATAATGGAACCTACGGGAAGCCCTTATTCTCTGCCTCACAACACTGACAACCAACCCAGGAGGAGGCTGGCTTTGTATGCCACCGAATTTTTAAAAGTTGAATATTGCTTGGGAACCCTGGGGGCGGCTCAGTTGGTTAAGCGTCCCTCTTTAGCTCAGGTCATGATCTCACAGTTCATAAGTTCGAGCCTGGTGTTGGGCTCTGTGCTGACAGCTCAGAGCCTGGAGCCTGCTTTGGATTCTGTGTCTCCCTCTCTGTCTGACCCTCCCCCGTTCATGTTCTCTTGCTTGCTCGCTCGCTCTCAAAATTAAACATTAAAAAAAAAAAAGAGCCTCAGACACTTAACCAACCGAGCCACCCGGATACTTCTGAACTGGACAGTCTTGCAGAATTAGAGCTCACAGAGAGGGAGAGGGAAGGGAAGCTAGGAACCATCATCTGCAAAAAGAGGTCCCCCTGCAGCTCCATGTCAGCCTCTATGCCCCCTACCCCCACCTCAGGCCCCACCCCTGCCCTCCTAGCCTTGACAACAGTGAATGTGACCACTGTGATGACGGTGAAAGGTCCATCATCTCCATACCTGTGACTGGACAGAGCAGCAAAAGCAAAATTTTTGGTCATCTGGGCTGGAACTTACCTGTGAGACCTGGAAATAACTCCCATCATCTTCGATGTGGATCTTGGCCACGCCGCTTCCCGACCTCTTATCTACCTTCATGGGCTTGATGCAGTCCTGTACCAGAAAGAGACCCCAAACAGCGGTCTGAGTGCATGGAGGTTACCGAGGAAGAGGGACACCTGACGACGGCAGTACCACGCCGACAGGGGTGCTGCCCGACTCCCCTCCCCTGCCAGAGAAGCAGTCTTAGCAACACGCTGTCACCCCGCTTGCAAAGGGGCACACGTTCTAACCCCCACCAGCACCAAGGACGACCCCCCCCCAAGTCATGGTAGGTGATTCCAGGGGACCAGCTCCCCTGCCTTCCAAACTGCGGTGGGATCACCCCACTTGTCTACCAGAGTAAGCGGACGGGTTTCTCCGGGCCTGAGTCCCGAGTCCCGCTTCCGGCTGCCCACGGTCGTCCCGGTTGAGGGCAGCGTGATGACCCGCAGCTACCTGTTCTATTGGGCGGTGCGGGCTGGTAACCTGGCCCCGCCTCGCGGCACAGTCACCCGGCTCGAGGCCGCCATCCCTGGCCTCGGCTCCCCATCGACGGCAAGCCGGCCCGAGCGCCGGAGGCCCGGGGGATGCGGGCGGGGAGTCTGGGTTCCGATCTCGTTTTTCAGGGGAAGAAACTGAGGGGGAGGGGAGTTCCCCCCACACCCGCGCCCGCCACCCACCATCCGGGCCGGCCCACCTGAGACGGCCCGATGAAGTCATCCAGGTCTGTAAGCTGCAACGCCCCGCTGAAGGGCGACGCCATGGCGGCCGCACTGTGGCTGGGCGCGGGGCGCGGATGTCGCCAAGCGACGCGAAACTGCAGGCTCTTCCGCCACGCTGCCGGAAAGCGCCCCGCGCGGCGCATGCGCGTCCTGCCCCCCACCCCACCCCCACCCCCGGCCGCGCGCCCCCTGCTGGCGGGGCCCGTGCCGGCACGTTCCCGGCCTCCTGAGCGCTGGCGGGCGTACGGGCCGCCAGGACAGCAGGGTCGCCTCTTTCACCCAAGGCTCTCTGCCCGCTGGGTGCGCGGCCCTGGGTCCTCGCCCTGGGAGCTTGCAGAGGCAGCGGGCCTGCTGTCCTTGGTCGCAGAGGCGCTTGAGACCCAGGAAGGGCGCCCGGCACACGTGGGCGTGCAATTCCTCTTGCAGAGCAAGAGAGATGGAAGTGACAGGGTGGGCAGTGGCTTCTCACAACCCAGAGGCTCCCTCCTCTCAGGGTCTCCGACACCCTCTGCTGTTATTCCGGAGACCAGCTGGAGCAAACTATTTCCCCTGTAAGATTTTATGGCACGAAGCGGCACTGCTGCTGGTCAGCGTCAGGTCCTGAGCTGTTATAAATCGTGTCCAGGCCAGTTTTACAGTAATGACCGCTTTTTATTGGGGTCTTCCAGACACCTGCAGGAGTTGCTTTGGCACATCCTGGGCGTTGGTTTCGTGTTTCTGAGGGCCCAGCATGGCCTGCGCTCCACTCTCCTTGCAGCTGTTAGCTCAGCATGGACCTGAGTGCTGGTCACTCCCACGCCTGCCTGTGGGGTTCCCTGAGGTCCAGGGACCCGAGGGCCCCCAGCAGGGGCAGCGCGCTCGGGCCCTGCCGCTGCTTCTCGTGGCTGACGGGACAGGACTTTCTGGCACAGCAGCAGGGCTGGGCTTTCTCCATCAGCTGGACGGCTTGGCTTCAGGCCCCCCAGGCCCCCTGTCCCGACGGTACCTGAGCAAGGTCTGAGATACGGTGCCTGAAATCTGAACAACCCCAAGCAATTCTTAGAGGTGGGCGAGCACAACGTGACCTTCGTTTCACTGAAATGGCCCAGAGCGGGCTCACGAAAAACTTGTGAGAGTAACAAGTGGTGTCGGGATGGGGCCAGGATGGGGGTCTATCAGGGGGGAGTGGTGGAGACACTTACACAGGAAGGGCGCAGGCTGCGGGCACAGGGAGGGTTCTCCCGAGCTGCAGCGGGGGCTGTGGCATGTAGGTGTGCGGGTGGGCTTCAGGCCTCCTTCCCTGGGACCCCGTCTGTAGGAGCGATCCAAGTGGAGCAAAGGGCGGGGTGCGCGAAAGGTCCGTCAGCAGATGAGTGGGTAAATGGGGGAGGACTCAGCGGTAAAGCCAGGTGACGGCCTGCACCTGCTGTAGTGTGGATGAGCTCTGGGGACCCCCCGGGGAGAAGCCACACAAAAGGACGCTTATCGAGGATCCATGCATGAAATAAGCAACTCTATAGGGACATGAAGTAGATTGGAGGTTGCCAGGGGCCGGGAAGGTGGTGACAAGAAAATTGGAAATCAAGGTAATGTTTGCACGACCTTGTGGTGCCACTTGAAAAGAGTCACTATGGCAACTTTTGTTGTATGTATGTTACCACAATTTGAAAACTAATACTGCAATATATCAAAAAGCATTGCATTGCACACTTGAAGTGGGCAGGTTTTTATGACACGTGACTCTGTATCTCAATAAAAGTGGCTGCCCCAAGGTAGCCTCACGCGGTCCTGGCACGGAGTGCGCCCAGGTCCACCCAACATCGAACCATCGGCCCCCCCATCCCTGTGCCGTGACTGGGGGACCGTTTCTGGTTCAGGAAATCTGACTGGGGATCTCTCTCTTTTTTTTTTTAATGTTTTTTATTTATTTCTAGGAGAGAGAGAGAGACAGGATGAGCAGGGGAGGGTCAGAGAGAGAGGGAGACACAGACTCTGAAACAGGCTCCAGGCTCTGAGCTGGCAGTCAGCACAGAGCCCGACGCGGGGCTCGAACCCACGAACCGCGAGATCATGACCTAAGCGAAAGTCGGACGCTTAACCGACTAAGCCACCCAGGCGCCCCTGACTGGGGATATCTGATACACACACACACTCACACACACACACACACTCACACTCACACGGCAAGGGTCCCCCGAGGACCTTTCACTCCCGCGCTGCTGTGTCCCTGGAGACCTGGGGCTCGTGAGCCGACACCGCGTGCGCCTCCTCTGTGCGCCTGCTCTCACACCTGCAGAGTCTTTCATCATCATTAGTATTTACTGCACGCTTCCCGTGTGCCAGGGTTTAGACATGTGGGGGAAACTGAGGGCCAGCTGAGGATTTGGGGAGAGGCTACGGGCCCTGCAGCCAGCCTGGGCAGCAGCCGCGATGCTGTGCCTGGGTGTGGGCACCCCTCTCCCTGAGCCGAGACAGGTGCAGAATTTGGCCTCTGCTCCGGATGTGTCCCCAGGACCCCCTCGCCCAAAGCTGACCACCAGATCTTTGGGTGGGAGCAGAAGCACGTTAGAGTTTCACCGTCTGAGGGACTCGCCTGACATTAGCGTCTGGGCAGCTACAACAGAGGACTGGGGGTTAGAACGACAGAAGGTGATACTCTCAGTTTTTTCTTTCCTTATTTTTAAAATATTTATTGTGTGTATAAGAGAGAGAATCCCAAGCAGGCTCTGTGCTCACAGCACAGACATGGGGCTTGATCTTGGGAACCGTGAGATCGGGCTGAGATCAAGAGTTGGTGACTCAACGGACTGAGCCCCGCAGGTGCCCCCACACTGTCAGTTCTTGAGGCCAGAAGTCTGAGGCCGAGGTGTTGGCAGGCGCAGGCCGGGTGGCCCCGGGCAGCCCTGGGGACACGACAGCATCTGTCCGGCAGCACACGGACCCTGTGTGTCTTCTGTCTTCTAAGGACACTTGCCATTGAATTCAGGGCCCAGCCTACTACTACCTATCTCAAAACCCTCAGCTTAATTCCGTCTGCAAGGACCCTGTTTCCAAAGAAGGCCCCATTTACAGCCTTAGGGCACGTGTTACTTGGGGGACACTGTTCGACCGGCCACAGGCCTCAAGTCCAATTTTTGTGGGGCCCTCGGGGGTCAGAGGACAGCTGCATCATGTGCCGCATGTCACAGGTGATAGCCGGCCTCCCAGGCTGCGTGCGCTGGGCCAGGGCTCACCACGCCTGCGGGTGGGGCGCTGGACCCGCCGACTGGGAGGGGCCGGGCACAGGCGGTGTGGCCGAGAACATCTAGGGTCAGGAAGGGTACGCGACATTCTGTCTTTTCCGAAAAACATTTTAGGGGCGCCTGGATGGCTCAGAAGAGTGTGCAGCTCTTAATCTGGGGCTTGTGAATTCGAGCCCCATGTTGGGTGTGGAGATTGTCTAAATAAATAAAAATTTTAAAAAAATTTTAAAACTTTTCTTAAAAAGTAATTTGAAAACACTGCATTCTCCAGGGTTACTATATTGTGTAGAAGGCCCCCCAAGACGTCAGAAAGGAGAAGTGGGGTCTGCTCCCCCTTCTCTGCACGGCTGTAGGAGGAACGCGTGCTCAGGGGTGGCCCGTATGCCCACCTGTCTGTCTGCCCACCGGACCCACCCGGACACTTGCAGCTGGCTCGGAGGCCCTGGCCCCTCATCGGCCACAGGGCTGGGGGGGGGGGGGCAGGCAGGGCCCACGGAGGGCTCGCTGTGCAGTGGAGCCACTGCCTGGGAGGGAGGGAGGCCACGGAGAGCAAGGCCGGCCTCCTACCCAAACAAGGGGTTCCAGCCTTCGGAATCTGCTCCCATGCTTTTTTGTGAACTGGGGACTGTTTTGTTTGTTAGCCTGGGTGGCCAGTGAGGGATCTTCTCACCATGTGAGGGTCTTCATGCTCAGGAGTTCCTGAGTGAGTCAGCCTATGGATCGTGGCTGCCCTGCCCTGTGCGGGTAGGTGTGGGGGTACAGCCTTCCCGGCCAGTCCCTGCAAACCCTTTCACTCACCTGGGAGGCTCTCCGCGCCCTGGGGCCCTGGGCTGGGGTGCGGGGAGGGGGGGAGGGAGGGTCTGATAAAGGTGGGACCCAGCGCCCCTATGCTCAGAACCGAGAGACAAAGCAGCCTCTCTTAGGAGAACATGCAGGCACGGTGGCAGCTCGTCCTGGTGGCCTGAGGGGTCCCCGAAGAGCCCACGAGCCCTCAGGTGCGCGCAGGCTCCTCGTGAAGCCAGGAGTGTCCCCAGGCTGAGCAGACACAGCGCTTTATTTGTTGAAGGAAATTACCGTGGGCAATGAACACCTCATTAGCAGCATAATCAGCGCCGGCGCCTTCCCGCTGGGGCCGCCACATCTTGTCAACAGGTGTAATCTGGCGGCAGCCCCGGGGGGCTGGGCGCAGGCTGCAATTAGTAGCTAATGAGTAGGCCTGCCCTGACCCGTGCCTCCGGGCGCGACGCGTGGGCCGGGGCGGGGGTCACAGGGCGCGCGCTGGCGCTTCCAGGGTCCGCCCTCTGCACCCACCGGCGCAAGAAGCGCTGAGAGAGCTGGCCGGCCACACGGCCTCACTGCTGCACCCGTGTCCCTGGGTCCGTAGGCTGGCTCTGCTCCAGCCCCGGAAGCCAAGCGCAGGACCCCGAGGCCGCGTGTCGGTGTGGACACACCAGCAGCAGGTGGGAGGGAGAGAGGGCGCCCCCTACTCCTTTGCCTGACCAGGTGCTACAAGGAGACTGTGGCTCGGCCTCTGGCCTGTGGCCTGGGAAGAATGGCGGGTGCGCCTGAGGCTGGTCAGGCTGCCAGGCACGTGGGCAGCCCGGGAGCGGGAGCGAAGGCGGTGCGCGTGCGGAGCGGGTGTGGGTGCGGGCGGGGGAGGGGAAGTTGCTGAATCACCAGCTGGTCTGCGTTGTGGGGCTCCTTTGTGGCACTCTCCACGTGGCCCTGAGCTGCCTCTGCACCCGCACTTTGTACTCAGCCGCCGAGTCGTCAAGGGCGCCATCCGGGTGTCTGAGGAGGCGCACGTCTGGTGGTGGAGCTGAGGCTGCTGGGGGGAGGGGG